CACTCTCACTGTGATTCGAGTCCATGCTATAAAGGTGATCCTAATGGATCTCCCGGAACTTGATAGCTGTCTTTTGAGTTGCTGAAAAATGTACGTCGCAACCACATGACGAACTCTGCCCAAGACAAAGAAGCCGACCGGCTACCATGAGACTACCCTGTATGCCTTGCCTGGTCACTTACTCTTCTTCCACTCCATACAACTAGTAGGCCATGCAGTGAATACTATAAACCATATGTAGTTTATCAATAAATCCTACTTGGGCCCCGAGTGAGACATGTCCCATGAACCTACCTCCCAGCCCCGTTGTCATTCTGCACTTTGATCTGCCTCCCGGCTTCAGCTTCCCCGTTCACTTCGTATACGCAGATCCCGGAATCCTTTTGCAACTTTCATTGAAATAATGGTTTAGCTGCACAAATAATTGAGATATGGTAGTTAACGTGTCACAGCTCTGCCTCTCAGCGCAAATGCTGACTCTACATGTCAATTGAAATATGGAGACGTTTAACATGCTTTGGCTGCGCCTGAGAGAGAGGTAATCTTCAGTATGCACAACCGTTGAAAGAAACTTACGGGGGATGAGCCTGAGCCGTTGATGTTCAGTATCTCTAGCTCTTCCAACTGCTTTTCTGAGTTCGCGGTTGAAAGTTCTACGAAGGGCCGTTATATACGGCCTTCAACCCATAAGAATTGGGGTCTTAACCTTCTCTAACGTGTTTTCGCCGAAAGCCATCCTCTAAAGCCCGATGGCTTACATATCCGGCGGTCTACTCGAGTTGATCAACTTAGCAAGGTATGATGATTAGGGATTCTTTATCTTAATGAGTCTGGAAACTGCCGAGCGAGTCTTCCATTCGCCTTTGTCAAAGTCTTGTTGATATGGCTAATCGATTTGAAAGAAAACTCTCTGTCTATCAGATTTTGGTGCAGAACTAAGGCATTTTAAGCCACTGTACCATTATATAACGGGCTTGCGGGAGTAGATGGTACAGGGGGAGACGTGGGAAAGTGGTACCAGGGGAATAAATGAAGCAAATCACTGTAAATTTGACCTATGGGATCTGATATAATAGAGACGGGCATTCGGGACATAAGGCCAAAAGATATTAGCAAAGTTCACTACCGGCTGGAACCTATCCGTAGCCAGGAAATGAGCTTCTTCCCGTCACTTTAACTTCTTCTATTTCCTACCCTTTGGTGGATACTGATAAAGTTTCCAATATCTTTGGAGAATGGACACCATTTAAATACCACGACGAACAACCCTTACTATCTAGGTTTCGGAGATGGTTCTTTCAGAATGGATAAGCAGTAACATCTCTTATGATTCATTCATGCTCATTAGCTACCAATCCATCCAACTTACACCACTCGGCTGATCACTCACTACAGTCTTCGGCTCCTTTTCCATTCCTTGCCATAACCACTCATCGCATCCACGCAACATAGGTGGCCATTCATCCCAATCACCATCTTCCCTCACATTCCTCACTACAAAAGCAACCCCTCTATGTCCATCTTACTATCAAACAGACCAGTCATCAAAAATGGGTTGCGGATGCTCCAGAGAGCTCACCCCATCCGAGGCTGCCATCGAGGAGAGAGACGTTGCCAGCCTCGAAATGGCGCAGAAACTCGAGTGGTACGCCTTATTGGAACGAGGAGTATCAGAGAAGAGAAAGAAGGAGAAGATGAAGAAGTACAGAAGGGACTGGAAAGATTTCAATGGTCGTCGGAACCGTTGGTTCTGGGGCGACTCTCCCGACTACCGAGGAATCTACGTCAACTTCTGATCACCCAGAAGCAACCACGTAACACATTCTTCTCTAGGCCATGACATAGGCCTCTGAAAAAGTCGGACTTCGGAGAAAAAACCGTACATCATTCCCAAGATCACTACAGCAATCTTACTACATCCCGTCCTCAGAGCATACGACTATGTTGGCTGCCTTGGACACGACCGTGGCAATGCCAAACTCTGAATATGATCCCCATCACCAAAGTTGGAACTAAGAGAAGTGGGAGTATTAGTGGAAGGCTCTACGGCATCGTCTTCATCTCGGTGCATCAGGGTGTTGTGGATTGTTTGGACAACTTTAGTCGCCCGACACCCGGCATATAGCATATTACAGGTTATAAGGGGCTGTCAAGAGACGCGTTCAGGGTGCACAAGGGGTTTCTCTATTGCGGTACCAAAAGGACCTTCATTCAGGAGGGCATTAATTGGTTATGTGAGCTTTCGACAATCATCACAAGTCAGATTGCGAGGAGCCGTTAATAATCACTATAGAGATGTCTAGATAGATCAAAGGTAATAGACAGCTCCATCAATAAGGTACATCGGCGAGTCTTTCACTTACACTCAAGTATGTAGCGTGTCAGGAATTAGCATTGATCAATGCCAGCCCAAGTTCTCCTTAATTCCAGCTGCTCTCTTAATCAGCAGTCGAAATTGCTACCAATGGATACCTCGCCTTAGAATCTAGGAGAAGTCTCTATAGCTAAAGTAAATTAGTATCCAATATCAATAGTATCGAATTCAATGGGGAAACTTGTGATGAATCTTTGAATACCACAGGGTTTCAGTCAAAGAGTTTTGTCATTATCCCATTTCAACCCAATAATTGAAGTTGATTCCAACATACTGAGCTGTGTAAGTCAAGATTGGCATAAATTGAGGCTACCGTGCACGTGAGCCAGGGCGAAGGTCGTGTAATACTTGGCTACTGCCTTGTATTTGGAAGGCTAGCGGAAAGATCTGGGTGCTCGACAACTCTTTTGTTACATGGCGCTTGGCTGCTGCGGAATCCAGTTGGGGGCTCAAAGGGAGTTTGATGAACCGCAAACGCCCTTGAACACCAAACAAGTCGCATATCTGTTGTTGGCTCAATGCGCTCGCAAGGCCGTCCAAGTTTTGAATTCAGCCAACGACACGTTCGCTTACCTCGGCCGGCCTAGGTCATACCGGCGTTCACTACCCCGCCACCATCTTGCACGTGCTCCGATCCATCTCCGGCATCCGAAAGAAGAATCCCGGCCCCGGTCTCCGCCCCACAATTGGCCTTCGCATCGTGAGTACGAAAATGGAAGTCGGCGCGGACCAACATATACTTCATCGTGGGGAAACTAATGAGGAGAAACATATTCGGTGCTGATCTCAGTGGAGGTAGACAAATCGGTGCTGTATGTCACTACCTCAACCAGCAGGCGAGGAGTTTCGTTATCTTAAGGCCATTCATTGTGACTTACTACAGTCGTATGCTCATGTCCTCCGATATTACGACCTCTTTCCAAGTTTAAGATTGAGAACTCTGAACTCGAAGGTTGGCAGTGTGAGCCACGAGTGTTTTCTTGTTGAAAAGACTTCATAGAATCTTTATCAACGTAGAGTCCATTCCAATGACCGGGAGATTAATGGCGTGATATATTCGACGAGTGTATCGACATTTTGATAGAAGACTGGTGTGCCGCAGACTCGGAGTTGCCTTCTAAGCTTCGAGTTCATTGAGCTTGTGTCTCTGCCAAGACTTGCCAAAGGTTGAAAATGCTAAACTGAGGGAGTTGTCAACTGACTATACGAAGCCAGAGTAACAGATGTCTCAACTTTCAGGTAATAGCTCCTCTGGATTGGACGGTGCTTTAAGATTAGATCTCTAACCCAAGCCTCGGGCCCTCGTCAAGCAAGCAATAAGCACTACGTCCTACTAGGGATACAGGTCGATCAACTGTCACAAGGTTCGTTAGTTTTGACCAACTTACTTGCTGAGTCTTGAACATCCATTGGCTAGCAGCTGTTATACCCCTATGGCGTCCAACATTCCTTAACGCGCTTCACCAAACCGTAGGTTGAGAAAATAATAACTTGACTGGAATTCTACCCCGTCTTTTCAACGTTCAGCCGTTTATTATCATGTCAAGCTCCAATGACGTTCCGGTTTCTCAAAACAACTAATCGTCTACTTGCCCAAATACTTGCGATATAACCGATCCTAAGTAGTCTGAAAGGATATTTTCTAGAAATAAAGCAATTATTCTCATACCAGAGGGAAAGCAAGTCAGTTCCGCTAAGGTCTTTTGACGCTAATCGATGTAGAAGTGACTGGATGTATCACGTACTTCGGACTCGGACTCGGACCATCCCTGAGCACCTTAGAGTGAAAACAATCACTGGGGCTTTGATATTACACGACGCAAGCGACCGACATACGGCATCACTTCATGCTGATACGCTGCTCAAATTAGAAGTTACTACTGCATTATGCCTTGCGCATTACGAACTTTCAGAAAGATGTTCGGCGAGCACGTGGTGCTAGGCTCTTTACTTGAATTCGTGCAGATTTGAGTTAAGAGACCACGTGAATTATTTCCAGCGGGCCGAGGCAGTGAGAATGTGGTTACAGAGAGAAACGCCCATGCCCCGCCACAGCCAAGGAAGCATCCTACTAACAATTCATGCTAATAACAACGAGGCTGGATGACTTGGGCTAATTCGACGAATTGTCGGCGCTGGGGAGACAGTGGGGTAGGATTCGGTATGTTTTCTCATAATAGTTGCCAAAGACTAATGCTACGATCGCCGGCCGTGTGAGCGATGCATGTCGACAGCCGGCCGAATGATCGACGAATCCTTGCCCAATACCTTCCCTGCCACTGCTGCACATCACACTTCCTTTCGCATAATCGTCTTCGGGAAAGGCAGTTTCTTTCTCGAACCTGATTTTCGGGACATCTCGCCAGAAAAGGACCCATCAAAGAGTTTCTCTGGGTTCTGTCCGGGGCTCATTAGAGGCGGAGGATCGCTGGGCGGCCTCCGCATCGTTTCATGTTTCGGGGCCAGACCCTGGGCCACAGCTCCCAAATCGCCGGGCGCTTCAAGCTGAGGCTCTCTGAACACGTCATAGCTCAGGGCTCCCCCAGATGTGTCTGGTTCATGCTCTAGGGGTCAGCTACTCTTTTGGACGGACAGAAGTGTATGTGGTCCGAGGTAAACAAAGGCATGTGAATCACGATAATTTGGTTCTATGGATGATAAAAAGGCTTCAGTTGCGCCTTCTGAGGGAATGGTGATCGGCCGCATCATCATCATCATCATCTTCACTTTTCAACAGTAATACATCTCATCAATACAATTCAGAAGCAACTTTTACAGTAGCCAACATAACAACAGCAAAATGTCTTTCGCCGATCTTTCCAAGAGCCTGAGCGACATCGAGCGCAAGGTCAACAAGTCCATCAAGATTCTCGGCAAGGGCAATGACATGAACTACAAGGATGCCATCAAGCTGGGCACCAAGTCAAACTCAATTGTCAGCACGATCAACAAGGGTATCAAGGACTACTCGGTGAGCTCGCTTTCCAAAAGCCTCCGTCACGCGATGGACAGAACTAACACATCAATCAATCATAGAACTTCGACCCGTCCGAAGATGAGGCCAAGAAGCTCTTGGGCCAGATGAACACAATTGTTGACCTGACCGAGACTCAATTGAACGCCATGGTATCGAACCAGGCCCGTTTCGAGAGCTTGAAAGTTGGTGGTCTCGTGAAGAAGAACGTTACCAAGACCGAGGCCGCGGGCAAGGAGCTTTCAGCGGTCATGATTGCCAAGGCCCCTGGAAGCATCAAGGGAGATGCTGAGGCGCTGGAGAAGAGACGTGAGGCTGCTTTCAACAAGGCAACTGGAGCGTTTGCTGGATCCACAGGCGGCGAGGATGAGCAGCTTGGAGACGACTCCGACTAAATGTACACTAGCTCTCAGCTCGTAATTCGTAGCGGCTGTGTAAATAAGAGTTTACCTTTAGGGAACTTCATCAGATGCTGTGAATTGTTCTGTCAAGCGCGTGCATATCTCAGCCAGTCTGACGGATGCGCGATGCGGCACTTCATTGCCAGGTTTCTCAGCGCTGTGATGATGGTGAATCCCGAAAGTCAATGTCGTCACATGCAACAAAGCTTGAGGTTAGCTGAGTGTGAAAACGGAGTGGTGTGACGCAGGGTGAGCCTGGATCACCATGCGTCACGTCACCATCGTGGTTGTGGTTGCGGTACGGCCCGCGGATCCGAGTAGATTCGGATTTGGAGCAAGTCAGCTGATTGACTCAACGTTCAATTTTGGGACCCCTGGGTTCTTATAAGAGATACCAATAATTTTCAATGGCTGCTGAGTGTAAGCTGGCTGACGAACTTTCCGGCTTATTCACTTGCCAAAGGGAGAGTATCCGAAGCTGCCACGACAATAGAAGCAGAAGCGTTGATCACTGAGGTTTAATCAACCTTGAATGTCGCGGGTTGGGCTGATGATGTCAATATCTTATGGGATATAAATGGAGAGGAGTAATAACCTGAGATTTGACAGTCAGAGCCTATTTCAAAAATTATAAGTGAAGTACGAAAGATGATATGTAATAAAGCATCATAGCCTCAACATTGAGCTTGTTTGGAGATTTGGATTCATCGAGAAGAACAATATTTCTTTGAACTAACCCAATCGAGCCTAGCCTACATCTTACCATCGACATCTTTGATTGGAGTGCGGGTTAGGTCATTGCTGCCTAGGGAATACCGGGTCTAAGCCGGAGAGGGGTTTACACTTTACAGGGTGCGTGTCCCTCTGGAGCCAATTGAGGTCATCACAGCTTCACGTTGACCTTGCCAGCAATGCCTCATTGTGCTCAACCACATCAAAATGGAGACACTCCCTCAGGACTTAATTGATGACATTGTCTCTTATTTACTGCCGCAGCAGCAAGTCAAAGCTATACAACCTTATGACGTGCGGGTGAGACCAATCTCGCCCGTGGCCCGGTTAGCCACAGCCTCTCGTCGGCTACAAGCTGCCGTGGAAAGGGCAACATTCAGATCTCTCAAAATTACCAGCGATGAGTTTCCAAAGTTTATCGAGCTCCTCACTCCGGCAAGGAGATATCACTTGGCTAGCTTGATCGTTACCATCACTCTTCCGCCTTACGACGAGGCTGCATCCCACAGAGCGGAATCGCCCGAAGAACGGCTTATCAATGATAGCTGCTACAGCAATGGCATAAAATCATTGTTCGATATTCTTCGTGGGTGGGAAGATGAAGATCCGGAAACAATAGGCTATCGCCTCGCATTATTCATAAACCACCCCGAATCACCTTCCGATACGCCATGGCCGACGAAGTACGTTCCATGGGGTGAGATGTATTCTGAGGAGGACGGAATTTACGAGGGCCGGTTCTTGCATTCATTCATCGAACTACAAGAAATTCAACTACTCCCAAACCTCGAGAGAGTGAAGCATTTCGTAATGATGCAACAAGAAGAGAGGTATGGACACCGTAACACCTACCCAAAGGTGCCTATTATCCTCGCCTCAAAGATGCCGAATTTGGAACGCTTCAAGCTTTTTATGAACGACGACGAGAAGAGATTTGAAGAACTTCGGATTCTCAACCGAAACGAAGCGGCACAGGCTATCCGAGAGCTGTCGTTACCATCACTGAGGAAAGCCGAATTCGACTTCTTTCAGAGGAGATATCGAAACGAGAGGGCCATGCCCCCAGCGTTGCATGAGCCCGGTGTCCCAGACCCGCTGAGCTCTGCCATCTACGCATTCTCACAAAATCTGGTAGACCTGAGTGTCACCGGAGCCTTTGACGACTCACTTCTCCGGCCTATACAAGGCCTGAGTGAGACCTCATGGCCGAATCTCAGATTTCTCGACGTGAACATGCATGCCACTTCCCCTTCAGGAATTTGGTACTTCAAAAAAGCAGACGGTAGCCCTGACCACCGGCCATACACCCATAGCTCCAGCACAAACAACGCCCATTCGGATCTGCACAGCGAAGAGTTTAGCTTTGTAGAGGAGGCCGCCTACGCGCGCATGACCCCGGTGGAGGTTTTCCGTTGCAAGCCCGACGATGCCCATATCACGCCCTTCATTGAAGCGTACGCAGACGCGCTGAAGGTGATGCCCAAGCTCGCATCAGCGGCGTTGAACTTCCAGCTCGAGTATGAGACCGAGGAAGACGAACCTAGCTGGATGTGTATTGCGTACTTTGCACCCTGTCGCACGGCATCAAAGCATCCGCCAAAACTACTGTGTCCGAACTGCAACCGAGGTGTGACACGTCAGCTAGTGAAGTTGTACCTTGGCTGGGAGCCGAGTGAGGCCCTGGCGGCCAAGCTGCTTGCGATTGGGGACGAGGCCCATGAGGTGCCAATGGTGGAAAAGACTATGGCTCAATTTATGGATCAGCATGAGTGGGCTAATGACGACGACTCGTGAAAACGGGGAGGAAGTCCATCCGTAAGTCGCAAGCGAAGCGATTTGACGTCTTGGATAATACATCACATCTACATGTACACATAATACCTCACATGGAATTTGAGGTGTATAGCTGAACCCGAGAGTCTTGATCATGGACAAAGGAATACGCCATATCAGTATCTAGTGGAATCTAAGCCGCGATTGATGTATAGAAGACGGATGTCATCGATAGATACGCGCCTCAATCGGTTTGATCAGCTGCAAAGAATGGTTCCAACCCGCAGGCTTGCTATTTCTGACAGTAACCCGTGACCGAGCAATTACCTACAGAGCGATTGGACTTTTTGCTACCTTCGAAGTTAGTTGTCTCTTGACAACATAATCATGTCGAGAGGTGAAACACGTGCTACAGTAGACATGGTGAGTGGGGGCTCAGTGACGGGTTATAATTAATGCGTAATGAACTTTCCAGCTCAGTTGGCTCAGACTCTAATCACCAGCTCCTTCCTCCATGAACCCGAGTTCTCATACCGACTTTGAGAAAGATGAGGTCTCTTCATGTCCTTCATTTCCGAGCGGGCGCGGCGCAGAGTCCCCGTACAGTCTTAACGAGCGACCTGAGAGAATATAACTCATCGATGGATTCGACTCCTATCAGCCCAAGGTATCATCATTTTCGTTCGGAGAATTCAATCTGTTAGAGCACTAAGAAGAAGGACTTTACGGCTGATCAAACACGGCATGTTTCTGGAGATGGCCCCATTTCAGAGCCAAGGCCAAGGCAGGAGCACGCTATACTAAAGTAAGTAAGCATATTTGATATGTAGGTAGGGTATGATGCTATCTTCTTTTCTCTTGCTTACTTTCTTAGAGCCACAATGCCAAGCTGTGTTTTAGTGTGTCCTATACTCGAGACAAAGATGGGACGGTTACCAAACTGAAGAATAGGACCCTCTTTAGATGATGGTTTTATCAGTGCCTGTATGGATTGCGAGGTTTTCAGTTTCCTCAGACACAGCAATTGCCAGAACATGCCATAAACACGCAAGTCTTCGATCATGAGATGAACGATATCTTACTCGGTACAAGTAGAAACCAATTTGCGGAAGACTCGCAGCAAGGCAATTGACGCGATGCTAAGTCATGAGGTTTGATCCCACCCGAGGCTTTCGTCGCTATCACAAACTGAAGCAAAACTTCTGTTCATCCGGGTGAGTCGGCTCAATCGGCATGCTCCCGATCATTCTGATTGAATCCATTTCATTTCCAATCCCAAAATCATATTCCCAGTGCCGAATGACTGGTAGGCGCAGCCATTTGCCTCACAATGCTTTAACACCTATGGCTTGCGAGTCTTTCCAATTGCCAGTTTCATCAAGATGGATACAAAAGAATTTGGAGCTGGTTCCGAACATCACCAAGAAGCCACCTTTGTAAAAGATAAATCAGTCGAGATTCCTCTGCCTACATGTAAGGTGGGTATGTGGCTTAGAGGTTTAAAGTTTGTAAGACGTGTTCCCTGGCGTAGATCGGACTCGGATCCTGTCGTGGGTGCCCACCTCACCCCAAACGGGCTCTAGTTCGTCTGTTCATTTTTCGCAAATCATCCAGTTTGCTGGGTGGCAGTGCCGTGCCTCAGAACAGATGCATCACTTCTCGGAGCTTCTAGAAGAATGGAATCTTCTCATTGGCGCCTAGATACCATGATCTTGTCGAGCGGCTTGACCTGAGGTGGGCTCCAGTCACTGAAGCAAGGAGATTCGAGATCAGTTTTGTGCCATCCACTGCTAGAAACAAGCGTCACCTCCTTGCAGAGCAGCAAATTCACAGCACGCAAACCGGAAACCTCAGCATCCTGTGCGCTAAAAAAAAAAAAGCTTGGGCTGGACTAAGGAGTTGGGCTCTGTCCTAACCGCCCCGGAACCTGACTCAAGAATGAGGGACGCTCGCGGGCATCTCTGAGGTTGTCTGTGGCATCGATGATAGAGTTCGACAACATGCGAGAAACCGTCTGGGAACTGGTGTGGACGCTGTCTCAAGTTGCTGGGTCCGTCTGTCCCATCCTCAGCAGCTCTCCCCTGCCAACTCTGAAGCACTGCAGAACTAGTGCTTCAATGATTTGAGGTCTACGGCTGTTAGCTGGAACCTGACTCAACTGTCGGCCACAACGCAGTCGAAGCAACAACCCCCCGCGCTGGGCTGGGCTGCCGTTTCAGTGTGTCTTCTCTTCACTGCTACGACGCGCATCTTTCCAAAATCTCCCCATAATTTTAGCTTTTGGCTACTGTCTTCGGCGTTCGCGGGCGGCCTTTGTATGGAAATGCCCTTTCCTCCGCACCAACGTCGAGGCCAACCGTCTCGCGCGCTACCAACCCTCGCAACCCAACTTCTGCCTGCTAACTTCCGCCCATACCGGCACGGCTACAGGGGAGGAAGTCGTAGGGCGGGCGGCAGGGCTTAGTGTCTGTTAAGCAGGTTACATTGAGGTGGATCTGGCAGCATGCCGGGGTGGGCAGTTCAATCTCGAACTCCCGCCTTCTGGCCAATCGCATCCAACCTTGTCACGCTGACGGACCTGGCTCCAGGCCGTCCGGCGACTTTCAGAGAAGGTGGCATACCTTTGAGGAACGGTAATATCTCTGATATAAAGTTGACTTGACAGATGAGGGGAGGGGATCGTCTCAGTTCTCTCAAGGGCCAAGCCATTCTTTTTCTGACCACAGTCTCCCTGTTACAATTTCCAGACCAGACGCTCTTTCAATCGCCATATATCCCCCCGGCATCCCACGCCTCAAAGACAAAGGTTCTTGTGCTCGCTGCCGAAACTGTCACTCATTCAGTCGACGAACAGTCTGTCAAAGCTCTTTCACCTACTCAACTCTCTCAGTCGACCTCAGTCACCAATAAAGCATCCCGTATCAAAATGCGCTCCTCAATCCTCTACCTCACCCTAGCCGGCCTCGCCAGCATCGCCCAAGCCAACCCAGTCATCAAGCCAGACGCCCAAGTCGACCCCAAAGGCCTCATCACCCGCAGCCTCTCCCATTTCCTCTCCTCCCGTTCCGAATCAACACGCTCCGAGCCGCCCCCGACAAAGAGGCAAGCAACGCCGCCTCCGCCTCTTACGAGTGCCCCGGCCGCCGCTCCGCCCGGCGGCGGCGCAGTCAACAACGCCAACCGCACCGTCACCTTGACCGTAATCCAAGGCGACACCCTCGGCCAGATCGCGCGTCTCCTCAACTCGGGCATCTGCAACATCGCGAAGCTCAATAACATCGCCAACCCGGATTTTATCGAAATCGGCCAGGTCCTGCAGGTGCCCATCAACGTCGCCAACCCGGACAATGATTCGTGCCTTAACCGCGGCGGGGCGATCCCGCCCCCGGGGCAGAACGCTACTGCTCCCGGTGCGCCGCCTCCGGCGGGTGGCAAGGGGAAGAAAGTCAGGCGGAGCGGGAACCTGTTTTCTGAGAAGGGTCCCCGGGCGCCGTTGCGCTAATTTGGAAGCTGAGGTTTGCTGAGCCTAGCAATACGACCTGGAGGGGTTGGTTGGGGGAAGTGAGATTTGGGATGAGCACCGTGGCTGGATAACACGAGACTTTGGCAGCTGGCAGCGGGTCTGGCCTCGGAGTTTTGGCATTTGGCATATTTCAGGTGTGAGATATTGGGCGTTTTCTTGTGTTGTGTCATTCATCCTTTATAATATACCTGGCTGGAACAGTCCGTTCGAACTTCGAGAAGAATGAGCCCCAATATGAAGTATTCTTTGCGAATTTGAGTGAGACATTGAGTTGCATAGACCGCTCTTCTACTTTCTTGAGAAGCTGTGACGTCATGTGCCGAGCGTGGCTCATGAGTCAGCAAACATAGAGGAGAGAGTCTAAGGACCATCGCCAAGGCCTGCGTCAATTTTGAGACTGCAACTCATCTCGACACTTGACAATAATCACGCGCTGATCTCAAGCAGTCAGATCGTAAGGGAAGACGATATCCTTTGCTCTATAGGTGATATGGCTGTTGTCCAGGTCCTGACGTTTTTCATTTGTTTTCAAGATTATCCTTGATCAGTACGCCCACAGCCATGGCAGCAATAGCACCCTCACTGGCCTTTCACGAGCCGTCCATCATCACAATCGCAATCCTATCCGGCTTCCTTCTGCTCCTCAACACCATAAACTACGGCCTCGACAAGCTCGTCTACTGTGGTCTGATCGGCCAGGTCTTCCTCGGCATCGCATGGGGAGCCCCAGGGGCAAAATGGCTCTCCGATGAGATGGAGCACTCGATGGTGCAGCTGGGATATCTTGGCCTGATTTTGATTGTGTATGAAGGTGAGATCCATCTCGCATGATATTCTCCTACATGTCGAGCACAGTAATACTGACACTCAGTCAACAGGAGGTCTCTCCACGTCCTTCAAGTCCCTCAAAGCAAATCTTCTACTCTCAATCGGCGTCGCCGTCACCGGCATCGCCATCCCCATGAGCCTCTCCTTCACCCTAAATTCTCTCATCGGCGCCACACCACTGCAAGCCTTCGCCGCGGGAGCAGCGCTCTGCTCAACCAGTCTAGGGACAACCTTCACGGTCCTAGGCACGAGCGGCCTCACTACCACCCGCATGGGCGTCGTGTTGACCAGCGCTGCTATGATGGATGACGTCGTCGGTCTCATCATGGTCCAGGTTGTGTCCAACCTCGGTGGCAGCGGCGGCAGCGCCTTCAACGCCGTGACTGTGGTTCGGCCGGTTCTCGTCTCTCTAGGCTTCGCGACTGTTGTACCGGCGGCGTGTAAGCTCGTCGTGGGGCCGATCACGCTGCGTCTCAACTCGATGAGAGAGCAGAGCCCCGGAGCGAGTATTGACCAGCTTCTTCCCCTAAGACAGACTGCCCTCGTCATCCATACGTGCTGGCTATTCGGGCTCATTGTGGGTGGGGCTTTTGCTGGGACCTCGACCTTGCTTGCGGCATACATCGCGGGTGCTACCATCAGTTGGTGGGACAGCGAAGTGCCTCATCTTGCAACTCGGGCCAAGGGCAAGCAAAAGGCACCTATCACTGGGTACGCGTCTGCCTCAGCCGACCAGAAAGCTACCATTGCAGACACGCCGGGGCAATCGAGTTCCGAGAGCCCAGCTGCGGGCCCTCCGGATTCTGGCAATAGGGAACCCGATGCCTACACCTCTGGCATTAAAATATACGAGCGTTACTACAGCAAGGCCGTTGAGCACGTGCTGAAGCCATTCTTCTTTGTAAGTCCCCATGATAACTAAACTTGTATTGATACCACATCCTGATCCCGACAGGCATCCGTCGGTTTCTCAATACCGATAACAAGAATGTTCTCCGGTCCCATTGTTTGGCGTGGAATTGTCTACACTATCCTAATGATGGCTGGCAAGCTGATATGTAGTGTTTGGCTGCTGCCTTTTGCCAGCCCGCTCCAAGCCGTGCAGCGGATCGCCAAGAAGGTTTCCGGGGTCAGGGGCCAGCAGTCGAACAAGCTCGCACCCGGTACGCAGTGTGCAGGGACGCCATCAGATTCGAGGGCGAGCAACAATCGAACTTCCCCACAACAGCAGCCACAGCAGGAACAGGAGCAGTGTCAGGGTGCGCAAGAGGGTCAAACGGAAGAGGTACTTCTTCAACCGTCCGACTCGCGACAGGCCGGAAAAACTCCGAAAAATGCTTCTCCAAAGCCGGAGATGCCCGTATCCGTGTATCCGGCTTGCATTCTTGCCTTCGCAATGGTCGCTCGTGGTGAGATTGGCTACTTGATCTCTGCATTGGCGGAAAGCACTGGCATCTTCAGCGGCGGGTCAGGTGCACCTGATAATCCTTCGGAGATGTTCTTGATTGTGACATGGGCCATCACTCTGTGCACAATCGTTGGACCCATTTGCGTCGGTCTGCTTGTGAACCGGGTAAAGCGGCTCGAGGCGCACAGTGGGAAAGGCTCGAACGGAAGTGGACGGAACGTTCTCGGGGCCTGGGGTGTAGAATAGACGCCAAGAGCAACCCTTCGGCGAGCAACAGAGAAGCGATTCTTGAGTTCTTCCTGAAGCCGGACATTGCCACAGCCTCGTGTAGCAGATACGTCGGGCCTATCTCCAGCCCAAGTACCCAAGCCAGGTCATACAATGTAGTGTCTGAAACTGGTCCCAAGACTTTGACATTCTTGACGTTCAAGTACGTGTCATTCGGCATCATGTGGATGGATCGAGTGTGTCCCTCCCGAGTCATGCGCTGTGAGCGCGGCTCCTTGTAAACCCGACTGCTCCCACCACTGCTTCAGCCCGTCCACGTCGCACCAGTCAAACAGTCGGGGCTCTTCGAACCACCACCTATTGCCGGGTCGAGGCTTGTCGCTGACATATTTCTTGAGGCAGCCACCATCAAACCGATGGTTCTTGACACCGACGAGGAGTACGACACTTCCAATCTTGGGGGCGAAGGCCTCAGCGTCGAGAAACACAGTCAAGATGACTTGTTTGCTAGTGCTAGGGTCGACGAGTCGAGCAGTTCGTTGTGTATGGTGAGGCGGCATGTGGGACGGTTCGATTTCGGAGAGAGAGGCGACGACTGCGAGAACGTTGACAGACCAGTTTTGCTTGTAGGGTAAGTTCGGGATAGATCGTAGAGAAGTCAGCTTCAGCGGCGTGTTCAGGTCTGTCCAGTCGCGTGGCAAGGCCACAGGGCCTCCCTTATTCCTGGCCTGCACTCTGCGTTGAGTTGCCTTTGTCTCCGAAACTTGCATAACCTCGAATCCCTCTTCGTCGTCATCGTCAGCCTCCACCGCCCCCACCGATGCCCCGGTTGCCCCGATCGAACGCATGCGTTGTGGTTTTGGCCTTTGGGTCGATGTGGGTATAAAGGTCGGTCGTGGTTGTCGCGCCTTTATTGGAGTTGCGACGGATTCAACGTCGCTATCAGAGACAACGTCCTCCTCGACTTCGTGTTCTGGGAGTGCTGGAGGTACTGCGTCGGGTTCTGTGAGAGCCTTATGCCATCCAATAGTGACCAGATCATGAACAACCAGATATACCATCTGTCTCGTCCCTTCAGATCGATCGCCGTCACCAACAAGGTCCTGGAGGCGAATCGAGAATTCCCCTAGGCGGACGTAGCAGCCGACGCGGATAGCTCTAGTGTCTAGGAAACGATGCATCTCTCCACGAAGAAGAGCCTGTATACAGAGCTCACCGTCACCCAGCATCAGCCGTATGGCCCTCCATCTCTTCGACCGTGGCACAGGGAGGGACTCGACGCCTTCAACGAGGAAAATGGAACCGGGGATGCAGTAGCGGGTACGCAGCAGGTCGTTGATCATGGGTTTCGGAACAAATGGCTCGGCATCATTGGTAAATGCTACCTCTGCTGGGGTTGTTGACTTCTCGGGCGCGTTGGGGGACATATGGACGCATTCATCGTTTCGCGGCGACGCGGCGAGAGTCGAGTGTGAGGGCGTCGAGTGATGATGTTTCTTTCAGATTCCCCCGCCAGTGGAGAAGTCCAATGGCACAAGGTCACTGACAGGGCGGTGGCGTGGCGGGCATGCCTACTGAAGACTCGCTAATGCAAGTCATTACGTAGCTTTGCACGACAGCTAGGGATTACCCCGGCCCGGCCTGACAGACCGATCCTACCCCATCTCATTCACCTTCACCTTCACCTACCAATGTACTAGTGAGTAGGTACCTCATGAGATGAGCTTCGATACGCTCACCCATACTCTAAGACTTGTATCTGCCTCTTTTCGAGTATAAAACCTTTGGTAATGAGAGTTAACGAACCATTTCACTCACCCCAATTGGTTCATTTCATCGCATCTCTGAGGGCCGTATCTCGCATTGAGCGCCAGTGAGGCCCGTGATTCACTCTTCAGCATCTTCGCTGGTTTTATGAGTCTGGTCTTTCGCAGTTTACGACACTTCTCATTCGCTACTTTCCCAGTACTTTGGCGATCATTCGAGCCTGAGTGTGAGTCTGAAACCATCAGTAATTCTCATACTCATCGTTCCATTACCACACATTCTGAGTTTTGCTCGTGACCAGCAGGGCGACTTGTCCTAGGTTCCAAGATCTTGCATCATGCATCAACAGCTGCAGTCATCGACTTCAAAGGGTATAAATTCTCAACCAAGTCCTTTCACTTGACTCGGAAATCTTTATTTGCACCACGCTCGGGCTTCGCAGACGCAACTCAGACTTGAAGATTAGTTGTCATAGACTAGAGCGCTTTCGGACGGCTGGTGAAACTCGATCCCTGTGACACGTGAAGACGCCGTGGGCATGCCAACCATAAGGTAGTAAGAGACAGTCAACAAACAGTTGAGTTGAGAGCCGCCTTGGCCATGAACATCGTAGTTCATTCAGATGAGAACTTGGTCGGCCTCTGTAATACATGCAATACTAGTGTTAGTATTCCTTTGCTTGATTTTTATGATTTAAATAGCATTTTGGAGAAGAACCCGGTTCGCCTATTGGGGACGCTTAGGTCCAGGGATCAATCGTTCAGACACCACGGTGTCAGTGACGATGTCGCCCACTTGAGGATTGAACCAGTCACGACTAAAGTCGTCGAAAGGCGATATGAGTTGCTAAGAACAGGCCAAAGTTCGCGGTTGTCTTCGGTACAGTAATGTGAAGGAGTAGATACTTTCACCATCATTTGTCAGGCCAGCAGCGCCAGCGCTTGCTATACCAAAGGTGAACCTAAATTGCCGTCGCGTCGTGTTGTCGCGTAGGTAATCAAGACCATACATACCGTCAGAATCATCTACTTTCGGAGATCACTTCCCATGCCTCTTGAGCGTGAAAAGGAGTAGTCCGTAGCAGGTAGGGATTGGTTCGTAAAGTTTGAAAGACTTTGCCAGTTTTGACGGATCAAGGGTCATCTTTAGTAATACTAATAGTCAAATGCGAAGTATGGAGTCGCAGCGAACAGTTTTCCTCTTGAACGGGTCAGCTGTACGAAAGCGACGCTGCCAGATCCACAAAGTTTGCTTATTTATGCTTGTTACCGAGAGGATCTACGACCAATCGATGATCAGCATCCCTCTCTGACAAACCGATATTAGGGTCCGCCTTAGAAACTTCTTTGATGGCACTAGGAGAGGCAAACGAAGGGGGCCGTTCTTGAGTGGCTCCACACCGAGCACTAGTGCTGTCGCGTTCACGGTTCGAGTTCTAGCACAGCAAACTTAAAAACGGATATCGGCCCCGAATCCGAATTGACCTTAGGTACGGAGTATTTACTTGTAACTAGAGTCTTTGAAAAGTAGACAGTAGTTCCCTCCATCGGTTGTTCACCTAGATGTAAGGTGGTTGCTGACAATATTCAACAGGAGATGGGCGGAGCTGTCCGCATCGCTGGATTCGCTGCAGGTGCTCAACCGGGATCAACAGCCGGTTTAGCTCTACCATCTTGGAGCTCGGCACCTTCTATTACACACTTTCTGGGATGCTTCGATCAATAATTGGAGCACATGACGCGGATTTAAGAGAAGATCTAGGCGTAAATACGCTAGACGGGACGTTGGAGAAAGCCGCCGATCAAGGTATATGTAGTGAACCTGGATCCAAAAGAGTGGCAGAATTTCACATAGGCACCTTCCCTCGTATAACAGTGGCAGTCCGCGTATCCACGTTCAGCCCCTGGTATCAGCATCCAGTAAGGTGCCTCTCCCGGCACAAGACTGACGCTTAGCCGGATTGTAACCCCAACTCCGACAGCTGGGATCATAACACACACGCATAAGGTACAAACACATCATGCTCATTCGCTATCGGGATTCAATTTCTACCTTTAGAAAAGACGGAATTCAGACCAGCGGGCTCCTACAAAAACCCGGCGCTGCGGCAGGATCCGCGTCCTACTTCGGGGATTAGGCATGGGGAATGTCAATCTTAAAGTCTTGATTTCCCCGCAGGGGCCTGGCCGGCGGGAGCGCCACCTTCCGGCGGAAGTTATGCATGCTTCGGGCTGACTTATGCAAGCCCGGGTCCGAATGACCTATTCCGCAGAAAGTAGAGGCAACCAGCGCGGATACTTATGGGATAGCCCGCTCACTACATTGAATGTGATCAAAGGCTGGAGGCGCTTCCGGTGTGCCACAGCAGACTGAAAGGAGAGCTCGACGTGGGCTTCTCTTGTCTCATTCTTGAAGCGTCACGGGTGTTTAAGCATGTTCAGCTCGTAACCATATTATTAAGGGAATTAATATACGGGCGTCGCAAATTGATATACGGGCATCGCTCTTACACGGGCGTCGCTGTTTGACCTTTTGATTAGTCTAAAAAAATTTTGTTAGTATAGTTAAATTCTGCTAGATACCTATAAAGTATCCTAAGCCTTTATTCCTTTACTCCCTTTACGCTTAGGTTATATTATTAAGCCTCGAAATCTAACTTATAGTATTTGCCTATAATGGCTTCTGTAATTAGAGTTAGAGACGTTCCCTAAGGCCAATCTTAAAATAATACCCCTATTAAGAGACTTCCCCCTCTACGAGAGCGACTATTGATTAATTACGGCCTCCTACTATCATCCGGCTAACTACTATTATCTCCCTCTTTAGAAAGCAGCCGCCCTAGCATCAGCCAATTCTATGGAGTTAGTAATCTTAAAAGGTAACGCGACCTTATTACTAAGCTCCTAGCCGGCATATTATAAGACATACGACCTTTTATAAACGATTACCTTAATATAGAGCTTATATTATACCTTATTTGCTATTTCCCTAAAGGAATAACGAAAACCTAGCGGACTACCCTCCTACGACTTTATCTAGAGCATAACCCCTCTCCCCCTAACAAATAGTCCTAATAACCTTCCTATCTTATAATAAAATAGTTTAGTAGTACTCTTTAACTTATTAAATAGGTTATTAGGACTAATCAATAGCTAACAACGGCACTACTCCGATAATAAGAATATGTCCGTCAATAGTAAGAAATATGGGGTCCCTAAGTTAACCTACTACCCTATTCACCCCTACGGCCATCCTCCACTTAAAGCATAGCGTCTTTCCGAACTATAGCCTCTTACTATATTCTAAATAACCGATCCTCCTCTCTTCCTATAACCTAAATTCTAAACCTACCAATTCCTAACAATCTAGAGTAAACCTATAATACCCTCTTTAACCGAGTTAATAACTTTATAAAAGCTAATGGATTTAATATTATAAAACGGAATAGGTATAAAGTTTAAGGCCAAATTATTTAATACACCTTCTAATATAATCGGTTTAACAAGCCTAGGCCTATAAAAGGCGTTAGTATTTAATAATATAAGTCTCATAAATACGGTTATAAATAGCAAGTTATTACCGAGGCTTAAGAGGAGGATAAGTGGCTATTATATTATTATCTAGACCCCCAGTACAATCAGCATAATCATGGCCCTAGCCTTAAAGCCTCTATACACCCTTTATATTATAAGCTTACCAAAGTAATTTAGGATATTATTAAAATTATAAGTTAACGAATTAGGATTCAGGCTTGCGATATATATACTATTATCTAAGAGTAGTTCTTAAAGTCCTTATTTACCTAATAAGATATCTATAATACTAGGGCTTGTATAAGCCAAGAGAAACTAGCTGGATATTCGCTAATTATAACGTTAATTAAGCTGTTTAATAAGCGAGACATCCTATATATAGTGAAATAGGTAGACGACGAGCTAAACCGCCTTATTAGCCTTATCTGGACCTTTCCTTATTATCTCTAAATATGGAAGCGATTCCCTAAGGTGATTAGCTTCGATAATACCTATAATATTAATCACTTTAAGCTCCCTCTCTTCCAGGCTACTAAGTAGACCTACCTCGGATCTATCTATAACGCCGCGTTCAGCCTTATTAATAACGAGAGACTAAAGGGTTTCCGGTTTCTCTCGGTAAACATCCGCTAACTTATAGACTAATACTTAGTCCGTTATCCTACTATTATTATTATAAATTACGATAAGTAGATAAAGGCTATATTAAATAAGTAGTTCCCGGACGTTCAGTAATAACTCTATATCTACTATATTAACTCTAATATTATATTTAGGGCTAAATAGAAGTAGGTTAAAGACCGTAGTTATAATAGTAATAGTAATAGGTCTAATAACGAGGGATATTAGCTACTAATATAAATAATAGCTATACTAAGTAATAAGGATAAGGCCTATATTAATATGCCTATTAATAAGCCCCTCCCTTATACGTATTATAGGGTCCTTATAATATAGAAGCTTATTGTTTTTATTAAGACTAAGCATATTTTTGAGAAAGCCTAGACCAAGCTCTATAAAAAGTTTAACGACTAATGCCTAATCCTCTAATACCTCTACGCAATATACTTACCTTTAAGAGCATAATAGGCCCGTTACTCTATCCAAAAATACCAGAACTTTAGTATTCGCATTACCTCTAACACTAAATTAAGTAATAATAACATTAAGGGTTATCTTTTAAATAATTTTAATCACCTATATCGGCTTATCGACGTTATATAGGATATAATTAGCGATCAGGAGCTATACTTTTACTAGGCCTATATAGAGGACGAGGTACTTATAGGCCGGGAGTATATAGGTACTCGCTTTAAATACCTAGGCGAACTTCGAACAATACTTTCCTTAAAGTATTTTACCTTAATTAGGACGTAAGGCCGGCTTATAAAAAAGGTAATACCGTCTAGCAAGAGGCTATTCCTAGCCCCCCTCGGATATTATAATCTAGATTATACTATTTCGATTAAATTAAGTATCCTATACTACTATAAGATCTACTCTAAAATATTAAATTTACTTACTTTTAGTAAATAAGAAGTATACCCTCAGTAGTATTTTCGAGAAATATCTTCCTTAGATCTATACCGCCAGATCCTTGACCCTAAGATTACTATATCCCTCTACAGTAGGCCAAAGAACATAGTGCAGCCTATTCTATCATAACTAACCTTACTTAAAAAAGGCCGGTTAGCTAATTAAGCCCGTACTACCTATAGCAGCTAAGGCGTAAATAATAAAAAGCAAGGCCGCCTACTTAGGAGCAAAAATAAATCGACACTAGCTAGGCTTATAAAAGAGATAAGTCAGCCAAATCAAAGCCAGATATCAATTTTATCCTAGCAATAAACAAGGAGCCAGTCTAGCGTTCTTAGTAGGGGGAGGATAACGGGGAATTATATAAGTGGACGGCCAATATAGCCTAGTATTTAGAGGAAACGGAGCTAGTGGGAAGTAGTTTATAATAACGATGAATTTTTATAACTACGTCGGAAGAAGTAGTTAAGTAATAGGCTATTTTAGGGGTTATATAGTACTAACGTCGCTATGATTTACTCTCTATATATCTTAAATATATAGTAAAAGGAAGCCTTGCCCATTTGAGATTTATAAAAGCTTATATTACTATAATTCAGTTTTTATAAATCTCAAACTAGAGTTTAGGTTAGAGAGGATAGTAGGAATAGCCATGTTAGTACAGTCACCCTCACCGCCTTTATAGGGAGGTACTGTTTTTTTGGACTAATCAAAAGGTCGAACAGCGACGCCCGTGTAAGAGCGACGCCCGTGTATCAATTTGCGACGCCCGTATATCAATTCCCATTATTAAAGTCGTGATACGCCAGACAGGTGGCTCTATACGTACACCAGAGTTTGTGTTACCAATTCCTACCTCTGTATTCCTGTACAAATACGGACATAGGGACTCAGATGTCGAGGCTACCATCCTACCGGATTTAGGGAGCAGAATAATCACCGGTAGTCTGGGCGGTCCCCAGAAACCCAAGCTTGCTCGTCTAATATTTTGGCAGAAGCGCTCGGTCTTCTGGCAGCAATCAGGCTGGAATGAGACCGACACACTGTTGAGCCACAATAGCAGCGAGAAAGCGAGGAAAATTCTGCGCCAGAACGAACCGTCAGTACGCAATGCCCCGTGTCCTGCCATGTCAGTGCCGCCTCTTTTCATCAAATGGTTCCAGGCCGTCTGATATTCAAGGGGGGTTGATCCCTGCGCCCATCAATGTCGTCCAATCGCTGAGTGGCTCGCGATCGCTTGTCAGGGTATCTCGCTTTCGGATTCTTAATTGATGGTGTGCTAATGGGGAAACCAACGAACTAGTGCGGCGCAAGGTCCAGCTGGTGCACAACTTTGTGCACCTGGAGCTGAACCCCTTCTCGAAAGCCCGGGGTTGCTGTCCGATTCTAGATCTCCCGCAACGAATATAATGTAACCGTCTTCCCATTGATTTTTTTTCAGTTTTAGTCTTGAGGCTCAAGCCAAGAAGTTCTCGTTTCTACATACGAACAGCGACTACACCGGACTGCACTGCCGGAAACTACACTCAGCAAACGACTTATACGATCAACTCAGATGCGACACACATACATATTGGCCCAGTACCTCGACATCACAGCACACTATGGCGGATCTCAAGCCCTCGGACTCGACCCCGAGAGATGTGGACGTTGAGAAAGGAATCAGCCCTAACGCCTCGGAGGATCTCGAAGGCGCTACGATCAGACCCGAGTCTCGCCAGGAGTCAGCAGAAAACACACAAGATGCCAACAAGGAGACAGAGCAAGATCCGAACGTCGTGGATTGGGATGGACCCGACGATCCAGAAAACCCTCAAAACTGGCCCATGAAGAAGAAGTGGTTCAACATTGCTACCATCTCGATGTTGACTTTTGTCACGTAAGCCCAGTTCCTTCTCTATTCCCTGACGAAGTTCACCTGCTAACCTTCACAGACCGCTCGTAAGATGTCCTAGGAGTACACATCCAAGCTGACCGAGTACTAACATTCTTCGCAGGGATCCTCAATGTTCGCCCCCGGCATTCCCAAGATCATGGTCGAATTCGGCGAAACCTCAGCCACGGTAGCGACATTCGTCGTCTCAGTTTATATTCTTGGCTTTGCCTTCGGTCCCCTCATCATTGCCCCTATGAGTGAGGTCTTCGGTCGCGCGCGGCTTTACATCTATGGCAACATTCTCTTTACCATCTTTACCGTCGGTACGGCTCTGTCACAGAACATGGCCATGATGATGGCATTCCGTTTCCTCATGGGTCTGGCTGGTGCCGTGCCAGTCACTATTGGCAGTGGTAGTATTGCGGATATCATGCCAATCGAGCAGAGAGGTCGTGCGATGTCCGCCTGGGCTCTGGGACCCCTCCTCGGCCCGTGTATTGGTCCCGTTGCCGGAGGCTACCTGATTAAGGCTGCCGGCTGGAGATGGGTGTACTGGCTTGTGACTATTGTGGTATGTAACCCCCAAGAAACTTGAAAGCCGAATGGCCCACGGGATGCTGACCATATCACAGGGCGGTATTTTCATTCCTCTCTCGTGGTTTATGATGAGAGAGACTTTCGCTCCTCTCATTCTCGAACGCAAGGTAGCCAGGCTTCGCAAGGAAACCGGCAACATGAACCTCAGAAGCAAGCTCGACGATGGACAAACCACGAAGAAGAAGTTCCAGCACGCCATCATCCGACCTGTAAAGCTCCTTTTCGTCACGCCGATCGTTACCCTCATGGCTCTTTACGTCGCCATCACATACGGTATCCTGTACTTGCTCATCACGACCTTCTCTTTCGTCTATAGAGACCAATACGGCTTCGACGAGGGAACAATCGGTCTTACTTTCCTTCCCGCCGGCATTGGTATGATGATTGGCGTCGGCGTCTTTGGCGCGCTCACCGACTTCATCGTCATCAGGAACAAGAAGAAGGGACTCGTTCACAGGCCTGAGGCTCGTCTTACTCCGGTACTTACCATGCCCTGCGGTGTGGTTCTTCCCATCGGTCTCTTCATCTACGGGTGGACCACTGAAAAGGGGGTTCACTTCATCGTTCCCATGCTTGGAGTTGTCATCTTCGCCACTGGGCTCATGGGTGTCATGGTGAGTCACTACTATCCACCTGAAGAAATGGCGTTTGCTGATATGAGAAACAGATGTGCATTCAGAATTACCTTCTCGATACCTATCCACGATACGCAGCTTCCGTCACTGCTGCGCTAGCTGTACTGCGATCTTTGGCCGGCGCCCTTCTTCCTCTTGGAGGCTTGGAAATGTACAACGCCCTCGGACTCGGATGGGGTAACAGTTTGCTGGGGTTCATCTCGGTCGCCCTTATCCCTATTCCTCTCGTCTTTTACATCTTCGGCGAGCGTATCAGAGGGAGATTCAAGCCTACTCTGTAAAATGGGTGGGATTAGTCAGATGGGCGTGTTACTTTTAGAGCATGGCGCAAGGGGTTAACATTATATGGCATTAAAGGTGCCATTCTTTCTGGAGCGATGATACATAATACATTAGACGCATACCTCATAGTTGAGATAGCAAGAACGTAATGAACTGAGAGATTCTTCTTAGACAACGAGATTGGACATGCGAATCGCTTGGAAGTGCATGTTGCCAAAATCACCACTGAAATTGCTGTTGTCGTTTTCCCGAGGCTGACTACAAGCCGCGGTACAAGATAAAGTGGCTTGGCGGCGGTGGTGACAGTGGTGCTAGTAGTCGATTTGGAAGTAGTTGAACTCCTCAAAAGAACAAGCGCGGGATCATGGTACCTGGCCCTCGAAATAAGGATAATTGCCTACCTACATGTAGCACCGAATGAAAAGCGATGCGCTATGCAAGGGCCAAGATCCGTAACAAAGGATCAACGCATGCTAAAACATAGTCTTTGGGTATTGATGAGCGATCGAACGAAGGAAATCCAAATAGCCTGTGCTTCCCTTGAATGACGGGCTTCGGATGGCGTCCCCGAAGCCGCATGCGGGTTAGGAATGCAGATACGCAGCAGTTCGCGGCGGCCGCATCCGTCCAAGACAAATCCGGCGTCAAACGCGGCCAGCCCGACAGATAGCGGCAACTCAATTGCACCAGTTTCATACTTGGAAGGCTTGCTTTAAGCAAACTGGCTTTGATCTCCTCTTTCAAGTTGATTCCTGATTCCTAGTCCCCTGTTTTCGACAACACCCCATGAACACCGCAGTTACTTGGACGTGAGCATGATTCCTTTTACACGATTCAAGGATCTCTCTGGAATGCCGCTGGGTTCATGAAAGAAACATAGGCGTACAACTCCATTCACACAGCCTATATCGAACATCCCATATCTACAGGTCGTTGCCGGTCTCTTACTTCGCTGGGTAATGGCCGTCTCGGCCGTGAGGTTCAGCATGAACAACGCCACGATACCATCAGGAGGGGTTGGACCAGGAGCATCCTTGCCGACTGAAACGAGGCAGCCGTTGGTCGTCGGCATAACGTCAATGTTTATTGCCTTGGTCGCGGTCTTTATGGTCATTCGGGTCTACATCAGGGGTTATCTTTTGCGAGGATGGGGACTCGATGACTCCATGTTTATATGGTCTTCGGTTAGTGTGAAATCTCCGAACTATCGAGAGTCACAATTTCAACTAACGCCATGGTACAAGATCCTCGTGATAATACAAGGTACTATGGTACTATGTAGTAAGTAACAACCCGAAGGAGGGCATCTCCTCTTATTCAATTGCTTTATTAACTCTCTTCATCGTATCAGATGCAATCTACGGAAGTCTTGGGTTGCACCTCTGGAGATCGACATTTGACCAACTACAACAGAATCCCCGCGTAAGTTCTGGAAACACACGATACTGAAGTGACAGCCATATTGCGAGCTTTTGACTGACATTGAAACAAGTACTTGGTAGCGACAGTCTTCCTGTACCAACTGTCTTTCGGCTTCATCAAAGCAACCTTCCTACTCCAGTTCCGTCGAGCGTTTGCGCTGCCTCATATAATATTGTTTTGCGACGTTTTCTTGGGCATCATGTTCATAGCACTCTCAGGACTGCTCGTCTTTGGCGGAATCGTCATGAAAGAATTCCTGAAGCCAGGGTATGTTCCTGACCCCGCGGACAAGACTTACCTCATATTCGGCTACGTCAATGCCGCCGTGCATCTCTCAACGGATATCGTCATCTTCATCTTGCCACTGGCACTTGTAGGACGGATGCGCCTTGCAGCGATGCAAAAAGCCGGTTTAATCTCTAGTTTTGGGGTGGGCATTTTGTGAGTAATTTGATCCGCGTGTTCATCAATCATCTTTCTGAACAAAGTATAGCACTAGTGGGATTTCGGTGTTAAGAATCGCCAGTCTGCCTCTCGCTACCAGCGGCATCGATGGGTTCTACCAAGCCGTCCCGCTGGTTCTTCTAAGTTTGGCCGAGCCTACGTCTGCGGTCATATGCGCTTGTGTGCCAATTATGCGGCCCCTTTTAGCATGCTCAGGAACTTCAAGATATGGCAGCCAAGGTTCACGAAGACCTCTGTCAGGGGCGACCAACAAATCGGCTGGACAAAGACGTCAGACACCAAGTGCGCCTCCACAATCGCCCACTAGCACGATAAGCCCATCGGTGACGCAAATGACACACATTTCGACATTTACGAGGAGCATAGATGGCGATTTAGAGGGCTATAGATCTAGCCAACAAGCCAGGGGAAGCATCAACACCTTGAACCCTCTGTCAATGCATCCGTCATCACCCACCAAAACGTTACAGCTCCCATGACGGCTTAGATGTATTTCACTTTTAAGACAGTTCAAACTCTATCGTTTATCGCGGCGTACAAAAGCATTTGAACATGAAAGTATCAGCGCATAGGGTAATGGTCTCCTCACGATGACGAAAGACACGAATCAGGAGGCGACATGAAATTACATTGGCAATGAAGGCTCTGGAGATGAATTCACTAATGTTTGAGCCTTCGGGATGAGATATTTGGATTATCTAATTGGTAGTTCACAACTGGGTCGTGGAAACGTGCGAGAACGGCATTATCCAATCAAATATGTTATGCACGGAATTCGACAACCGTTGGATCGAAATGGGTTTTCGTCAAAGTCAGACGTGACGAGCCAAAGAAATCCGCAACCAACGTTTCGTGGTCCATCTGATGAGGCAGGACCGCCACCCAACGACTTGAAGCAAGCTGGGAAAGCAAACATCGACCCCCAGCAGCGGCGCGGACACATCACCGGGGGTAAATGTGGGTGAAGGGGGTAAGAACACCCGATGACCCGGTGTTTGATCCGCTATCAGCCTGTCTCCGATGATGGAAGAAATGTCAACTTACACTTGTGTGCATACATGTACTCGAAAACTGATGGCTCGGACTGCTTGCTGTGGACACGAAGTCATCTATCAAGTCATAACCTCTTTGATGAGTAATGGCTGAGCCAGGGTGGGGAGATGTTTCCTCATTCTGAGCGCCAAGATCATGTTGGCCGAGTTGCTCGAATTAGCTATGAAATTCATACGAGGAAATCTGCCTTGAATGATGGAACATGACAGTATCTACTGGACTACATGCATGACCCCAACTTCCCTCTCGCCTAATTTTTCTTGGCATCTGCTGTTAGTGAATGAGTGAGCCTACCACCAAATTACTAACAGCCGAAAACTCTTCACCTCCCCTTGCCGGAGCCCGCATCCGCGATGGCCTCACAGCCGCCGTCGGGCACCGGACTGATGTCGGCCGACCAAGCCGACCCCGAACCAGGCTCCGGGACACCTCCGGAGCCGAACCCCACCTCAAGAGCTAAGCGACGCCGCGACGTCGAGGCACAGCCGACCCGGCCCAGCCTAACGGGAAGCCAGCTTGATGCCACCACCGACGCCCCTACCTCGGCCGAGGGGCCCGCAGCCTCTACCGCATCTGCTCCGAGCGGATCTGCCACAGGGTCCGTCTTGACAGCCCTTGCAGAAGAAGCTAGACAGTACGAGGCACGGAAAGACGTCTTTCTGACCATTGCACGGTCCGTCGACAGCGTTGTCGCCAGCTTTGACGGTTCTAGAAAGCAGATCGCGAAAGAAGCCACTGCCTATGTCATTCAAACCCTCAAGAGACTGATCAATCACGAGACAAGCCCAATAGCGGCCCGGAGTTGGGCGGCTGTCGTCGCACCGATGGCGGGCAACACCACTGCGGCGACCCGGAGCGGCCAGAGCTGCCAGAGCTCTGCCCGCCCGAAGGCCACACTCCCCGCCGAGGATCAGCCGCAGGCGCAGCCGAAGGAGGACCTCCGCATCTTTGCCCGCGTCCCGGAAGAAAGCTTAGCGGCCGCTCGGAAGATCGCACCGTTCGCCGTACGACAGATCGTCTGTAAGGCCGTTGGCCTGGGGCTAGCGGACCTTCCCCACGTCTACCATATCAGCACAGGTTACTCTCTGAAGCCGCGAAACAAGCAAATACAGGAAAGACTACTTGCAAGTAAGGCAAAGCTGGCGGAATGCCTCGGCGCCCACCAGGTCGAGACGCCTATCAAGTGGTACACTTACGTTGTGCCGCGATGCCCAACAAAACTACACAGCATTGGCGGGGACGTCCTGGACCCAGCCACACTCGTTGAAGATGAGGTCTTCGCACAGACAGGACAGAAGCCTGTCCTTGCTCGACCGTCCCGCCTTGGGCCCAACCCAGTCACGAACGAAATATCTTGGCTCATATCATTCACATCAGAGGTCACGCCCTTCAGGCTCTTCAACCAAAGCGGCAGATCTCTGCCCGTCAAGAAACGAAGGACGCTCATCCGACACGACCCCGGCTGCCAGGGCTACCACTCCAACCGGTTCTGCGGACGACGACCGATCTGCAGCAACTGCGGAAGACCTTCCGATTCACACGAAACGGGACCCTGCATGGCCAGGCCCCAATGTGCCAACTGCTGCGGCCCCTTCCAAGCCAGCCACACAGACTGCCCAGCGAGGCCCTCGGCCGTAAACGGCGTCGTCTCCCTTCCCGGTCGAAAGGAGCGGGCTCGGATCCGGAAGGCCGGCCAGAAAGCATCGGACACTCTGTACAAGGCTACTCGATCCGACAGTAGCCAGGAGGCGGCAGGCGTCCCTACCTCCACCAGCCAGAACCAGCAACCCGGCGCCAAGCGCGCGCGCACGAGAACGCCCTCCGCAAGCTCGATCGTTTGCCTCGGTGACGGAAGCACTGACAGCAGCAGCATGGATGAAGACGAGGCGGACGAAGGCGAAGGCGAAGACTCCCCCGACAACACCTCCATCGACCGTCCCGTGCTACCCATGCCAAGCAGGAGCCAACGGGCAGCACAGAAGCCAAACTACAACGTCGCGAATGCCTACACCCACCTCGAACTCGACTCGGAGACGTAAGCCGAGAGCGGCGACCCCACGGATGCTACGCGTTGCGCAGGGCAACGTCGGAAAGATCTCCCCGGCGCACACGGCTTTCCTGCAGCTCTGCTGGGAGGCTCAGATAGATGTGGTCCTCGTCCAGGAACCCTGGACGGGCTGGAAGGACGGAAACGTGCAACTGAACACGCACCCGGGTTTCGACTCTTTCGTCCCGGTCGACTTCTGGGACAGCGAAGGAACCAGACCAAGAGTATTGACCTACACACGCAAAGGGATAGGGATGACGGTGGAGCAGCAGAGGCCTGTCCACACGAGAGACGTACTGTGGCTGGTGGTCGACAAAACGACGACTATCGTCAACGTGTACAGACAACCCCGCGACCCCCACAGCCGCACAACAGGGATACTGCTAGAACTCAAACCCCCGGAGCGAGCTTTGATCGCGGGTGACTTCAACGCGCATCACTACTCTTGGGAGCCCGGGACGAGGAACGGGAACCGGGGAGATGACATCGCAGGCTGGGCAGACGGCCACAATCTCTCTCTTATCAGCGAAGTTGGGGTGGCAACCCAGGATTGCGGACATGTCCTGGACCTGGCTTTCTCTAATATCCCTTTTGCGCACGCGCAGGTCAGCCCACAGCTACACCCGGGAGCTGACCACGAGGCCATCGTGGCCGTCATACCACTACTCAAACGCCCAGTGTCACAGGGAGAGGGCCACCCGCAGCCACGGCCACTGTCAGTGCCCGACTCGGCGCTGCCTCGGCTGAGAGACCTGATCGAAGGGGGGCTAGCTGCGATGCCCAATCTGGGGGATCAACCTACTCCGGAAGACCTGGACGGGCAGGCAAGTCACATCGTCGAGCTCTTCTCCCGAGCCATTGAGGCGGTCGGCAAGAAGAGAGGAAAACATGGTAAAGGCGCGGCTTGGTGGACGGAGGAATGCGCAGAGGCCCACAGAGCATACCGTGCTGCCCGCAACCAACAAGCCTGGGAGACGGAGCAAGATGCGCACCTTTATCTAATGGAGAAACGAAAGGCGTTCCTGAGCACGGTGAGGAAGGCTAAGCGAGCATACTGGGCCGGAAAGATCGATGGAGTCGCTTCAGACCGGGACCTGTACCAGATCATGGGTTGGCGGAAGGCGAGCCTACTGACCAGAGCACCCCCATTGGTTGTGGACAACCAGACGATCGAGGATACTAACGAAAAGGCTCAAGCGCTTCGGGGAGCCCTTCTCGACAGGTTTAGTGCGGAAGATGACGCACCGGGTGACCCGTTTGACGTACCCGTCGTCCCGAGGCGAGCGATTACTTGGCAGGACAATGTTAGCGGAGAAGAAGTGAAGACGGCCACCTTAACAAAGACAACGACCCCTGGTGTGGACGGCATCACAACACGCCTCCTCCAGGCATGCTGGGATGTCATCTCGGAACCGGTCAGGCAGCTATTCCAGTCCTGTATGCGGGCCGGCCACTTTCCTCTGCCCTTCCGCAGAGCTGAGGTGGTCATGATCCAGAAGGCCGGCAGGGATGCCTCCAAGCCCGGGTCCTGGCGGCCGATCGCGCTCCTCTCGTGCCTGGGCAAGGGACTAGAGCGACTGATAGCCAGAAGGATGGCGTCCCTGGCGATTGTCGAGCGCATCATCAGTCCGCAACAGATCGGGGCTCTACAAGGCAGGTCAGCCGTCGATCTGACGACCTGCCTCACCCACGACATCGAGATGGCCCTCCTAAAAGGACTCACGGCGACACTTCTGACTATGGACGTAAAAGGGGCGTTCGACTCCGTCCTTCGGAACCGGCTCGTCATTAGACTGCGTCAGCAGGGATGGCCACATGGCCTGACCAGACTGATCTTTAGCTTCTGCTGCAACCGCACCGCTAGAGTCCGACTGGAAGAAAGCACAACGGAGTACTTCCCGCTGTCATGCGGGCTGCCTCAGGGGTCACCACTATCTCCCATTGCCTTTCTGCTCTACATCGCAGAGATACTTGAAGACGACCCGAACGCGCGATTCGGGTACGCGGACGACATCGCCACTCTGGCCATCAGCCCCTCCCTGGAGAGCAACGTCGCAATACTCAACCGAAGCGCAGCCGGCATTCTCAGATGGGGCTTGGAGAACAAGGTCTCCTTTGACCCGAGCAAGTGCGAGGTCATCCACTTTACTAGGAAGCACGGCCAGCCAGCGGAGCTGCCAGAGGTCCGGGCGGGGGATTTGGTGGTCAAGGCCTCGACGAAACCTGTACGCTGGCTGGGTGTCTGGTTCGACAAGAGACTGTCCTTCCGGCACCATGTCGACGCAAAAGTAGCTGCAGCAAAGAGGGCAGCTCAACATCTGAGACAGCTTACGAACACAAAGAGGGGACTCCCAGCGGCCGCCGTGCGAAAAGCCGTCGTCTCCTGCGTACTGCCGATCGCGCTCTTCGGCGCCGAAACATGGTACGCAGGTATCACGAAGCCGGCTTCGAGACGCCAAGCGGAGACAGACACGAATCCGCCTCTCCAAGGAAGACCCGTCAACACAGGCCAAAAGGGGCTCGTGCAGAAGATCGACAGCGTCATTACAGCGGCAGCAAGGGCCGTTCTGCCTGTCTGGAGGACAACGCCAACCAGTAGCCTCCTCCGAGACGCCGGCTTACCGTCAGCCAAAGTCGCCTTAGAGGGCGTCCGCTTACGGGCCGCAGTCCGACTACAGAGGATTGATCGCCGACACCCGCTAGTCGCGCGGCTCTCCCAGCAGGGACAGCAACAGACGAGACTACAACGGACGGCTGAACTTCTGCCAAGATGCGGAAGACCAGCGTTCCTTCAATCACAGTACCTGCCAAGCTCACAGGATCAGATAGTAGTTCAATGCAAAGAAGAGGCTGCGAAAGCTTTCGAGCGCTGGCTAAAGACAGTACCGGAAAGCCATATGATCGTCTTCTCGGACGGCTCCAGGGCGACGAACGGAGCCGTGGGGTACGGCTTCGTCATCTACCGAGACTCCAAACGCATAGCACAAGGGTGCGGCCGACTCGGACTAGCAGAAGTGTTCGACGCCGAGGTCGAAGGGGCGCGAACCGGCCTCAGAAGGGCTCTGCTCACCAATCGCGGTCATCCAATCCACATATGTATCGACAACACCAGCGTTATACAAGGCATCCGCGGCAAGGCGCCGGACTCGTCACAAGACGCGTTCCTCGAAATCCAAGAAGCGGCCAGGATATTTGATATACGGACGCACTGGTCCCCGGGACACCAGGGCATCGAAGGAAACGAGGCCGCGGACCGGCTGGCCAAAGAAGGAACGACACTGCCGGCGCGGATGGGTCAAATGGCAACACTAGCGGGCATCAAGCGGCTTGCAAGGGAAAAATTACAAAGCCAGCACAGGAGATGGTGGTATAAAGAGCGAAGGCCGCGGTACGCGGACTTGGGGCTTGAGGCAGCTCTGTCCAGCCCTCCTGAACTGGCCTTGCCGCGGGCTACGTTACATCACCTGCTGGCGGCACGATCGGGTCACGGGGACTTCGAGCAATATCACCGACGTTTCAACCACGACGACGCTCTAATGATGTGCTCTTGTGGAGAGGCGAAAGACGTGGACCACCTGGTCTACTGTCGACTAACGCTGGCGAGGAGGCAACGGTGGCCGACCCTCCACTCTCGCAGTATGCCCGAGCCCATAGGCCCTATGGGATCTCTCGAGGCCTACTTCAAGAGATTAATCACCGACCCACGAGGCTTCGAGGCCTTTCTCCGCGTGACGGACTTCTTCCAGAAGATCTGTCTGCGGTAGCAGCATCCACACCTACGTAGATGTGAGTGCGGACTACAAAGAACCTCCCGATTCCAAGGGACGATTTGGGAAAGAATGAAACTGGGGCACCAGCGGGAACCGGGGACAGACAGAACGCGTAGTGGCCACAAGGCATGATTTGGAGGACGATGTAAAGAGACGACGTACTGTAGAGTAGGTAGCCTTGGCTCACGGCCCTCCACGCCATATACCCTTCGGGAGGTCTGCGGTAAGGGCTCTAGCCCGGCCGCCACGGCGTTAAATACAACAACAACAACAACAACTACATGCATGACCTCAAATGATCATCAACTCAACGATGCCTATCAAACCAAGCGGATATTTGAGAACTTTTGGTTCTTTCTTTCTCAGCACAACTCTGGAATAGTTTTTTTTGCTGTGGACATGCGGATTATATCAGTCGATGGCTGCATGCCCAGATTCTTGCAGGGGTTGCAGGAGTGGATTGTAAATCCTAGAGCCCCATATAAATCAAGTCGACCACTGGCAGAACCTCCAAATGCTGAGCATTATTTCTTTTTCGAATGTCCAACCCTGACGCCCCTTGTCTCTTTGTAGGTTTGGTCATCCGGAGAGCGGTGAATTTTGAACAAGGGAGACAAGTTCGATATCGTAAGGGGGAGAATGACTGCTCACGGACAATACTAGGGCAGTAAGGGGGCGAGAAGAGCTCCAGATGTCGCGAAGTCAACTGCGGCCCACTCAGATAAGCCCAGTCAGAATCTGCATTTATTTTGGACTGGAACCGTGGTGTCATGGCCTTGAACCTAAGTCCACAATCCCGATGAGAGGGTCTTGGAAGTTAGCAAAATACTGGCACCTGTCAAATGCCACTTCTCACATCAAGTTTCGAGGAGGGGCCAAGGTTGGGGTTTGAATCTCAGACATCATATTGCTTATTTTCTTCCCCGATTTATCACAAACGGCCGATTGGGCGGGTACGCTCGAGTCTACATGGACTTCGCTTGGCAAGTTGTCCACTCAAAACTCAAGAAAAATTACCTGTGAAAGAAGAAGGACTTCTGCTGACAGCCCACACTCAGCGAAGGCAATTGTGCTTGCTTCTCAATTTGATGTCCGCACGGAGCCTCCCCCGTTGCCTCCACCACGTCGCCCGGTGGAGTGACACAACAAGTTTCCAAGGGATGACCGAGACCCCAGCATACCATTCCACAGGAATAAAACAACCCAAGTTCCCGGATCCTCAGCTTTGGTCCTACCGGTGGCTTGTGCTCCTTTACCGTTCATCACTGCCCTTTTCCACCAGTAATCTCTTCGCTATCGGCCTTAAGGGCTTGGCTTGTCGTTAGATGTGTTGATGGATTCTTCCCAGTCCAAGTACATGGCCGAGCCGCCAGATGGTCAAGGACGATTCGATGCGGGCACCATCACTACCGGGGCACTGGCGTTGGGTGGAACGCTGACCTCACTTTCCATCATATTCGTCGGCTTGCGAGCCTTCACCAGGCTATCCTTAGTGAGACGAGGGCTTGGTCCCGATGACTGTTAGTACCTGACTTTTCTTTCAATTGCATATTACTTCTGGTTTAACGACCCCTGATTCAGATCTTATCGGCATCTCGCTGGCTTTGGCCATAATCTTCTATGGGCTCTCCGTCAAATGTGAGAATGCCCCGACCAGTTTCTATCGATGGCTCGTCTAACTCTATCAGTGTGCGAGCTCGGCGTGGGTACCCATCTGTGGCAAGTCGAGCGAGCTGACTATTCACCTTCATTCCTGCTTGTAAGTCGCAATACTCTTTTGAGGCTGACAGATAAACTTTGGCAATGATCACTGCACTCGCAGGCCTTTGGCTAATGAGATTATATAGCATAGCATCATTGCGATCGCCGTCTACTCACTCAGCGTAACCACTGCAAAGCTGTCACTCCTCGTCTTGTACTTGCGTTTATCTCCCGAGAGGTGGTTTAGGATCGTAACAATGACCCTCATTGGCTTTGCATCCTCATACGCGCTGGCTTACCTCTTTCTCATCGTCCTCGGCTGCAGGCCAATCCAGGCTTCATGGAATCTTTCAGCTAGAGAGGGAGCGATATGCATCGACAAAAACACAGTCTACTTGGTTCTCAGTGCTACCAATATTATCATGGACGTCGTGTGCCTTGTCCTTCCTCTGAAGATCATTATTCCTCTGCAGATGGCAGCACGACAAAAGCTATCGCTGATCCTGCTATTTGCAACAGGGGGCTTGTAAGTCGATGTCCCAGGCGGAGGCCCCCAATTGCATGCTAATCTCTTTCAGTGTCTGCATATGTGCCATCAGACGTACCATCCTTCTACCGCCTCTGTTCAAAAGCACTGATTACACTTTTGACATCGACAAGCAATTGAATTGGGCATCAGTCGAAGTCAACGCTGGGATCGTATGCGCCTCCGTTCCGGCACTCAAACCCTTCTTCGTGCGCTATCTGCCCATGTTTGTCACTTCGCACATCACCGCACGCGCCTCCAGGTCGAAGAAGACAAACCCAAATTATCAAAACTACCAAAACTCGAATCCCTACTCGACCACAATCGAAGCTAACAAAAGAAGGCGGAACGTTCAGTTGGAGGCGTACGAGCTGCATTCTCGTGATGATTTATCGCTATCTTCGAATGATATGCCGAAGAATGGGTCCAGAGAAGATGTTGTAAAGCTTTGGTCCGGAAATACCTTTCGAAAAGACAGCAAGAGTCACCGCGAGACCATTATCGAGTCGAACCCGAGGAACCCAAATGATAGTGGCTCAACTATCATAGACGAAATACAGCCGGTAGCGGAAAACATTTCAAGAGGAGACCCGCCGCAAAGAGTGGTGAGTATGAGTGGAATAATGGTCATCACAGAGACGCGGGTCGAGTATGAGGTGCCATGGCCGGATCATCGCAGTCCCAGGGAATGATGGCTTCATGAAATTTCGTCTTTGGTTGAGCGTACCTTTGAAACATCCCATGTCAATCTCCTAGAATTTGGAACCATAGACTGCGTGCTACCTTTAAGTTCCAAGTCTCAAGCTGATATACAAGGCCTGTTTGTTCATCATGCAGTTTCCAAGTGCATAATATCTCTGAGGTCTTTCACCTCCGTGCCAGGCCTCGTAGCGACAGGTTTCGACTTTCTGTTGCCATACTTCCACTCTTTCCTCAGCCCTCTTTCTTTTCCCTCCAAAGCATCTGATATGTAGTCACCAATGATCGGGAACATCTTGAAAGCATGACCAGAGTCTCCAGTGGCCAGAAGTAGCGATGAATGTTTTGGGTGATTGTCGATGAGCCAGTGTGAGTCAGGTGAGTCGGTGCACCAGCAGACACGTGCACCCAGCAGCGGTCGACCAGAGAACTGCGGCATTACCGTGTCGATAAATCTGTTGATAGCCGTGGCTGCTTCTTCGGGGATTCCGTCATCGGGGTGTGCGCTGGCGTATCGTGGGATCGAGTAGTGTTCCACCTTACCCGAGGAGTTGGTGTAAGTGCCGACTCGGTACTGATAACCGGGTGATCCGTCACAGATCTTCATCCACTCTGGGAGGGTTATTAAAAGGCAGATCTCATTCTCAACTTGCCGGGGTAACCCACTCATTTCTGGATCTGGCTCGAATGTGAAGCCCAGCTCAAAGTTGTCCACGACGGGAATCCCCTTCCACTGGTCAACCTCCTCATCGTTCAACTCGATATGAGCCAAGGACCAGCACTTTGTCCACATCTCCCTTGATAACTCAGGTAGTACCTCGGGCGATGCAGCTCCAGTGCAGAGGATATACCTACTCCCGCGGATAACGTCGCCAGACGCAACCTTGATCCCGTCAAGATTGCCCGAACTATCGACGCTCAACCCAGTCATGGTGCCATTGGATCCCGATATGAACTCAACGCCCATATCCTGTGCTGCTTTGCCCCATTTCTCTAGAGACTTCTTTGCATGAGCCCAGCCGCCTTGGCTGTTCCAAAGGCCCTTCCAATTTTCGATGCCGTCTGCGTCGCGAAGCTGCGGGACGTGCTTGGCAATCTGCTCTTTGCCCGCCACCAGCTCAAGGCTGTCAGCCTGACCAGCCTTCTTGAGATTCTCGTACGAGTCTTTGAGGTGCTTCTCTGCGAGTGGGTCCCCTAACGTTGTCACGATGCGTCCCTATGAGGCTTACGATGAGCTGAAACAGACGACAATGGTGACGAGAAATATTAACCGACCGTCTCATGGAAGATTCCATCCCATTCTCGACCTCTCCAAGCACGGAGTGCCTCGAGCGCCAATTCCGTGTACAGCGGCTCGTCGTATTCCGTTCTGATGATCTTGTTCAAGTCATACCCTGCAGAATCGAGACTTGGTATGGGATGACGATCGAGACATCTGATGTTGGTGTATCCACGCTTGGCAAGATGATATGTGGTACTGATGCCAAATGTGCCACTGACAATTCCAATTAGCAATGTCCGGCCTAGGTTTGATTACATTGGACTTACGCGCCCACGATGACAATGCTCGAGGCCTTTGACAGAGGAGGGGTATCGGTCATGGCTGACGAATGATTACGATTATCTTTGCGCAATGGAATAGAATTCGAACACAACTGCCAACATCTCAAAAATGAGATATGCTTCAAGATCTCAGAGAGAAATGTAAGGTAGTCTACAAGTCGGGACCAGCACGCCGAGATTACATGAACTTCCCGAAAGAGGATCAACTTGGTCATAACATGACCATCTAATTGGCTTGTTGGTTTACCCCTCGTTCTGCACAGTTACTAACTAAGCCATTATTGGGGCGCCAGGCTGCTAAAGCACGCGTCTAAACAGGTGACTCCAAGGGTCTATGCCGGCTTGGACCTTCCCTCCCGCCTAACCAAGTACATCCTCGATTCCTCGACGTCCTCCCCCCGCCTCATCGACCTCGGAGATGTAACATCGGAACCCTGGACATGGTCAATAAGCTTTTCCAGCTCCGCATTACTCGCGCATTTCACCATCCCTTGACTCTGGCAATCGCTAGAGACGAGCCATGACTCCAGTCACGGCAGCACAGGCCAGATAGCTTGGACCTTCCACAGTATTGTCTCCCCTGCTCCGCCGTAGGTAGCGTATCATGAGAAACACCAGCTTAAAGCCTATCTCGACTGCGGGGTCTGGAGTTCGTGTCGGGATAGACTGACTTCAAGTGAGTGCTGGAGAAGGTCGACACCGAGTAATTCGACCCTGATGAGAGTTGATTCTCGGCTCGACGGCATTTGATATATAACCCCAGATGGAAAGTTTCATTTCCACATCAATAACACCGGTCAGACCAGTTCAACGATCCACTCGTTTATATCAATATTCCCCGACCCAAGATCCGGTCACCATGTCTGTTGTAACAGACCAGCCCGGCGAGAAGACGGCCGTACCCCTTCCTGGGCCGCAGCTGTGTCCCGCCGTGGAGGCTCGCGATGCCGACGACCTGGACAAGGCGATGACCTACGCCATTGACGAGATTGAGGAGCACTTTGACATTCAATCCGACAACTCGCCATACCCCGAAGTCCGCGCCAATGTGCCAAACACGGACGACCCAACTATGCCCGTCAACACGCTCCGCATGTGGGTACTCGGCGTCCTATTCACTATGATCGGCTCCGGTATCAATCAGTTCTTCTCCATGCGTTACCCCGGCGTCACCATCTCATCTCTGGTGGCACAACTCATCGCCTATCCCGTCGGCTGCGCCGTAGCCCGTATCCTGCCAGTGAAGAAGGTTCGCGTCTTTGATCGCTGGGACCTGGTGATCAACCCGGACCACTACTTCAACATCAAAGAGCACGCAGTCATTACCATCATGTCCAACCTGTCTTTTGGACCGTCGTGGGCCACCGACATCATCCAGGCGCAGAAGGCCTCGGCGTTCTACGGACTTGACACACCGGTAGCGTACCAATTTCTGCTTGGCCTCTCGATGCAGCTGTTCGGGCTTGGAATGGCTGGCCTGGCGTACCGCTTCATCGTAGAACCTCCTCACATGATCTGGCCTTCGACTCTGGCCAACGCGGCGCTGTTCCAGACACTTCATGACCGGGCGAACCCTGTAGCAGATGGTTGGAGGATCACGAGATACCGGTTCTTTCTCCATGTCTTTGTCGGTGGTTTCTTCTGGTATTGGCTACCTGGGTACCTCTTCACTGGTCTGAGTACCTTCGCCTTTGTTTGCTGGGCCGCTCCAAGTAAGTCGCATACGTGTATGATAGTTGTTCAGGTCCACTGACATGGTGTAGACAACGGCGTGGTCAACAATCTATTCGGCATGTCGACAGGCTTGGCTTATCTACCCATCACCTTTGACTGGTCTCAGATCGCCTATAACGGATCTCCTTTGGTTGTCCCTTTCTGGGCGCAAGCTAACGTCTTTGCTGGATGGGTCATCCTCTTCGCCCTCGTAACACCGATACTGTACTACACTAACACGTGGTACACCGCATTCCTCCCATTCTCCGGCGCGGACACATACGACAACACTGGAAAAATCTACAACGTAACCCGCGTGGTGGGTAAAGATGGCAACTTCGTCGTGGAGGAGTACGAGAAATACAGTCCACTCTTCATGCCTGTGACCTTTGCACTCAGCTACGGCATATCGTTTGCGACCATGACCTGTGTGCCGACCTACATTTTTATCAACTACTACAAGGACATCGTCGGAGCGTTCAACCCGAGTAGGAAGAAGGACATCCACACCCGCTTAATCGAGAGATACCCAGGCACACCAGCGTGGTGGTACGGCATCATGACTGCCATTGTATTGGCTTTGACAATCATCGTGCAAGTGGCCTACAAAACCCAAATGCCAGTTTGGGGCGTTTTCGTGGCTTTTGGGTTGGCTTTGATTTACCTGATCCCGACCGGCAGTGTTTACGCCGTCGCCAACCTCAATAGCAACGTCCTCACCGTCCTGGGCGAAATCATCTCGGGATACGCTATACCGGGAAAACCCATCGTCATGCTTATCTTCAAGTTCTACGCCTACACGGGCCTCAGCCAAGCCATGATCTTCTCCTCGGACATGAAGCTCGGTTTGTACATGAAGATTCCCCGGCGAACGCTATTTGTGGCTCAGCTGGCTGCCTGCATCACGGGCTCCCTAACGCAGAATGCCGTTCTGCTGTGGATGCTGACCCATGTCAAGGATATCTGCCACGAAAGCCAGCCCAACGGCTACACCTGTCCGCAAGGACGAGTCAACTTCTCTTCAAGCATCGTTTGGGGTGCTATCGGCCCAGCACGACTATACAGCGTCGGGAAGATCTATTCTGGTCTGCTGCATCTGTTCTGGATTGGGGCATTGCTACCCGTCGTGACATTCTTTCTCCAGAGAAGATTCCCAGACAATACATTCTTGAGGTACCTTCACTGGCCTCTCTTCTTCGCTGGAACGGGGAATGTACCCCCCGCTACTGGGATTAATTACACCTCAGCCTTTATGGTCTCCTTCATTTTCAACAAGTGGCTCAAGGGTAAATTTCCACAATGGTGGGCAAAGGTGAGCTGGAAGAAAACACGTTGTTTTCCAAAATTACGCAATTGGTCCCCATACTGACTTGGTAACGACAGTACAACTACGTCCTATCTGCGGCTCTCGATTCTGGCCTAGCCATCTCCGCCATCGTCATCTTCTTTGCACTCGTTTTCCCCGGTTTCCAGCTAAGCTGGTGGGGTAATAATGTTCAGCGTTCAACCATCGACGGCAAAGGCATACCCTTAAAGGCAGTACCACTCAATGGCACTTTTGGCCCGGCATCCTGGTCTTAGCCAGGTAGTTTTCTGATGTCCAACATTGATCCCGACGACTCCCTGTACTTGTCTGGCACTGATAAGCCATGAATCCCAATAGCAAAACCCATCCAGATACAAATAATACTCTTACTAATCAACACGTTGCGCCAAATCTAATCGCCCACATACCGCCGTTACTCGTAAGCATAACAAATTACAGAAGCCAAGTTCTGTCTCCACGCGAGAACGTCAGGGTGATCCTTGATATTCAAAGGCATTATCGCCCGATTTACGCAGGTCAAGCCAAACTAATATTGTGACAGAGAGGAGCCACGAATCGAGCCCAGTCATTGAAGGCCTTGGGACTGGAAGAAAGCTGTCCATCCGACGACAGGAATGAGGCCGCCTCTCGTTGTTTCCATACCTTTTCAATTACCGAACGCGTTCGGGTGACATTAGAGAGAGAATCCGCCAACTTGTCGAGAACGTAGAGAACAAACGGTCGTGCGTAGCGAGGGGCCCCCTGGTTATCAGTATCTCCCTCCGCCCACTCGAGCTCCTCTGTAGGGTCGAGTTGGCAGGCTGCCATGAACAGTGGCCATGTAAGCCCAGCTTTGACATCCGATTCGAGCAGCATCGCGACGAGACGCAAGATCTTCTTAACGTTCTGTCGAATCACAGGCGTCGCCGGATTGGAGTCGTTGAGAGCAGAGTGGAGGTACAGCTCTACAGTCAGCCGCTTCAACTCGACGGTATTCCTGATGATTTCGTCTTCGCTATTGCTCTTAAGATGCGACTGTTGAAGCAAACAAGTCAACCTCATCCGCTGGCGTTCAAGGTCCTGCCAGCATTCCTCCGCCATCGAAGACGACATGCGATGGTACTTGAAGCTGAGCTCTGTAATCTCGCCAATAATACTGACAAGCTGTGGCGAGCAGCCCATCCAGAGATCGAGCCCCTCGTCCTCCTGCGCGGACCAAAAGTCGTTACCGAAGATGGGTTCCTCGCCGCAGGCAGTTCGTCCCATGACATCGTAAAACGCAAAATACCGCTCGGTGAACTTGATGATTCGCTCCCAAGGGCTCTGCTGCCGCGCCGCCATCCTGGCGGCGTCCGAAGTCATGCCTTGGCGTCTGAACCTGATGAGGTCTCGGGCCCCGCGCAGATGCGTAACCCAGCGCTTGTCGCATTCCGCAATGATTTCGAGCTGGCATAGTAGCATCATCAGTACGAGGATCTCCGAGTTGGCTGCGATGTCGATGGATGATCTGTTCTCGAGGGACAAGCGCAGCGATCGGATGACTTTGGCTGAGTAGCTAAGAGCTACCGGCTGGAACGTGCAGTCTGATCTTGCTCTGTGTGAAGCGGCGAGGCCCAGGAGGGCGTGCATAAGGGCCGGCGAGGCGGAGGATACGGCAAAGGGGAAGACGAGAGCGGAAAAGGGAGATTCGCCTTTGGCGCATGGGACTGTCATGGGACAGATCCGGTCAAGATAGTATGATAACAAATGTGATTCGGCCTGGCTGTCGAGTTGGACGTACTTGACCGGCCGATTAATAGAGCCCAGGTTCTTTGTTAGTGTAAGGGCCGCCGAGTTGCGATCATCCGTGGAGCTGTCATCACTGGAGGACGACGAGGACTCTTCCTTTTCGAAGTCGGCAATGAAGGAGTTTAGAAAATCAAAAGAATGGACGTGAGTAGGTAGACACCAGTAGTTGTCCAGAGTCGAAGGCGGCGTCGCGGACTTCTTCTTGTTATTGCCGCCAGCCCCAGATTTCGACCATACACCGGCCCTCCCAAAGGCGCGGCCAACGTAGTCCGTCTCCCATTTCAGGACCTGGGCGTAGATGCAATCGGAGTAGCCACGGGAAGTACACGGCCCACAGTGAGGTTTGGCCTCGTCGCACCGGATCTTGTGTTGACGGCAGCGGTGACAGCCGCGGTGGCTCCGTCTAGATACTTGCTTGGAGGGGTCTCGTCTGCGCGGCATTTTCTTTCCTTTTCTGCCAGAGCCTGTGAGCGAGTTGTGAGGATGTTTCAACAGGTCGAATATGGGTTGGCAAATAATACAGCAAGGGGCCGGTGCTAGTGGTATTGAATAGTGGATTTGAAGATGGGGCGTGACAAGGAACTTCAGAAGAGAATTCTGGGGGACGGATGGGGAGGCCGGGGATGAGAGGGGGCCCAATTGTCGAGTGATGGAGCAATTCGTCGGCTGACTAAACCCCTTTCTTGGAGCCTGACTCCGACTTTCTCATTATCGCCAACATTTGGGTCTGCTAGATAGAGTTTACCAGGATGGCTTGTTCGCTAATCGAAGGTTTGGACTGGGGGAAAACACCCCGATCTCCAAGTATTGGATGCTCATTCTGGAAACTGCCAATCTCGAGGTGACTTCATGTTTGACTACTCACCTCAGACAAAAGCCAAAAGATTAAAGTTGAGCTGTTGCCCTACCTTGTTTTCAGAGTAACGCAACTCAATGCGGAGTGGCACTAGACTGCTACTACCTGACTCGTTGTATGAGATACGCGTACTCGGATTTTTGAAAGTTGGGGCATGGTATTGGAGATCAGAGTTGTTGCAAGGGCATTGATGATGTATGAGAGTCACCATAAGCAGATTAGAGTGCACATTAAACGTCAGGTATATCTGATGTGTTAGGTATCTGCGTCTGGAGAATTGGGAGACCAACTTCTCTTCTCTCCGCAGTTGTGTCGTTGGCAGCGTCGTCCGATATGAATTCTTTTGAGGGGTAATGCCAGCTTTTGGCGGCAGCAGTGAGTTTAGAGCAATCCGCGACAAAGCTTCTCAAAGCGGGATGACATCGGACAGCTGGAAATAGGACGGCCTAGGCCGTATATCAAAACTGCCATAAACCTCTGATGTCGAATCGCAGGAAGCTTCTTCCTGTAAGGCGAGTCAAGGACCTCTGTAGGTCTTCAAGGAGGGGTTGTGACAGGCTCCCGTGGGGCCATCGCGGGGTCGGCCGTGACTCACAGCTCCAGTCATCCTAGGAGTATGGAAATTGCACCACTACATCTGTCAACAACAGCTGGTCGGTTAGCTCAGTTGGTTAGAGCGTGGTACTAATATTTCATCTGCAATATTGTGTAATGCCAAGGCCGGGAGTTCAAGCCTCCCACTGATCATTTCTTTTGGAATTTTGGTGTAGAATTGTAGCAGTCTCTCGGATAGACGCGAAACAGGTTTATTTTTCCTGGTTTGGTCAAACTTCAAGCATTGGCGAGGATTTGGCTGGCTTGGGCGCATGTTTCTGAAAACATGCATATGATGCATATGTGGATTTATTGATCGATGCTCCTTTTGATATGCCTAAAACGGAGTGCGAGATAATGATAAGCATCGTGCAGCATGTCACCCCAGCTTACAGATTCAATTGGAAGTCAGGGTCTTTCAAGCTCCTCTAAGCTTCAAGAATGCTAATTCTCAATTGACACCTCAACATCTCCCTCCAGCTCGCCCAACCTACCACGACACATCAAGACCACCTCCCCTAAATACAATGCCGCCGAGATGATAGCCCCGCACCCCTGGACACCGCCCCTCCTCCTCCGCATACGCTTCACAACGTCCCTCCCCGACCTCGACCTCGACATCCCCTCCCCCTCGCAAACAACAGTCGCCGCCCTCAAGCACCTCATTCGCGGCCGCCTCGCCCAGCCCGACTCCCAGCGCCGCCTCCGCTTCATTCACCAAGGCAAGATCCTCCCCGACGCATCGGCCCTCAGCTCCGTCCTGCGACCGCTGCCCCCTCCTCCATCCTCAAACCCGACCTCGACGCCATCAACACCCAGCGCAAGCAGCGGCTTCGATGATCCCAAGGGAAAAGGGAAAGCGAAGGCCCACGAGACGGCGCCGCCGCAGAGGGTCTATGTGAACTGCAGTATCGGCGATAGTCTCACCGACGAAGAACTAGCCGCTGAAGCCGAGGCGGCTCTACGCGCGCCAACGGAGCGGGGTGCGATAACGCCTTCCGGGCCAGGAGACGGACAACAAGGTCACGACGGTGGCTCATACGGCCCCCATGCCCACCAGCAGCAACAGCGCCCGACCCCGAGGGGTTTCGACAGGCTCCTCAACGCGGGCTTCACGGCAGCCGAAGTAAACCAGTTACGCCTCCAGTTCCGCGACATCCGCGCGACGCAGTACACCCCCGACACAATGCCCAGCCCAGACACGATGCGCTCGCTCGAGGACACCTGGATAGATACCAATGCCAGCGGCGCGTTACCTGGCAGCGGGGCGGGCGCGGGAGGTGATGGAGCCGATGGAGGAGGGGGTGGTGGCGGCGATGATGCGTTTGGGGTCATGAGCGGTATACTCGACGTGCTCATCGAGGGTCTGATTGTGGGCTTCTTCTGGCCTCTAGGTTGCCTGGGGTGGCTTTCGAGGGAGGAGAATATGCTCTCTGGCCGGTGGCATGATTTCATTGGGTTCGGGGTGACTTTGAGCATCATTATTGGCGTCATTAGGGCCTTCTCAGGCGATCGATAGGGCGAGGCTATTGTAGGTTTTTAAGTACTTGTGGACTTGTTTTGGGGAGGGGATATGTTTCCGGGCGGCTGATATGATTACATCACGTTAGGTATGGCATGGTGCTGCATCATCTCTTGTCGGCACGATGGTCACCTTGGGCGATTTGTAGGAGAGCTGCGTTTCTTGCTACTACGGGGTTTTGGCGTTGGGATAACGTGGGTGCTTAGTGATTATACCTAAGGTTGGTACGTGTGGGTTTTCTCGTAATTATACCAAGCATCAGGCCAGGATGACTGGGACAGCGTAGCATGGATCACATAGATAGACAGCGAACAAAAAGGGGCCATTATCTGCTTCATTGGTGGCCATGGAGAAAGCGACTTTTTGAGGGCCGAAAACTCCGAATCCGCACACACAAAGATTCTACATGCATGGTATAAAACCTCGAATAACCACCAAACGCCATCATGTCCCCTGGGGCTACCTAATAAAAGCAAAAAAGTACAACGGGCTAGAAGATGGGGGAGCGTGAGGGCTATCCAGTAACTGCTAGCAAGAAAACATAGTTGCCAGCATCTAGAAACAAACCTTGTTAGAGTTCTACAGGTACAAACTCTGGGCTGCGACGATGTCACGGCGGATCTTGGCGAGACTATCCTCAAACTTTTGGGTGAGCTCGTCGCTGCCCATGACCTTGGCGCCCTGGCCCATCTGGCGCAGGAGCTCTTCCAAACGGCGGAAGAGGCGGATAAGTGAGCCCTCGTAGGCATTGGTCATTTTGCTGTAACGTGTCAGTCAACATTACACGATGATAAGTGGGAGGTAACGTACCAGATATCTGCAAACGGCTTGCCTTGTGCCCATGAGTAGACAGTCTCCATCAACTGCCACTTGAAGCCAGCCAGATACTCCTCCTCATTGAGCTCAAGCTTGCTCTCTCGGCTGACCTTGGCGACTTGCTTCGCCTTGGCCTGAACCTCACGGTAAGGCTTGGCCAACTCCTCACGCAGCGCTGCTGTCTCAAGCTTTTCGTCCAGAACGAAACAGCTCAGCGTCGCGGCAATGAGCTCGGGCGAGAGCTCGTTGAAAAAGCGATCAAACAGAAGCTCGGCAAGAACAAGTTCGTGGCCCTCAGTGGAAGAAATCTCGCAGGCGACACGGGCCTTGAGCTCGACAACCTCGGACTCGTTGAGGAATCCAAGACGGCGCAAGACACGCTTGCGCGCCTTGAGCTCGTCCATCTGAGCAATACTATGAAGTCTCGCAATCTCCTTCTTCTTGGACTTGATCTGCTCGCCGAGTTTCTCCTTGGAGCGATACTGAAGGTAGAGCTCGGGCAGCAGTGGTGATCCGTGAAGGGGGTTGGTGAGGAGACGCGCCTCCAACATCTCAATCTTCCTCATCAGGGCCTTGAAAGACTCGTCGGTGATGCCCATGTTCTCAACGGGGTCTAAAATAGGCAGTCCGTCGGGGAAGCGTCTGTGAACCTCCCGAAGAGAATTGCCAACCTCGTTGAGCGCGGACTGCGACTTGCAGTCCTTGGGCATGAAGACCCTGATCTGACTGATTGACTTGACGCAAGTCAGCAGACAAGGGATAATCTCGAAGCGAGCTCCATTGTCCGGATGTTCAGGGTTCGGGTAGGGAACCAGGCCTGATGGCAGATCCGAGATCAAATACCTGGAGCCTTCGGCAACAGGTGCGCTCTTCTGGTCTACAACCATCATGACGTCGATGAGGCAGGACTCTTGAGGAGGGTACTCAGGCTCGCCTTGCTTGCGGTTGCGGTCGCGGCGGATCAGGTTCGCCACAACACCCCAGCCGAAGTCGGTGCCACCAATTGTGTTGTTGGTCTTCTTGGGGTCGTGGATACGGACCAGGCGGCCGGGCTGCATGAAGTCGGTGCAGTGCTCAGGGTGCTGAATGACAGCGCGCATGTCGCTAGTGTACTGCTCCAGCTGATTGCGCAGGTTGTAGTAGTCCTTGACCGTAGCCTCATCAGCGATGGACATGCTATCCCTCTCTTGCTGGAGAGCGACCAAGTCACGTTCCAAAGTCGGGACACTAGCACCTGTCTGGAACTGGTGGAAGCAACGCTCAAGCATGAACTCGGGGGAAATAGCCTCGATTCTTAAGAGGTTGAGAATCATGTTGTAGCCGAGGTAGAAGGCGGAGTTATCTGTCTGCTCGCCCACGACCTGCCGCGGCAGTATCAGGCTCCATCTTGTCGTCAATCATCATGATGACAATACCACGCGTATCCAGACCTCTACGACCAGCCACGACCAGACATCTGAATGTACTCGGACGGGGTAAGAGGTCTCCGTTGCACTCCATCCCACGTTGTTAGTTTGGGTGAAGACGACAGTCTTGGCAGGCATGTTGAGACCAATGGAGAAGGTTTCGGTTGCGACAAGCACCTTGATCAGAGACTCTTGGAACAGAATCTCAATTGTCTCCTTTAGAATAGGGAGAAGACCAGAGTGATGCACACCAATACCCTTTTGCAATAGGGGGAGCAGGTTCTGGATCTGGGGAAGCTCGCGATCGGCCTCAGATAAGCTCTGAATGGCGTTGTTGAACACGGTCTTGACCATGGCCTGCTCGGAGTCGTTGTTGAACTGGAAGTGAGAGATCTGTAGAGCCAGGTTCTCAACCTCCTTCTTGCTGAAGTTGAAGACAATGACGGGATGGAAGCTCTTCTGCATGATCATGCGAATGATCTTGGAGATATCAGACTTCATGTCGGACGCCGCTCCACCCTTTTGCGTCTGCTTCTTGGCACCCTTGCCTTTCCAGCTCGCGTTGGCGTTGTTGGGGTCTTGGCCCTTGCCCGCCTCAATGAGGGCCATGGTCTTCTGGAAGTTGCCTTCTCTGAACACGCCCTTCTCGTCGACAACCAGGAAGATACCGCTACCGCCAGCAGGGAAGAAGTAGTTCTGAAGAGGTGTCGGACGGAAATCGGTGTAGACGACGTGACACGCCTGGTGGTGGATCTTGGCAATCCACTCCGCAAACTGGAAGGCGTTGGGAATGGTGGCGGAGAGGAAGACGTAGCGGACCTTATCAGGAAGAAGAATGATGGTCTCTTCCCAAACGACACCTCTGGTCTTGTCTCTCATGTAGTGAATTTCGTCAAAAACGACCCAGGCAACCTCGCGCATGATCTCGGAACCGCGGTACAACATGGAGCGCAAAATCTCGGTTGTCATTACTAAACAACTGGCGGTGGGATTGATCGTGACATCACCAGTCATCAGACCGACGTCGCCGAACAGTGCTTCGAAGTCTCGGTATTTCTGGTTGCTGAGGGCTTTGATGGGACTCGTGTAAATGACTCTCTGGTTACGCTTCAGACATTGCGCAATCGCATATTCGGCGACGACGGTCTTTCCGGCAGAGGTGTGGGCAGAGACCAACACACTCTCCTCCCTCTCGATCGAAGCGACAGATAACGCCTGGAACGGATCCAACTTAAAGCTGTACTGGCGTGCGGGCTCCGCGGGCGGCTTGTGCTCGGAGAGGGGAATGTATTCGTAGTCGAGATCAGGGGGCAGGGCGACTTGGTGCTGGATGTTGTGGGACAGGACAAGCGATTCGTCTGGGACTTGGGTGAAGACCGCTGCGCTAGCAACCTCTCGGGACTGAGCAGTCTGGAAGTTGTCGGTCATGACAGGCTGGGCCTCGTCTTCCTTCTTCCTCCGCTTGTCCTTATGGGGCTCCTGCTGTTCGTCAGACGAAGCGGCAGCGTCCTCGGCTTCCTCGGCATCCTGGCCATCCTTGGAGGTGTCATCGGCATCAGGCATGTCGTCGTCCTCTGGCTTGTCGGCGACGCCATTCTTGATTCCGCCATCGGCCTTGCGCTTCTTGCTCTTCTTGTCCTTCTTGCGCGACTTCTGAGGGGCCTCGGCGACCTCAGTCTCAGGCTCGGGCTCGCTGTGTGACTCGTTTTGCGCGTCAGGTTGAGCGTCGAACACATCGAAAAGCTCGTCCATGCTGGGCGGTTGCTTGTTGCCAAGCGAGAATAGCTAAGCTGGGGTCGGCGCCTGGTTGGCCTTATGTATGGCGTCAGGGACGCAAGGTTTGTTGGTCGTCCAATGGCAAGCAAACAAAGCCAAAACTTTGCAAGCTGTCGAAATAACAGGACGCGAGACGCTGGAAGTGCAGCGATGCGTCTGTCGGTATTTTGGGGGTGTTGACAAGAAGCAACTCCTCAATTTTGTCTAGTCCCGGCAATGTGCGTTCGGTCGCAATTCGCAGGTGCCCGGACGAAAAAGTTGGCGGGTCGGCCAAGGCAAGCAATGGGAAGAGGCAGAAAAAAAATTCCAAAATGCATGCATGACGGGGTTGAAGTTCAGTCCAGACAGGGAAAGCGGTGACCGACCATCGCAGCTTCGAAATCCCAGTCGCGGGACTGGACCGTTCGCCGCCTAAGGTACCTGTGGCTTGGGTGCAGTCACGTGTGGTTACATAATCGGGAAGCAGGAACTTGGAGATCTTTGGAGCTAAGCCGGCTGCGCACTCTCAGACCACTCTTTTGGATGACTTCAACACCACAACCGCATCTCTCCATACCCCCATTGCGCCTCGCGATCGCCTCATACAACACCGCCAAAGTAACTACAACCTCTCGAATGCTACCAAAAGTCAAATTGAAGCTAACCCAACACCTGTAGATGTTCGCCCGTGCCGCCGCTCGCGCGGTCCCCAAGACCCCTTCCATGGTCGCCCGCCGTGGCTTCCAGACCACCCGCTCCCAGATGTCTTCGCCCTACCACTACCCCGAGGGCCCCTACACCAACATCCCCTTCAACCCCAAGAGCAAGTTCTTCGGTGTTGGCTTCTGGACCTACTCCTTTGTCGGCTTCTTCGCCCCCTTCGGCATTGCTGGTGCGTGCTTTTTACCGTGTCTCCGAATTCCGCCGATATCGAATACTGACGAGTATCATAGCTTGGCAAACCTACAAGCCCAAGGTTTAAGGGCTCACTTTGCATTATTTTTCTTGAGTCGATCGCCACTGTAGAGCTTGGATTGGGTTGAGACGGAGGACGACTGTGTACACAAGCAGAAATAGAGACTTTTCGTCCTCAATGGATCAGCAGGGAAACCAAAACTACGCTCTGTCCGTCGCGTCGTTCTAAGTGATGAATGTGAATAGCAGACTCTGGAGCCAGATCAGCCTCCAGAGTATACCTGCGCTTGAATGTGCGACAGAGGTCAATCGAGATGGAAAGTGCAGTCCTCTCACCAAGTGGCAGACAACTACCTCGTGTAAGGATTGAAACGTCTAAACCACTAAAGGGCAAAAAAAGAGTTCATCTCGGTAGGCTACATCTCTTGGTGCGCTTGCTGAGAATCGAACTCGAACTCGTAGCCTGTCCTCAAGTAGGCTATGAGCGTAATTGATTGTTGCCCTTTGACCATTCCATCACCCAGCCAGTTTGTCCTGACCCCTAGACCTAGAGGAGCGCCTGCTGTTTCTGGTGACAGGAATGGGAGTTAGGGGGGTTATGTAGCCTTCTTTGGTATATTCACATCATTGAAAAGTTATCGGATGAAAGCCCGGTGGGTACGGCCGGCAAGGAGGAAAGGAGGGCTAATCAAGGTATCAATCATGAGCAACAGCTAGAGTATGGAACAGGCTTTCGACGGTGAGGTGTGGACAGGGAACTGAAATTACTGGTATCTTAATCTATAGTATAGGTTGTTTTACATAGGCCGTTTCCTGACTGCCTTGTGTTTCTTCTGCTGTCCCGGCCCATGCCGAGAGATGAATGACTCCTTCCCGTCCATGAGTCTGGCGAGATAATGATCCATAAAATCCGCCCTGTCCGGCGCCAGTTGCCATCTCTTCTTGAATTCCTCGTACACCTCCAGGACCTTTTCGTTATTTGTACATTTCATGAAGGCTCGAAGAGCCCAGATCATGAGCCAGGTATCAAGTCTTAGACCCTGGACTTTGTTGTCAATCGCCTCAAACAGCGCAGTCAAGACGTTCTCAAGCCGTTCACCTGTCCAGGGAGAAAACGGAGATGCGCCGTACTTGCTAAACCCTTCAAAAATGGCAAGGAAGATGCTGCCGTGAACTGGCACCTCGAACTGTGGCATCTCGTCTAGAAACTGAGCAGTCTTGCTCAAGTTTCCCTTCGTTATGGCGAAATGCTTGATCAGGATGCGGTACGTTCGCATATCCGGAGTCTCGTGCGCGAGCTCTTGCAGCTGTTGTCGAAGCTCTGGTATCTTTTTGCTGACGCTTGCAAACATGGAGTGAATATGGGTAACGGCCTTCTCCATCGAAGGGTCCATCAGGGGTATCTTGGCAGCCGCCGAGTAGCTGTCTTTCATGTAACCGTACACCTTCAGCGCCGCATCTTCGTCCCCACATCTCAGGAAGCTAGAGATGACGCAGTTGAGCACCACGGTGTCGACCATCTCCCCGGCCTCCACCAATTCCTTATATGCAGCCCGGACACCGTCAGGATCTTCGCGGAGCCCAAAAAAGTGAATCAGGCTTACGTGGTGAAAGCGATTGAAGCTATATCCGCGCTTCTTCATCTCCTCGTAGAGCATCTCGGCTAGTGCGAAGTTTCCAGCCTTGGACGCCGCGTCGAAAAGGATGTTGAAAGTGACAGCGTTCCCCTTTACTCCAGAGAGCTTTTCCATCTCTTTCCACAATTGTAGAGCAGCCTCGGCTTCGGTATCCGTGACTCTTCCAACATATCTGCTTGCCAAGGCCAAGGCATGGTTCCATTCGCTTTGTCGCAGTGCAATCCCGCAATCCTTCGCGTCGCCGATGAGGGAGAAGTACCGAAGCATCGTCTGCGTCTCCTTCTTGAGTGGTGTGCCAAAGATCTTGAGCAAGCGATGGCGCAGCTTTGCCGGCATGTGTATCATCCGAGGTTCCGGAAGCGCCGCGTATAGACTGTGTATAGAGTCGAGATCAATTCTCGCGGGATATCTCATTTTGGTGCTCACAGCAGTGCCAAGCTTGGTGACCAGCTGCCCAATATCTTCGTCGCCGCGCAGTGCTTCGTGATATGACGGGTACTGCTGGTCCTCTTTCCTCTCAGATATCGTGAGCTGAGTTTGCTCCGGTTGTGCATATCTGTTCAGGTAGGGATCCCGTGCGAGTTCCAAGTGTTCGTCCACTGTTCCAACATCCTCATGCTCCACGAAGCCAAGCAAGACGTCCTTTTCTTTCCGCAAAACGACATGATGTGACCGACTAGCTGAGGTAGCGGCGGAGGCGGCAACCTGGCTATAAGATTGAGTTCGTCCGCGGGCGGCCGAGTTCGAGCTTATCGAAGCACGAGGGCGGACAGTAGAGGGCGCCGGCAGGAAAGTCGACAGCAGCCAGGAGGCTGTCCAAGGACATTGAGTAGCCGGTGGGCGAGAGCATCGCGTGCGGTCCCTGTGGTGCTGGGACGCCGGCGCCCTCGGAGGTCTCTCGGTTCGGAGCTCTGGCCGGGAAGAAACTGCAGCTCGAGCTGCGCAGGGTCGAGTCGAGAGAATGGCACCGCATACGGACCCGTCTATCCGGCTAAGTACTTTCATGGGTTGTCGAGCATTGCGGCCAGGGCATCACCGTTCCATCGAAGAGCACGCGCTCGCTGGCGAGTAGGGGAATAGGAATTGGCGTTTTGGGGGATCGTTTGGTGAACTGCCAGCTGCGTTACTAAAAGCTCCGGGATGATTGGGATGGGAATATTATTTCGCTGGTGAAATGCATGGGTAGAGTGGGGCCGACTGCGAAAGCCGGTCCCGGCGTTAGGATTGGCCGATGCTCCAAATTTCTGAGTTGCAGTTCGCGGCCGACGAAGCTCATCACCTGCAAAGGCACCCCAGACAGGATCGAATACTCGTGCCACCTCCGCCTCGATCTCAACAGTGAGTCTCAATCCTCCAGAGTTTGCAACTGACCAGAAGTCTGACAAGCCTGATAGGTCAAGATGGGTCGCCAGATCAGGCCTGCGCGGATCTACCAGACCGTTAGCCAGGAGCTCAACTCGAAAATCCTCCCCCAGTATCCCGTTTATGAACCACCATGGTTCCAGGTCATGAGGGATATCCCCCCTTCCGAAATTATTACGAGGCCGACGATCGTCAATACCCAAAACTCCAACCGCAAGCTTCGCAAGCCTCACGGCATTTACAAACCTCAACAGATCATACATGAGGAGGACTCCCTACGGAAGACGTTCTTCAGAGACCACCCTTGGGAATTGGCTCGTCCAAGAATGATTCTGGAGACAGATGGAAAGGACTACCAGAAATACGACTGGTCCAAGGGCGTCCGCCAATACAGAACGCCTTTGACCGGTGAATGGTGAGCTCATCCCCGAACGACCAGCTTCCCTTTCCCCTTGGAGCTACTACTGACACCCAGACAGCGTCGTCCAGCGACAACTTTGGCTCATGCACAACAAAAAGCACCCGAGAGCACAGGCGTACGACATTGCGAGAAAGGAGTTCTACGCGGCGCGCCAGGAGGAAGAGATTGAGAAGCGCGTCGCCAGGGAGGAGGCAAGACACGTCGGAGCGTACTTTGGCAAGAACAGACTGCAAATCGCACAGGATCTGGAAGACAGAGAATTTGAGGTCTGGAAGGGCTGGGCGGGCGCCAGGGCTGTCGCGATCGAGCAAGCGCGCACTGCCAGCTACGCTAACTTTGGTGAAGAAGCGACGGAGGAGACTGCTGCCGAGGCGGAGGCGGCAGAAGCAGCGGAGGCGGCGAAGACGGTTTGAGCAGAGAGGCCTCGTGCCTTGTAAGTATATGTACTACAAAAGTCTGTATAATACCAAAATTCCAGCTTGCCACGGTTGCAAAGTGTTTTGATGCGCTCATTTCTATGCCCGAGAAGATTGATGAGGTTGTCATGACCTCTCTGGAGTGCTCTTCTCGCTTCAAGATCAGTACCTACAAGCCAGTTGAATCTTAATTCAGGAGAATACGTCGAAAAGTAGCTTCTCTCAAGTTTACTACGCGCATCGTCCTGTATCAAATAAGAGAGCCATAGACTCAGCTACATAGCCTCTCTCCTATGCTAAGCATCCACCGACCTCCTTTCTCAGTAATGGCAGGAAATGAATGAGAAATGACAGATTGTCATGTCTTTCTCACAACCATGCAGCCTGCATTGGTAACGCCGTAGGTCTTGGCTACTTTTTCATGCTGAACCAACAACATGTCGGCAATACCAGTGTAGTGAAACAGCTTCCCTGTGAGACTCAGGGTCTGGATTCTGGCCCACGACTCAACATAGAGAACTTGCATGGAGTCCTCTGGAACAACGTAAAGCATCTTGAGGAGATACGCCACCAGACCAACAACGAAGCCAGTGGCAGGGCCATTGGTGAGAATGATGTCGGGAAACTGCTGGCGACTTCTCGGGCCTTTGAAAGGCGAGGACAGCAGCAAGGGGAAGATCTGAGCCACTGACATCAGGGCTGTGAAAGGGGCTGTGAGTAAACTCTGGTGAATTTTTCTGGCTCTCGCGACAATGTGTTTGTCAAAGGTTCCCACCTGCCCTTCGCCATGGGTAGTCCTGAGCTCGTCTTCAAAGGCGTCCAGGTGAGTGAGTGACATTAAGTCGCCACTAGAGATGAGATAGCGTCGGTGCATGTCGGGGATGTTGGGAAAGCTGATTTCCATCATGGCTAGCATTTCCTTGGTGTGGCCACCTGAGCCCAAGACAATGAGGAAGTAAGCTCCCTTCAACAAGCCGGGACTGGTAGACTTCTTCGCAGCAATGTCAGACAAAAGAATTGGTCGTTTCATGCGGGACTGCTGGATTTGAAGGTGACGGGCCTGAATAGTATTAGTATTGACTAGTTTTTTGAAAGCAAAGATATGCGGCTCAATTACCATGAGAAAGATGACGATGGAGATAACTCCCAGTACCAGGGTTAAGAGCAGGGCCTTCCATGAGGACTTGAGGATGAGGCTTAGTCCGAGAACACAGAAAGCAGAGGCAATGCCGATCAAAGTAGATGCAGCCGCCATTTTATCGTCTTATAGTGAGATATTTTCTCTTAGTCAGATGTCATTTCTCAATGGAACGTTGTATTGTTGCGGTTGATGAATGGAGTCTATTTAAATCGTTATTATCAGCAATGTGTTCTGAAAAACCGGGGATTCATAACTCACAGTCTGCGTCTCGTGAGTCAATGTTGAAAACATTGATCTTCGATAACCGGTCGGTTGACGACAGAGTAAGCAAGTGCTGTTAGATTTTTGTCAAAAGAGCGACCCTCACTTTGTCAACTTAGTAAAGCCCTCACTTTATAAAATGACTTCGACGGCTTTCAAGAAGATGTAAGTGCACTCCTGGCCGTGACTTCTCAAGCTGTCACTAAAGGATTGTGGGGACCTGATGTGATTCAATTGGAGCAGCACTGTCCTGAGCTTTCCGCCTTGTGCGGCGTGCCTTTGGCGGCTGGCCAGTGTGCTACCCATAGTGCATCCCACTAGGAGGTTCCTGACAGAAAAAGCGGATGACCTCATTTTCCTGCTGGGACTTGAAGACCCCTGGAACTTCCCCTGCTTTCTTCCAGGAACACATACAGACCGCCCGGCAGAATCGCGAAAGTTCCGGGCTACAACAATATCGACGGAAGACATACCGTCAACCTGCATAAATGCTTTGTATGGCCTGAGGAGCCTCGAGCCTCGAACTTCAAAGCGCCATGGCAAACTTAAGAAGTGGCAGGCTACTTACCTGCTTTTATTGTGGGAACCGATCATCAACGCGGTATGATGGACTGATTCGAGAGTTCCTCTGCCTAAAATGCGACGCGACAAACTACTTGGACGAGGTTAGTAAACCACTTAACCCACGGCGCATCGCGAGTCGCGATTCCATCTAACAGTCAACCAGCGCGGAGACATCACCGACCCTCCGGTAGCCAAAACCACGTCGGCGCCTGCTACGACGACGTATGCGATACCGCGATCTCAGTCCCCCGACTTCACCACACCGTCACAGAGTATCTTCTGCCCGACATGTCTCAAGAACCAGCACCTGTTCACCAGCTCCCTGGCACAATATCTGCCCGAAGACCCAGACCACCCCGATTATGCTGAACTCGAGAGGAATATGTACAAGTTTTGTCGACGTCTCGAACAGCGATACCCCCAGATATGCGCCCAGTGTGAGCCCAAAGTTCAAGCTCAGTTAGGTCAAGCCGGCTACACGGCGCGGACCGATCACCTACGACGCATGATGGATAGGAGCAGGAAAGTCAAGGTGGCTCCGAAGCAATTGACGCCGCTAGATATCGCGGCGAAGGTGGGCAGATGGCTTTGGTTTGGTGGGATCTCTTGTCAATACCTGTGGCATGTCGCATCCTTGGCTGCTGTCTTTGCGACGCAGTATGACGAAGGACCAATGCGAGACCCGGACGCAGATGTCGAAACGACGATGGTCCAAAGGGTTTCACTTGCTCTTACACTGCTTCTCCCTCGGCCTGAGAGGCTGGTACACTGGAGTCTATGGGCAAATGCTGTGAGCATCTGGTGGAACCCCAAGTTCGTTCAGGTTTTTCGTGGCTTCTCTCGCCACATACTGGGCCTGTCACACTGGTATACCTTTCAGGGGCTCATCATCTTTACGAGATTTTTGGCCATGAGAATGACCGAAATGAAAGGCGGACGATCAGCTGAGGAGAGCGCCCAGATGAGCCTCCATGGACTTATGGCTGTGTTGATGCTGGCTGTGAGTACTAATGATCACAATCTCCTCAAGCCGATGCTGACTCGATGCTGCAGATCTACATTCTTGCCCAACGATCTGTACGTGTCGACATGACACCATTATTCCAGAACACCGGAACACCCGCTGCGTCGCCACCGAGACCGCAAACGGCGCAAGCTCGAGAGGACGACAACAAGAACATGGCGAATCTTCTGGACGATATTCTGGCCGAATCCAGCCCGAGACCCGATATTCCTCCAAGTCCAACGAGCGTTGGCTCAGCATCACCGGCACTCTTCCAGCGGGAACTGCAGCACAGATCGAATAACCGAAACATTGGTCTCAACACTCCGCAAAAGCTGCCTCAGCCCCAGTATTCAGAAGAAATGGATTGGTCCCCGACACAGTCCAAACACCGGGCCTTTAACGATTTTGGACCTCCAAAGGCGCCGAACCAGGTATTCGGGCAACCTGATCCAGGACCCAACTCGAGCCCGTTCTGGTTCAAGGTTCCTCCCGCGCCGATAACACCGGCGCAAAAGCTTCGCAACGGCCCCAAGGTGTTGACGAAACCGGTGGAGAAGAAATCCATCTTCTCGGCCGCCAGGACGGATGCGTCCAAGTCGCAGGGCGAAGACGCGAACGGCGACACGGGCAAGGTGGCATTCGCGCAACCCACGTTCTTCGCGCCCTCGGCGTCGAACCCCAGCGATCCACGCAGCTCCTTGGCCGATCTGCTCAATTCGAGCTTTACGCTGAGCTTGGACGATGATGAAGAGGGAGAGGCGGTGATGGCGACGGCAACGAAGACGGAAACAGGAAATAAGCACGCGGAGCTTGCCAACCCCGGACTTTTGGCACGAACGGTTGGTCTGCGTAACAATCGCTTACTGGACGTTTTCACCTTGGCGATCCTGCTCGGCGCGTGGCTCCATGCGACATCTGCGTCATACCCGTACAGCCGGGACGTAATGTTTGGCGCCATGCTCCTGAGCATGGCCATTGCCATTCACCTCACCAGCGACGCAATCAGGGATATGCGCAACGAGAACACGCCCGGCTTGGCGTCTATTATCAACACGTCGCTGGGGATAGGAGAGCTGGCGGTGGCATGTCACTTTGCGCTCCAGATCTGGGGCGATCGGACGCCGACCTCCGGATTACAAGGCGCGTCGGTTATTGGCACGATACTCGCACATGAGATGTGGAACGCTGCTTGCTAAGGTAGAGAAGGGGGTATCGGATAGATCCCGTTGGGGAGTTGTGGAGAAGGAGAGAACAAGAGACAACAAAAACACCTGAGATGAGTAACACGAAGCATTGATTGGCATGGTTCAGCGGCGTTTGTCGGAATTTGGGCATAAGGCTGCATTGGGGGCACACAGGAGAAACCATTGCCCGGGCGACGACTAGGTTATACAGAGACAAGAAAGAGGTTTCTGGATTTGGACTCTGCGCCCTTTTGGTTTTCGGGTTGCGGTGGTGTGAGCTTTGTTGTTGAATAGTTAGACAATGGTATATCGACGATGTTGTCGAGCGGTGTTACGCTCCAGTGGTCCCAGTAGTCCAGCAAGTGCTTGGGGGACCGGGGCGGAAGGGCTTGGGAAAATGGGAATCACCGATCATGCACACTACCGCCGTTCCACGCGATTTTCCTCTCTCTTTCTCTCTCTCTCTCTCTTCGTTTTTTTCCGGCCCGCCTCGCTCTCGGTCTCTAGCCATCGTTGCTTTGAGAAAATCAAACTTGTTAGCCTCGATGCGAGTGGTGTGTAGGTGGTGTGGTCCAGCTGTGTGATTGGCACCCGCTAGCTTGCGGATTAGTGGTGCGACGGGCTCTGTTGCTTTCGGTCGAGCCGGGGCACCGTTAGGAAAGTCGCAGGTCTCGGTCTCGGCTGACTGAGCCGGACCAAATTTAATCAACTACCTAACTGTCCGCTGGACTGCACGGCTGACCTGCCATGGAATCCTCCGAGGTAGACCGACGCTACGGGCGCCGTGTACGCTAGAAGTTTAGAGAGTTGTTACTACGAATCTACGATGCTGTTCTGAGCTAGATCGGGGTGCTCGATGGAGAGGGCTAAGCAGTCTAGCACACGCCAGAGGCAACGCCATGGCGTCGTTCATCGCATGGCAGCGTGGGCTGGGCTTTGCCTGCGTGCCGTCCATGTTGTGATTGCATAACGCTCCTTCGTACTCGTGGATCGTGGGGGTTTCCCTCGTAGAATCTAACAAGGCTTCTTCGTAGAGAAGGGCTCCACTAGTTTACGGTCGGTCGTGGGAAACAAGCATGACAAGATGCCCAGGATCTTGTTCGGCATCTCACTTTTTTTGGGCCTTCTGGGACTGTGACCCGAAATTGTGAGCTCCAGGCCCCCGATCACAAGAACACGGACAAAGTACGGAGTACGGAGTGCCTGAGATGGATGTAAAAGAGCCTTGAAAGACAGTGATGAGAAATCTAGGCGAGTCTCCGCCCGCCGGCGGGACGGATGTAATCCGCCCGTTCGCGAGGTTATCAAACTTAACACCGAGATAGTTATGGGGAGTCATCCTGGTCAGCCTCATTGAGAAAACCTGACAGGCATCTGCCGCTCGGTGCCGAAAAAGGCGAGTGTGGCCGGCCTGCGGAATACGGGTACCAGGGCCCCAGACAGGTTCGCTGTTCGGTGAGGAATAACAGCTTAGTCCTTCTAAGGTGGGATTCGGGGATTGCTTATTTTTCGCTGTGCTATTGTGATCAACTTGTGATTGGGATACTGTACTCGCACAGCCATCATAAGGTTACCAGAGGCCGCATGACAGATTCACAGTAAGCATGGTGAACATGTACTTCTTCGTGCGATGCTTGCAGGGCCACTCCAGACGTGCCGGTATTTCCGGGTGGCCACCGGGTAATGGGGAATCAAATAATCATCGTGGGCCAAAAGGTAAGGTTTTCCTTGATTTTAGGCTGGGTATGGCAGCAGCCAGCGTCACAGGTACCGTGATAGAGGCGGCTCAAGGCCCCAAGACTTCAGGATGTGATGAAATGTGAGGTAATGCCTTCACTTTGGCAGCCTGGTTGAGACGGAATTGGCTGGTTTGAGGGTAAGTCTCCTCGAGTGTTTGCTTTTCGAAAACCCCCTTCTCTCTTTTGCGTCATGTCAGCGTGTAAGAAGGTACACCGAAGTACGGAGTACCTTACATTGCTTTCCTCGCCATAGTTACCAGGAATTCGGTACAGTACAGAACCCATGCGTGGGGTTATGTACGGCTTACGCAGCCTGCCAGCCTCTGCTGAAGCCACGGATGTTGCACCAATGTAAGTAGCATGCCACGCTCGGTTGAACCTGTGAGGGAGTTGACTGTTTTGGGCTGTGTCCGTACCCATGGCAAATGACGTACTGAACGGGTTGTCACTGCGAAGCGAGTGACAGAATGTGATAGTCTGGAATGGCAATGAAGCAAGCGGGGATCGAGAGCAGAGCCCCATGTCTTCGTCAGCCGTCTCCTGTGAGATAATGGGCAGGTATGCATCTTTGGTACGCAGTATCATTCAATCCCATGTGTCGCGTGGAATTGAAGTGAGGTCAGTAAGATCCGAGGCGGAGGCGGAATTGGAATTGAGCTGTCTTGGTCAACGAGTCGACCCGGTATAGCGAAATTTGGCGCCTCTTTCCAGCGGTGGCAGGACGATTCGAACAGGAAAGAGTCACGCTGTCAGTCGCGAAGATCAGTCATCCAGCTTCCATACGTCGTCAGCACTCGATCGACGCAAGACGAGGCTGTTCTTATGTGGCTGGTTGACGCTGTCTGAGCAACCCCCGCGTCCGTCGTCCGCGTGAGTTCCCCTACTAGCCATGACATGGCACGACAGGACGCAAGAGGGATAGTGGCCTCGAGCCGGGGCGATGCAGACGATGCAGGGCGCCTGTCTCGGAAGGCCAACCACTACTGGACAACACCCATACAGCGCAAGTCGAGCACACGACGCGCCTGTTGATCGCTGATCGTCCATGGATGGGTGCATATTGAGAGAAAGTTATTTGGAGAATCCCTGCTTGGGTCTTCCCCCTCACTGGTCCAGTTGTTGTAGTCTACTACGTACAACACACAGTTTAATGTAGCTTGACCGGCGGACTGTCAGAAGGGGGACCAGTAATGTTTCGAGAAGATGTTCCCCCAAGATGCGACTCTAATCGAGACTGGCAAAGTCTGGGGAAAAGTTGATGGTTGGTGTCCTGTTGATCCTGGTATTCGCGTTGCTAGCAACAGCAGTCGTACATCCGTAATAGCATGGACGAACGCGCATCGCTTTGTCGGCCGGGTTTGAAGAGAAACCGCCACTCGCGGAAGACGGGAAGAGGAGATCACCGACCATATCAGGTTTTGGGTTGAGATAGAGGGGTCCAACCACAGTTGACGCAGAGTCTTTGTAACTGCCCGGTGTCTGTCGAGTCTGTCTATCGAAGTGGTGCATTGGTGCTGCCACAAGAGACGTATCGGCCGGTGCTCGCCGCCTTCCCTTTTCCTCCCGTCGTCGTCGGTCGTCCTCGTGCGCCCCGTGGCTGAGAGTGGCCGATCATCTGTGGCTGCTGCGTCAACGCTCAGATCGTCGGCGGGTTTTTTTCTTGCTACCGCTGTTTGCTGCTTCACTGGTCTGCGCTTTCCTTTCCCTTTCCGTTGGCTGGTCCCTGATCGCTTGGCGGTCTGTCACGGTTGTCACAGGTTTGTTGTTGCTCCCTTGGGGCCTTTGCTGTTGAATGCAGTCCCGGGACAGCCCACCCAGCTATCGTGGCATACCTTGACAGGCCTGCTTTGGGGCTTGAGGATACTGATACTTCGTTGCGCGGCCAGCGGGGTGTCCATCTTGCCAGGTTGATGCGAGTTATGATGATGTTGTGGATTTATGATTGTTATACCAAACTCCGAGGAAGAGACGGTCGTGCAAATTAATGGGATTTGCTGGGACTGGAGTTAAGGGAATATTGAGGTACGTACCTCGCATTTCGCATCAAGAGGGTGCTAGGAATGGTACGTATCGCCACAAGTATCCATACTTCTCCTTTCCTTCTATCCACACTTTCCACGGTGCATGGACATGTACCCAAGGCCCCTAATAAACAACGGTCTCTGCCAGTCTGCCCCTCCCCTCCTCCTTCCAGCTTGGCTTCCACGGTCTGCGGTGGCCCCAAAGCTTACAAAGTCAGCTCGGCTCAAACTTCAGTGGCAGAGTGGCCGAGAGTCGCACCTTGCTTGTTTGTGGTTTAGTGGGCGTACCCTTGCTGCGTCCCCCACACTACGATCTCTTGTATGTATATCTAGCGTTAAGATTGGGGAAGAGATACATAGTCAGCCGAGTCCTCACCCTTCCTGGCCTCTCGCTGGCCTGAGGTCTGCATTGGCCGGGTCCAGCCCACTACGGAGTACGCACTTGTCACCTTGAGTGCATCGCATTTTCCCTTCGATTTTTTCCTATCCCCCTCTGGTGGCTGTCTCCAGCAAAACTCCAGTAAAGTGGACTGTCCTGGTCTGGCACTCTAAAGTACTCATGTGCCTTTGTGCCTGTGGGAAGGCACGACAGGTACGCCTCTTCCCCAAATTTTGTGATGCCACCACCCCACCCCTCCTCCTTTTTTCGTGCCTTCCTCCTGGTCCTCCACTGTACCTATGTCTCCGACCTCCGCCTTCTAAGTCCGTTCAGGTCTCTCCCGTCCCATTCACTCAGTCCCTCAGTGCCATCACCCTTCTGGCCTTCACCCATCATAATCAACATTTTTTTTTCCCCTCTTTTCTGCCATTCTCTGCTTTCTCCCTCCCCTCCCCCCTTCACAAAATTTAAACCAATACTTGGGCCTTGAACCTGAGACAACCCCCAAGGCAGATCTTTCCACTTCACTTCGTCTCGTCTTGGCCAAGCAATTCCACCAAAAAAGCCAAGCTATTCGTACGCCAGCAAGAGAAGAAAAAGGTACGTAGCCAGCAGGCCTTCCCCGTCATTCACCTTCGGTTCCGTTGCAAGGCAGGTCAGGCAGGCTCAGAAGTACCTCGCCACCAAAGCAAAGGCCTTTGTGTACTTCAGCTTTCTGGTGCTGTCACGCTTCCTCCTCCTCCTCCGCCGCCGCACCCACGTCCCGCCCACCTCACGCACCGCACCGCGGACCATTCATTCAACCCATCCCACACATTACGATGCTCATTTACTAACCCGCTCCTCCCACGCGCACCCAGGGTCCTTTTCCTCCTTCTACTTCTGCCTCACCTCTGCAACCAATACCAACCAACTATTCGAACAAATCCCCGACCACTCTTCGTTTCTCTCTCGCTTCCACAACTGGGACTCCCAAATTCGTCACCGAGACCTTGCGAAAACGAACCGTCGCCCACGCTTGCGACACCACCAACCAGACCACCCTACCCGCGATTCACGACAAGATGGACCTCAATTTCCAACTTGCCGCCCGTCAGGTTTCTGCCTGTGCTCTGTAGAGACACGCAAAGGGACATCTTTCAACATTGCCTCTTGTCCCACGGGAGGAAAAACACCAATACACGCTTTTCAACACTCCTCAAAAAATAAACTACCAACCGACACCTTGTACCGCTTCGCTCACACGACCTCTTACCCTTTCCTAACCTTCCTCCGAAACCCTGAACTCTACTACCCACGAACCCCAGAAGACAGAAGTACCACAACGCCCGTGAACAGTCACGCGACCAAGCTCACTCCACGATCACTCCACCCACGACTTACACCAATTCACCAAAAAAAACCATGGCTGGTGCCGTGGTCTCTAAACGAAGTGCGAGACAGTTCCTCGAAGACGAGGGCGGCCATCCCGCAGAACATCCCACCTACCACCCCGCGAGACGTAACTCGAAGCAAGACGATCCCATTCCTACTGAGATGGCCGACAAGTACCAAATCAAGGGCCCTTCGCGGCAAGGGTCTCGCGAGTCTGTAGCCAGCTCCGACTCTACACTGGAGATTACCACACAGCAGCAGATCATAATGAAGGCGATGGAAGACGAATCTCAAACGCCTGCTACTACTGGAGAGAAGGCCCTGGCTAGGCGCGAAGATGGGCTTCTCAAGGTCAACGATCTGTCGAAGTCACCCCTGGCCTCGCCCATGTCCCCTGGCATTGAGCGAGTTTTGCCTATTGACGGACGCCCCGTCAACTTTGGTGTTGTTGTCCCTGGAGTCTACCGAAGCAGCTACCCCAAGCCCGAGGATTTTGGCTTCATCCGCAATCTTGGCCTCAAGTCAATCGTGTAAGTGATCACTAGATGTCCATGCATTGTCAGACGTTGTTTACTGACCATACTCTTAGTACTCTTGTCCAAAAGGACGATGTTGACGAGCCTTACACCGCTTTCATGTCAAGCAACGGTATTCGTCACCACGTCTTCAACATGAAGGGTACCAAGAAGGAGGCCATTCCCATTCGTACAATGAAATCGATTCTCCGGCTAGTTCTGGATCGACAGCACCATCCTCTGCTCATTCACTGCAATCACGGCAAGGTATGTCTAAACAACTCGGACAATCTTTAGAATGTTCGTCCACTAACATGACTATAGCACCGCACCGGCTGTGTTGTTGGCGTGGTCCGCAAGGTGACTGGCTGGGAGCTCAACACCATCGTCGATGAGTACCGGGCATATGCTGAGCCCAAGATCAGAGACTGTGACGTTAAGTACCTCACCGACTTTGATCTCTCAGATCTTTCCAACCTTTTCGTCCACGAGGCAAACATGCGGTTTCGGATCCGGCACTTTATGAGGGTGACGCTCTTCACTGTCTTTGTCGTCTTTGTCTGGTTCATTTCGGGCCATAGAATGCAGACGACAGCCAGACGCGTCAAAGAAGTGAAATGAGTGACCTTGTTAAAGTCATTTCTGCATGATGCTTGGCGTTGGGCGGATTCTTGCCGAAGTCTGAACTTAGTGGAGCGCAGCATAGCATGGTACAGCACTTCAGAAGAAAACTGGAGACTGTCACCTAGCAACGATACCCTACACAAAGAACGGAGAAGATCACAAAGCAACGATGAAAGCCAGCGGAGCTGCAGCAGCATCGGTGAGATGATCGACGAGATGCGTCGAAGTATATGAGAGGAGACAGAAGAATAAGGACACAAAAAGTTTGGCACATTAGGACGACCGCCCTTGAAGATGCAGCACAGACTGTCAGGGCTGGAATGGCTACTTCATTTTTCCTTTGTATGGATAGACAGAATACTGGAGACTCATCAAGAGCTGAGATGTCTCCTTTTGGCGTTTTACTCGAGACTTGGGAGGTCATCGAGAATGGCATTTCATCAAGCATAGGGTTTCTTTTCTGTTATGTTGTATCACTACCTCAGTAGGATGGTTTGGACAGTTGACCGTTTCGAGTGGGCATGGCCACTATGCGAATGCAATTGACTCAAGTCATAGTAACTGATTTGTAAATTTCTGATTATCGTTTGGATGGTATTCTGCAAAATCCACCCATCTCGTAAAGTGACCGGCTCTATTGCTATTTCCGTATGCAAGCATTAATTTCCCTGAGAGCTTATCGAGATCATGGCATATGTGTATGTCGATCCATCCCCAGAAGCTGCCGTTTCGCGCAACGACGTTTCGCCTCATGACTCGACGCCTCTCATTATCTAACGGACTTGTCCTATAATCGTACAATATTTCTTACAGACGGTACTATTAACGTCCACCCTGGCTTGGCATTTGGCGCTTGTTTGAACAACTCGAGCCGATCCAAGACCACCGCATGACAGGAAAGTGGCAGCAGTCCACGACAGAGACCAGACGGAAGAAGATCATGCCCTCCTCTAAACTTGGTCCCATCGAGGTCTACTACCCGTCTGGTAACTCTACCTTCCTCCCTCTCTTTCTTTTCTTTCCTTTCCTCTTTCATGACTCCCCACCCCAGCGATTCCTCTCTTTCCTCTCCACCTCGTCCTTCTTCCGGTCGCCACTGGCATACACCCACGCGCCGGCAGCCGCATTAGCAAAGCCCATACCGATGGCGGTGCCGCGGACGAGCCCCCGGGCGGAAAACTTGGTCCGCAGGGGCTGGCGACGGCGCAGTGCGAGGAGGGCGTAGAGGCCCGAGAGGGCGCAGGTGAAGCCCGCGCTGTCGGTGGGGAAGCCGGCGAGGTTGACGTAGCTGCTGAAGAGGAGGGCGGGCGCGAAGGAGGCCGGGAGGATCTTGAGGGGCCGGCCGTGGAGGGCGCCGATTAGGATTGCGTGGATTGCGGGCGGGAGGGGATTTGCTGTGGTGTGTTAGTGGGGGGAGGATGTCTTTTGGGGGGATTTGGTTTGAAGGTGAGGGGGAGATGCGTACTGCCATAGTCGTGGAGTTTGCTAAAGAATGAGGACTTCACATCTTCTGCGTCAGGGTTACCGTTGTCGGATGCCATTGTCCCTGGTGTGTTGGGGTTTCCGGCGACGTCTGGCGCAAGACTGGGCTGATACCGCGGTCGGGGGGGTGAACAAGATGGATATCGTCACTGATTTTTTGGAGTCGCTAACAGGGAGCTTTCAAGGTACCTTAGCTAATTCCCGTATTAGTGACGTTGGGTCGTTGGCTATCGATAAGACAGGACCCTACTCAGATGAGTCAGCTGAGCCGCATACCCAATCAGCTGGTCCGTGGTTCCGGGGCCTCGGGCGAGTCTCTCAATTTCGACCTCCATCAAGTGGACTGGGCCTTTCAAGTTGGTACAGTGTCTTGATCCCCCCCATGTTGGTCGGAACCATTGCGACTTTGGTCTATTTGTCTTTCCCTCTCGCAAGACAGCCACGTGATTCCCTCCGATAAAGACACAAGGTCTCCCACGTCAAATCCTTTCACGCTCTTTCAGGGCTTGTCGAGGGAAAAGCCTCGAGTCAGCGAGTTGTTTGCTGCTACTGGTGCGGGGGAGCATCGCATCAGTAACGTGAGTTCTAGCCTTGCATCGCCTATCTTGCCAGATTGGCAAAACCCACCAACGCAACATCGCATCCGTCAAGGACTGCGCGCACCCACGGCCGCGACGATTCTCGATCCGACCTGCACACATTTTCTGTGCTCCCATACGTATTATTGTCAATCGCAATCATTCTTGATTCCGACCATCCGATAGACGACTACCTCAAACTTGCCCCGGCAACCAAAACACACACACACACACACACACACACAGAGCAAAACCATGCCGAGCGCAACAGCCTCGGGCGCCGACTCGGGCGGCGGCGCCCGCAACCGCGAGCACAACCAGGGCAACCAGGCCCGCGCCTACACCGTCGACCAGAAAGCGGCCGTACTGCGGATCCGGAAATGCTCGCCGACGGCCTTTTACGACATCCTCGGCCTCGAGGAGGTGAAGACGACTGTGACGGAGAGCGAGATCAAGAAGGCGTACCGCAAGCAGTCGCTCCTGACCCACCCGGACAAGAACGGGCACGAGAATGCCGACGAGGCCTTCAAGATGGTCAGCCGCGCGTTTAGCGTGCTGGGCGACAAAGAGAAGCGCGAAAAGTTTGACCGGTTCGGTACGGATCCCGATTCGAGGTTTGGGCAGGCGCAGGCGCAGAATCCGTTTAGCGGGTTTGGTAGGCGGCAAGGCGGCGGGGGCGGAGGAGGGGGGGGAGGAGGAGGTGGTGGTGGTGGGATGGAGGAGATGACGCCTGAGGAGATGTTCCAGCGCTTCTTTGGTGGTGGTGGGCTTGGTGGTGGACCTTTTGGAGGCGGAGGTAAGAATGAGCACTGTCTCTCGCTCGCGAGGACTTCAAGGCGGCGACATGCTAACGACGACTTGCAGGTTTCGATACGGGACCCCAGTTCGTGTTCAACTTTGGCGGCGGTCCGGGTTTCAGGGTACACCAGTTCGGCGGAGCGCGGCCGCGAAGGAGACCGCGCGAGGCGACGGAGCAAGAGGGCGGCGGGCTCTCGACGCTTATGGGCCTGCTCCCGATCCTGCTGCTCTTTGTCTTCCCCCTCATCTCGAGCCTCTTCAGCGGCGGCGGCCCCGCGGCACCGAGCATCGTCTACGACAACCCCAAGGGCGCCTACACGCTGGGACGGACGACGCCCAAGCTCAACGTCAAGTACTTTGTCAACCCCAAGGAGGTTGAGTCATTCACCAAGGGGAAGCTCAGCCAGCTGGACCAGACGGCGGAGAATAACCTGGTCAGGACGCTGCGGTTCGAGTGCGAGAATGAGATGATGGCGAGGCAGCGGATGTACGATGCGGCGAGCGGGTGGTTCTTTCAGGACCCAGATAAGATGCGTAGGGCGGACGAGTTCGAGATGCCTTCGTGTAAGAGGCTGGAGACGTTCCGTGTGGGGAGGTAATAAATGCGTTTTGTGGTTCATCTGGCGATAGCAACTTTTAAGAGGAATAGAGCTGGGGAGAGGGCGAGGCAGAGGCAAGGCTTTGTATGAAACGGAAAGGGAGCTCGGAGAAGCTGAGAGACGCGTCCGGCTCACTTTTTCTCTGTTTGGCGTTTGCTGGGGAGAACTCTTTGAGATTCATAGCATTGTTGGGACACTCCGCGTCGGGCATTTTCTTTCTGCCTTTGGCCCTTCTTTTTCCTTCTGTCGTCCTTGCGATGCAGATGCAGTATTCTTCTCATATATTCTTCCCCCTCCTCATGCCCTGATTGGTCCCGCCACCTCTCTCTCCCCTTGACAATCGACATGTCTTCACGGCTACTATGATCACAGCATCCTTCTCAGTTCGCCCCAATTGTCTGCCCCGTACACACTGAAGTGGAGAGGTCCTTCTTGAAGTGATCCACAACCCCAAACTTCGCCTAAGTACTGGCTGCCCACAAACACGACACGATGTTCGAATCGTTCCTAACCCCCACAACATCGTGGGACCGTCAACCCACAGGAACTCCAGCAAGTTCCTCTCAACTATCCCCGATGGCACAATTGGCTAGCGCGTCAGACTGTTAATCTGGAGGTTGGTGGTTCGAGCCCACCTCGGGGAGACATCCAGTGGTTAGAATCCACAACTGCAGTTGAGAACTCTTCTTTTGCACCTTCTTTCGATTTTATCTTTGTCTCATGGAGAGACTGTCCTTGATGGTGGTCACTTGGAAGTTTTTGTTTTTGAAATGAAGCATGCGGTTGAGGTTGGCAAGTTGTGATATTTTGGGACTACATGTGAGGATTCTTCATTGCGCTAATGGCACATTGGTTGCTGTTCTGAGTTGCTACATGCTTCAGGTCCAAGCGAAAGTGTACAGTCGGCTTCCGCGAACTTATAGGTTGACGAGGTATGTTGTGAGGTAAAAAAAAAAGTGCTTTAATAGAAGGACGCCTCAGCAGATTCTGTCCTGGCATTACGGCCGCCAACATAGCACGGGTGCGCGACAAGTCTCATGACTCGCGTGCGCCTCTTCTCTCTATCATGTCCCCTCCGAGACATATATCTAGGGTATCAGGATAAGATGGCGGATTAGTGAGCTTTAAATACCCTGCATGGACTTTGAAGATGCGCTAAGGCAAGAGTAGTATTCTATCTCGAGATCCGCAGGGCAAGTATAAGCTCTTGTAGCTTGACAGCAATGTGGATAAGGAAACAATTCGATGCGTCGCCCTGCAAGACCTACGTGTTGCTGTTTTCATCTGGGGGTAGTATGTCTGGGTGAGTCGGGTGGTGGGCTGGCCGAATTTGAGAGTTTCCTTCTCAGTAACTATCACATGTCCCTGGGCAAGTATGGAGTTTACTAACAGTGATCATCTTTGAATCTGACAGCGCTCACTCTGATACAATTAGATTTGATCCAGTACCACGTTCCCTTCGAAGTTGGGTTACTTGCATCTCACCACTACCTCGACTGAAGAATTTCTCAAGCGCTTGGGACGTTCAACTACATTTCTTCTTTTTGAGTTGACGGGGTTGGCTTTTTAACGAGTGTCTGGCCCAGCACCACCAAACCCCCGGTTTGCTCTCTTCTCCATTATGCTGTGACTACCGCCGAGGCTTCCGGATGGATAGAGACGGATACAACTTAGCTTTAGGAGCAAGCTCTGCACGCCTCAAATGTTAATACCCCCCGGAGCCGGGCAGTTGGGACGTTATCTGTGGTCATGGGCGGTATACCCTCATAGATGAGAAGAGAGTATCACGCTGTATGGAGATGGCACTGGTCCAATATTACCCACTTGGAATGAATGGTATTCGCGGCCACTCAGGTTTACTTACATTGCGAAGACTGCGAAGTTCCGAGGGGGACGTACGAGAGAAGTTCGCGGAAGAAGCTCCTATGTCCGGCTCTAATTCGCCAAAATCGGATAGCTCCGGTATGCAGGACGATTCAAAGATCTTCTGGTCTAGCTAGCCAAAAGACTTATCGGCAGGCACAGGAGAGAACGCCGGCCGCCGTCTACCATCTTTCCCGGCCCGCCGGACCATCGACTCCTCCGGGCGGGGCACCTCACGTCCCTAGCTGCCCGAGAGTTTACCTTCCGTGAAGCAGGTAGGGTAGTATGAGTGGCAAGAGTCTTTCGACCCGGGATTCGGGGCACTTGGAAGGTTGATCTCGTGACTCCTGCGCCTCACAAGTCTCTATTCTTGACAGCCTGAGGGGCATGAAGAGCTCAAAGGTTAAAATTTCTGTCGGGATATGCCCGCATACAAACGCTTGAAACGACAAGAAGGCACGGAAGGCTTCCAGTGTGTACAACAAAGAGAAAAAAAAAAGGTTTGCTCAAAGTTCAGATTGTCGATACGGAGGTCTCTGTTAACCGTCTGCTCCTTGCAATCCCAAGTTGGGACATTACTCAGGTGAGGGCATCTCTAGTTGACACCATGGAGGCTCACCCTCATGTCTCCGAGTAAGAGTAAGAGATGAAGTGTTGCCAAGAACAATTAAAGGATAGAAAGGTGCCACGATGGAACTTTGCAATTTGGCAACTCCGAGTAAGCAAAGGAGGCAGATGCATCAAACTCTCCCAACCTAGCGTCAAACCGATCCCATGCGGCAACGAACGAGCTCTATGGGGCATGTTCGAGAGAAAGAGATGCAGTGCCGAAAGAAGGGCCAATGGAGTGGAGGTGAGATCGGAAATCGAGATAAAATCGAGGGAGATTGATTCCCGGAACAAGGTTCGCAGGTTTAAACAATGGTCTTGATGTTAGTAAAGCCCATCCTTAATGCTCCGAACGAGATTCATGCTACGAGGGGGGTCTCCTTTCACATAGGCCTGCCGTGGCTTGCCTCGTCAATGGTAGGTAAGGGAGGGAGGCTTCCAAAGCTGGAAGTATCCTACAGCATCGGCGACTCCCATAAGGCATCGTGGCAGGAGCTGGCGTGTCCCCCGTCTTTGACCCCGTCTTGAAACGGAGGCTCGGGCCTTGACGAGTTGCAAAAAGGGCTGAGGGTTGTATGAACTGTGGGTGGACTATATGCGCGTATACAAGCCTCAGAGCGAACATAGCTTTGACACTAACTGGCAGAGCCTCGCCGCCTCATGGCTGGCTGTTAAGGCTTTGTGAGTACTCGCGCAGCTGAACGGTGGAGTCTCTGGTGCTGTTCGGAGAGGCGGGGTCTGTCCCTGCCCGGCAGAGTCACGGGCACGGAGCACCGGACGGTTGGCTGCGTCATTGCGCGGGGAGCACCCATGGGAAGAATGGAGACCAAAGGGTACGTATCGTCTAGCGTGTGGCTGAAGCTGTAGACGCCACAGCTCTACCCCACCGGGCAACGGCGCGGGCACCTCTTTCCAAGGGTATGGTTTCTTGCTTTTTTCTATTTTCCACCCACAGTCTCTGGATGTTCCATGATGATTGATTCAATCTAGTCTCGGCCGTCTGGGTCAGGCTGTAGTTGTATGGATGGATGAGAACGGCTCTTTTCTTTTGCTGCCCAGTCATATCTCGGTATCGCAATGTCGTCTGCTGAGCATCAGACAGCAGGCGGGTGGCTGGCGGTGTACTGCGCGCGTGCTGATCGAGTGGACGCGCAAGCCTTCGGCGACAGGCTGTGCCATCTTACCCGGTAGCTTTGTGTTGATTGACGTGAAAGCATCAAGGGAAGCTGCAAATGGTAGATGGCCATTGTCGTCGTCACCATGCGTGTACCGAAATCCGCCATGTTCCGCTAAAGAATGCCAATGTGTACGGAGTGGTGTTTGTCTTATCTTTTCCAACGATGTTAGCCATTGGCCCATGTCATTTTTGGCCCTATGCGCGCAACGATGCTTTGCTGTGTTGTAGTATGTAGGTCTCATATGATTCCTGCACGTATGCTGTTGCCTGGCGAATTCCGCTCTGTGTACTCAGTAGACGACTCGAGGATGTATTCAAGGATGTTCCCATGGGGCGACGTCTAGCTAGGGCCAGTCAATGAGCATGGTGGAATTGCCGCTGGCTCTTTGCCGTAGGTGTCTGTATTCGTACCATGCGCTCAGCGCTCTTGGAGAGAGAGATAGAGCTTCTGCTGGCAGCTGCGGTACCCTGTCCGCGTAACTCGTGGTGCTTGTGCCGTGCCGGGTCTGCGTCCTGGGGCCCACTTGGTCGTGCCGCAGCGGAGAGGCGATGGTACGGAGTTGATGGTGAAGCAAGGCGGATGATGGTGGTGGTGGTGGTGTTGACTACTCTAGTACTCATTGCATGCCTTTCTGAAAACTCAGCATTGAAGATTCAAGGCAGGAATGGCAGGTGCTTAGGAGTGTTTGTCCCAACTCATGAGGCGTTCCATTGGCATCTCTATTATCCAGGTAAGTGAGTGCGAGATAAAACGGTCGGGTAGCGGTTCCAAACGTCGAAGGGCAGCGATGGGGAGCGGTCGACAAGAAGAGAGAAGAGATGGGGAATCCGGGACGAAAAGAGATGTGCAGTCAGCAGTACGTACCGTTATACGAAGTACCTCTCAAGGTACGGTACTTCCTCCAAGTTCTAACTGTCGAGGTTGGAGGTGGGGGAACTTGGAAGAAGCGAAACCTGAAAGTGTAAGGTAAGGCGCACCGCCACATGTCCAGCGCTTGCCCCCCGCAGCCCGCCAGCGTTGCGCCGTGTGTTTGCGTCCCGACGGGTTGCGTGGGGCCTCCTCCGTTACGACGGCTGCTGGGGCGTACGAATACAGTGCAGTGCTCCAATGCTCCTGATGAACGGAGTATTGGTACCTGTACCAGCACAGGTACCAGGGCCACTGCTTGCTCGTTGCCGCCGCAGCTGCTGCAGGCTGGTCTTGGCTTCCATGGAGGTGCTCTTTTGGCTTCCCAGCGAGTTCTGTTCCAAGGTTCCTCAGACTCTCTTTCCTCTCCCCCAGACGACTGCTTGCTGCTGCAACTGCTGTGTTCCAAACTTTGGCAACCTCCAGACATTTGGCTTCATCTTTTTCGGCAGCTTGTCATTCACAGCATTTCGGAACACACCGGGCCTCAAGTGCCTGCCGCTTGATCACCTATTACACCAAACGGTTTCCGGGATTGCCGTTGGTGGATTGTCTCTAGTTGGCTGCTGATCGCTTCCAGTGCAATAATTGAGAGGTTTCTATTCACAGCCCACTACGAATGACGACACCTACTGGAGCTTCAATCTCACCCTCGCCCACGCCCTCGTCCTCGCTCAGCCGCTTGCCGAACATCCTCAACCACACTTGCAGCTCTCCCAGCCGCAACATTTCCTCCAAACCAAAAGTATTCTGATTTCGCGTTGCTACTCTTTGCTTGGGACAAGCGACAGCCGCCCTCACGAACCCATTCTACCAATAAAACCCCCCAGTCCGAGACCTCGGGACCCTCGTCGACATGGTTACCCGCAAGCCCATTCCCAACGAGCCCTACCTCAACACCAACGCTGCTCCGCGAATTGAAGACATGAGAAAGGAGCTCTGGGGCGCAACCGACTCCCCTTCCGACGTAGACAGTGTTTGGGACGACGCTTCTCAGCAAAACGGCGCTGCTGCTCTTAGCCAACAAACGATACCCCAAGATATTCCCGAACCTTTGAAGCACGGCGGGGTTGCGGCACAGGGCCCCGAGATGGCCAATGGAGTATGGAACGACGCTGACGGCCACCAGTCTCAAGCCGCCGGCGAGATAAGAGGCGATTCCAACGATGTCCCACTGGTATTACGACCAGGAGCGCCCCCTTCACGATCCGACACAAATCCGTTCAAACGCAAGGACGTCCGCGACGACTCCAATCCAACGTCGCCGCCCACCAACGGTACCCCGACGATGCCTCCGGCGCAACCACTCTCGCAAATGAGCACCGGCGAGATCAGCAATAATCCATGGCAGCCTGCCCTCGACCAACACGCTCAAAGAGCTGCCGCCGTCAGCGCCCAGCAGTCTCTACGTACTCAGAACAGTGGAGAGTCTGAGCGCGATGCATGGGCTGCAACCCAAGAGCCAAAATTGCCCGCTATCTCGACATCTCCAGCGCTGCTATCGCTCCCCTCAGAGCCTACCTCACCGGCGTGGGATGACTTGCCGGAGAATCAGAGTAAGAAACCAGCTGATTTACCAGCAGCATCGATTCCCAGCGATGCAATTGCGGATCAGAATGCCTGGGACGATGTAGGCGGACTGAACAAGGGCAAGGGAAAGGCCCCCGCCCCCGCTCCCGTTGTCCCTCCTCCCACAGTCGAAGACGGCCCCATGGATGATTGGAACCTCATCGACGTCGAGCCGCCTGCTGGCCCACCACCCGGCAGATCGCAAGCGCCAGATCAAAGCCGCGACAGGCCTGACCAGGTCTTTGACGACAAGGTGGCGCCAGCATTGCCTCCGCGGAACGATGACGAAGAGCAACCTCCGCGCCAGCCACCGCGTCCTGTGGACGGCAAGGCCGAAACATATCAGATCAAGAACGTCCGTTGGCACGATCACAGCGCCGACAAGAACCCGCGAGTTTCGCCGATCCTCGTCCAAAATGCCAACGGTCCTTGCCCGCTTCTTGCTTTAGTCAACGCGCTCACACTTACAACCCCACCATCTCTATCAGAGACGGCCTTGATAGAGGTCCTCCGCTCCCGAGAGCAAATCAGTCTTGGGTACTTACTAGACGCGGTCGTCGATGAGCTCATGAGGCGAACACAAGAAGCTTTGCCTGATGTGTCCCAGTTGTACGACTTCTTGAAGGGTCTTCATACAGGAATGAACGTAAATCCACGTTTCGTTCCCACCCCCGAAATCATCAAGGCCTTCAAGCGCACTTCCTTGACTCACTTACACCCGACCGAACGCGACGATCTGATCCCTGGAACTTTCGAAGACACCAGAGAGATGGCGCTGTACGCTGCTTTTGCCATTCCGCTTATCCATGGGTGGCTGCCCACTAAGAATGACCCGGCCTATCCTGCTTTTGAGCGCCAGGCGGCTTCGTTTGAAGACGTGCAAACGCTCCTTTTCCGAGACGAGGAGCTGCAGGAAAAATTGGGATCATTGACGGAAGAGGAGGAGCGGATATACTCAGACATCCAGTCGATAAAGGCGTTTTTGGAGACTTCGGCAACGCAGTTGACGCCGTCTGGACTTGAGGTTATCACAAAGGCCATGAAGCCTGGCTCTTTTGCCATTCTCTTTAGAAACGATCACTTTTCAACCCTGTACCGGCACCCAGCGACACAGCAACTGCTGGTGCTTGTCACCGACGCAGGATATGCCACCCACGACGAGATTGTTTGGGAATCCCTAGCCGACGTGAATGGAGAACGTACGGAATACTATTCTGGTGATTTCAGGATCGTGGGCGGAGAGCAGCCGCAAGGCAATTCCCGGGGACAGCCTACTATGAAGAACAATGCCCAAAACCGACCGAGAATCGATACGAGTAGCGCCAACGAGGGAGGCTGGACTACTGTGGCCGGCCGCGGCCGCAACAAGCATCTTGAGGCTCCAGCACAAGGTGACGAGATGCCCCTGTCGCCGAATCACGAGCAGGAGGATCGAGATCTTGCCCTCGCGCTTCAGTTGCAAGAAGAGGAGGAACAACGCCATCGTGCAGAGCAGTCGGCTCGTCGGCGCGAGAGCCAGCTTAGCGAGCAGTACATTGAGCAACAAGCCCGACTGCAACAAGGGCCCACGACAAGACGTGCAGCCGACAGGCAGGCTGCCCGAACTGGTACTGGCGCACGTAGTAGCAGCAATGGCAACTCGACGGCCTCTCGCGGCAGCCGCCGGAACTCAAGCACCAACGTCAGCAGCCCAGCGGTACCGCCCACGTCGGGTCGGCAGCCAGGTCAGCCGCCTCAGATGGTGCGACCGTTGGTTCCGCCGACGGTTCCTGCGCGTCGACAAGGCGTGAACCGGCCGGCTGACGAAGGCATGGACGATGCCCCACCGACATATGAGCAGGCGCAGGCGGCTGCCAAGTACGAGCCACCTCCTGGGCACCCTCACCATCATGCAAGCAGTCCCGTGAATCGACAAGGGAACGGTGCCGGGCCGTCATTCCCGCTGTCGCCTTCGCGGCCGGGGATGGGCGGCGGTCGTGGGCGCGTACTGGGACCGGGCGGAGTGGTAGGAAGTTCGCAAGGAGGAAGGGAAAGGGATTGCATCGTAATGTGAGCGAAGGCAGCTCTGGTACTTTCTGATGATTAAGGCGTTTTCGTGTCATTTGAATTCTTCCGCAAGACATGGACAGACGAAGACTCTGACAAGCAGAGTTGGAAGAGCTTTTGCTGTACAAACATTTCCTCTCAGCGGGCGGCGTTGGAAATAGTGGCTTTATAGGATCGGTAGCTGATGAATGGAAGAAGACGCATGATCATGTTGCTTTCTTGGAATCTCGCTGGGTATCTGTTAAACATGCGCAAGATTTGCTAAGAAGTTCCGGATATCTTGAGTCTGATATCTTCCTCAAGCTGTGGTGGAGGCTGCAAGGGGTAGCTGTGCGAGATGCTCAGGGGAACCTCCCCGATTTGCAGAACAACTCAGGGGACCCCGCCAGTACCTCGATCGAATAGGGAAAGCGGTCAAACAAACCATGGGCGAGCCTGCAGGGGCTTTAACGCGTCGCAGGACCGGGGGCCGGAGCTCCCGCCGCCAATTCCACCACAGCAGCTGCTTGATGTCATTGATTTTGTGTGTTGTGTTGCACTTTCCACGTCCATTTCACGGCGGGGGACTTGCGAAAGGTGGGAAAGCACACCACGCCACGATCTTCTCCAGGGTTTCCTGACCTCTTTAAGTGCTGTTCTTTGGCAGTGCATTCACTTTCACCATCTAACTCTTCTCAATTGGATCGTCCCATATCAAAAAAAAAAAAAAAAAAAAAAAAAAAGAAACGGACCAAAGATGTCCCTGATTGAGGGGTGGCTTCCGCCGACGCGGGAGAACTGGGAGACCATCACGACCGTGTGGCAGCTTTCCTGGCCAGTGGTATGTCCCGTCTCTCCAGCAATTTTGGCAAAGCTCTTGTAGCTACCTTTTGCTAACCTTTGAATGATGTGCAGTTCGGCTCTCTTCAGTATGTTATCAACTGGTACGGCATGGGCAAGACCTCGGTCACGAGCCGCCTCAACATCCCCGGCCGTCTGGCGTGGTTCCTGATGGAGATTCCGGGCGTCACGACGTTATTGTACATCATGAATACCCTGCCGCGACAGGTCGGCATTGACGATCTGCCGTGGCAGAACAAGGTGCTCGCTGGGTTATTCGTACGTTCCCTCTCTCCTTTCCCCTTCATGTCTGCCTCTATCTACTAGACCAACGTTGATTGACAATTGGGTAATGGGGCCAATACAGACCATCCACTATGCCTACCGTGCCGTCCTCTTCCCGATCCTCCAGCCATCCATGTCCCCGATCCATGTCGTCGTCGCTTCCTCAGCCGTCCTCTTCCAGCTCATGAACGCGACCTGCCTGGGCAGCTACCTTGCCGCCTACGGCCCCACCACAGCCTCGGCATGGGACTCTGCCCTCGGCCGCGGGGGGATAGCACAATTCGTTGTGGGCATTGCTGTCTTCTACGTCGGATTGACGCTCAACTACTTCCACGACGAGGAGCTGCGCGAAATTCGCAGGACAGAGCAGCGGCGCCAGGCCAGGATTGCGAAGCAGCAGAAGCTGGAGGGCAACGAGAAAGCAAAGGGCGTGGATAAGCATTATCGGTTGCCTGATACGATGCTGTTTCGGTATATGTTGTACCCGCATTACTTTTGCGAGTGGGTGGAGTGGTTTGGGTTCTGGATGGCGAGTGGGTGGAGCGTACCTGGAAGGGCATTCTTTCTGAATGAGATTTTTGTCATGTTTCCGAGGGCGAGGAGCGGGAGGCGGTGGTATGTTGGGCAGTTTGGGGAGGAGAAGGTTAGGAGAAAGTGGACTATTATTCCAGGGGTTTATTGAAGATTTCACTTGTTGGATGACTTACCCCTATGCGTAGGTCCCACGGTGTCTTATGGGTTCTAGACGCTCAAGACTTTCGCTATTGCTTATGCCCATGGGCATCTCCGAAAGACGGCCATGTGAAGCACTTCGACGGCCAGCGAGGGTCAAAGTTCTGCATCAGTGTATCCCTATCTCCCAGGGTACCTTTCCTCTTTTCACCCGGATGGCAGCTCGAAAGCATCTTTTTTTGGCCGACGGGTTACTATCGGAGAAAAAGCTTGGTTGATAATACTCAAGGCCGGTTCCCTCGAGAATGAGAACAATCCTAACCCAAATCTTCTTCCATGCTTCTAGACACATCAGTGCACATATCTATTGAACGACAAGTTGACACAGATTCGACACGCGCGAGACTGCTTGACAACAGACATGAGATAATAGTTCAATAGCAACTATTTATAATCGTCAAAATGCCTATCGAACACCTAGCACCAGAGACTTTCTTCGTCATCTTCAGTCACCTCATTGAGGCACTTCCTGCCTTTCCTGGAGACGGTGCCAAAGCGCTAGAATACAAACAAGCGTCATCACGCGACACTGGACAATACCGGCGATCGGCAGGCCTCGAAAAGCATCGCGCTTCCAAATACCAATGGAGCAGAAGGGACATACTCACACTGGCGCGGGTGAATCGCCGCTTCTTCGACATCTGTGCCGAACTTCTTTACAGACATCTCGCCCTCGTGGATGGCAGGAGGCTCGTAAACTAGCGCAAGCTACAAGCCACACTGGCCTCGTCGGGAGCCGCGCTTCAGCAAAGGGTTATATAACTACGAATAGACTATGATCGCGACCAGGGATGCTGGCTAAGCATGCCGCCAAAGCAACTGTTCGACCCCTCCGGATTGACCCGACTGAAGACCCTCGAGCTCTCTGGCGATGCAGGACGCTTTGTAATGCCACTGGCCCTGTGGTTCCGCGCCATTCCCAAGCTTCTTGGACTCGAACGTCTGGTCTTGAGAGACTTGGACATTGTGCTTCGAAACTTCGCAGACGCCAATATACCCGCCTTGGGGGTCACGGATCTGTGTATCTACAACTGTCCCATTACCTCGGGCATCAGCGTCATCGATTTCTACAAACAAGGGGACTTCTTCCAATGTTTCCCGGCACTGCGCACCCTTACCATCGGTAGGGTGGCGCCGGAGCTCTCGCGCGACGCCCATGCCTTTGCGCCGTTTGTAGATACGTTGGAGACGTTCACTTGGTTCGACACAGGAGCCTCATCGCGCTGGTGGGCAAGGGCCTTTTCGATATCGAGGTTCCCCATACAGGCGCGTGGACTCAGAGCGGCGAAGCACCTCAAGGTTTCAAGTCTACTAGAGCTCATGTGCGGCGACAATGAGGGCTGCGCGTTTTGGAAGACTGTCGAGACCATTGAGCTTCTTGAGGATGGCTTCGATCTGAGACATGTGTCTCGAGTGCTGACGAAAGATGGGAGATGGAACAGGCTTGATGGATCTCCTGCCCTTGACCCGCTGCGCTTTAGGCCTAGCCCGGGAGAGATCGAGACGCTGCTCAAGTTGCCGACCCCAGAAGAGTACGAGACGCTGCTTAAGTTCCTGCTGAGACAGTGCCTGGATGTGTATCAGCAAGTCCGAGTTCTTGACATCGGATCATTGATGTGAACGTTGTCGGAGATTGGTACCCGGACAGAACAGAGGAAGAGAGGGATCTATTGCATAAGCTTGCGCTGGGTTTCGTGAAGGTCTTCAAGGAGGACCTTGGCGTCGTTTTGTTGCAGTGCCGGTCTAGTTAAAGGTTTCGTAGAAAAGCCCTGATGACGATGTGTATTATCTACATGGGACGCTGTCCTTAGTCAAATGATGTTGGAATTCGGCGTCTCTATATATGTGTATACCGAGTAATACATGTACATATGACGGCGTCTGAAGAGCGATACTCTGCCGATCTCACGCGCATGGGCATTGAATGATTGGCTGGGTTTCTCAGGATTATGAACAACCACCGAGATGGTGTCGTGAGATAGACACGTTCATTCCCTCAAGGCTGTTATCCAATCTTCATCAAGCCCACATGGAATACGTCGATTCTTATTGGTAGGTCATGTTGAATCACCCATCTACCTATACAATCTGATGTACGCTCTGTTCCGAAAGGCCAAAGCTGTCGAGTATTATTCAACTTCATTAGTCTTCGAGAACTTGCCATCGCCAACTCCTCCCTTAGTAGCACTTCTTCTTCTCCTGGAAAAAATCTTAGATAAGAAGGGCTAGCCCGCCAAGCGAGCCAAAGTCAGCAATAGAGCTCAACCGTTATGATGGGTACCTACGTAGTGTTCAGCAGTCTGGGTACTCACACGGGTGATTAAATACACCGCTCCTATCACCCGCGTGGTACTGTCCCTTGTTATCGAGGATATCTAAAATAGGACTTTGTGTGAGTCATAAGTCACGAACAGCGAAGAGGTTACATCGTCTGAATGAAGCAACCCACTTCTGCTATTTGTCGAGTTAGTGCAGGCAACCTCTACAACTATGTATGTTTTGGAGAAGAATCTGCATCGGCTTCCCTGAGGTATGAGCCAAACTAGATTCCTCAATTGTACTGATTCCTTTCCATAAGACATACCTTACTCAAATTCAATAGAGTGCCAAGAACAGTCAACATACGAACCCCGAATTACATCGTCAAAACCCAATCATCTAATTTATCCCTGAGGAACCAGCCTGCGTTGTCAGATAATATGGCTCCGGAATCGCTGACTTCTCTGCCATACGAGCTGCTGCTCGTCATTGTGGAAAAACTTGTCGAAGACGACGTTTTCCCCAGTTACAAGACCGAGTGCATACATGAGACTTCAGCGGGAGAACTAGATCGATACTGGAGAATCTCACACCACCTCAAGGAAAACTTTTCAGCCGTGAGAGACGAAAGGATATATAAACCGGATAATGGGGCGAGTCTCGCTCGTCTAGCCAAAGCCGGGAATCGACGGCTGTCTGAAGCTTGTTACGAGGCTTTCTATAGGATGCTTATTTCCGGGCGAGGCTTTCTAAAAATTTGGGATGCTCTGGAATGTTTTAACTCAGCATATTAGAAAAAATCGAGCATCTAAAGACGTTCGGGGGCAACAACGTGGGCCTTCGGAGGGTCCTAATTCGGAGAAAGGGGCTATATACAGATGCCACACGCAACAACTTTGTCAAGGCAGTCTCGTTGAAGCTGCAAAATTTGAGGAGCCTCGACATCAAATACATCGGGAGGTACTCGAATGTTTTGGATACCACTGCTGCCCCTATTTTCATCATTGAGGCATTTGGCATTGAGAGAGTTTCTCAGCCCCCTGAAGGCTTTCCTCATCTCCCACAGCTTGTCGAGGCGCACTTTTAGAATTGCATTTCCTTGTACCCGTCCCAGAAAGACATTTTCAAGCATATGCCTTCACTCAAAGTGCTCGTTAACGAATGTTCCTATTTCACGATATTTAGGGGAGCAGAAACCTCCGCTGTAAGCCTTCTTGCTGGCACTCTCGAGACATGTGCCTGGCTCGTCGATCGGGGTGTGTTGCCAGAGTTTAACTATCCTCTAAGGCAGTTTCTGCGCCTGAAGCATCTCAAAGTGGAAATGATCCAAGACCTCTTTGAACAGTATTTCGTCTTTGAGGAGCTACATTCGGGATACGACGGTCTCCCAAATCTTGCGGTGACTGTCGAGACCATCGAGTTTACTGTGGGCATGGAAGCCTCTGACATTGAGGCTGCATTTTAGAAAAAACGGCGTGGAAGAGCTTCCAGATGTAATCACTCAATGGAGGAGAGTCGTCAAAGAGAACGGCGAAAGGTTCGGCTCATTGACATCACCATGCTCACTGTTTGTTGTGGTTGCGCGCCTCTGACGTGGCCGGGGGTTGACAAGTCTGTCTTCCTGGCGGAGTGTCTCCAGCTTATAGAAGATGCCAAAGAGCGATTTAAGCGAGAGCTCGGTATCAAATTGTTGATGTAAGGAGTTTGATGGGCTCTCAATTGGCATGTCATCAACCAGAAGTTGCGTAAAGAAAAAAGAGTGTCATGAAGATAGTGGACGGGCGACGTTCTGTTACAGATCGTCGACTTTAGAAGCAAGTAACAGCCTCGAAACAGAGTGATATAATACAGTAGAGCGAGAAATGAGAAATAATACGAAAATCTTTCAAATATTGTGTGGCACTCCAAAAGCAAGGACTTTGATAAGAGTCACGATCGCTTCCCCTCTCAAGACGCTGCCAACCTCGAAGTTGAAGGTCTATCAGACGCAACTTCTTCATGCAACCATTCGAGAACAACTAGGCTAAACTTAAGGTCAGATATCGGACGTAAGATGCGAAATGCACGCGAGGGACTGCCTTGCCGGCAGACTATCGAATGACGCGTGGAAACAAGAAGCAAGGCTGCTGGAAGACACCGACATGTTTCATGAGAAACGCCAAAGAACGAGTCTAACCAGGACCAAGTGGCCGATCCTGACCTGCTAAAAACTCTAAGCTAGTCATGTAGAGTTGGCCTTGCAGATTTACCCCAACGATTATAAGACGTCGAGAAATCTCAGCGTCGCCTCAGATCGGGGAAATCAAAATCTCCAACCCCCCCGCATCCCAGACCTGATCGTTTGCAACGAAAAAGAAATCGCTGTTGACAATGCATCTGACATATCCCGACCTCGTCCGCCGGCTCTACGACCTTGAACGTCTTGCCGAATCCCCGCTGCCCGGAGAGCGCGGCGGGTGTATGTCGAGCTATGACCGGGCCTCACGCTATGACCCAAAAAAAGACAAGTACATTGACTGGGACGCCAACGACGATGGGCGAGGTATCATCCGCGAAGAAGGCGAGTGGATAGTCGCTTTTGAGCAGCGTGGTCCAGGAGTCATTTGGAGAACCTGGTCCGCTATGCCCGATTTCGGCCGTATCCAGATCTTTGTTGACGACGAGCACGGTGACAAGCCTGTCATTGACATGCCCTTCCGGGACCTGTTCGATCGGTTCCAGGGGATGCCACACAACTTTCCCTCGATAACGCCCACTCTGTCGAGGGGGCGCAACTGCTTCATTCCCATTCCATACAACAAGTATGCCAAGATCCGCCTTGGACCTGGATGGGGGGCATATTACCACTTCACTTATACCTCGTTTCCCAAACACACTACGGTTCCGCACTTCAGTGGCAACTTTGATCGGGAGGCTTGTCTGGCATTGGCCGCAGCTGACCGCGAACTAAGTCAACGTGGCTGGTCTGCACTACCTCGGTCAAAGGGCGATACAATGGAAACATTGACTGTCACCATTCAGCCAGGGAAGAGTCATACCGTGCGGGAGCTGACAGGCAACCGAGCTATTACTGGCATGCGCGTGGTCCCGTTGGACCTGGTCCAGGACCCTCACCACGTCGCTCAAATCCTCCGGGAGCTCGCTATCCAGATCACTTGGGACCATGACAAGTCTCCTAGTGTTTGGGCACCGTTAGGTGATTTCTTTGGTAGCGTTCCTGGCATCCAGACCTACCGTTCTCTGCCTCAGGGCTCAACAGACGGGGGTGGATTCTACAGTCACTGGTTCATGCCGTTCTCCGATCGCGCCGAGATCAAGCTGGTAAATGATGGAAAGAATGAGCAGAAGCTGTTTTTCACCATCTGCCACCGCCCCCTGGAAAAGTCCGCGAAGCATATGCTTCGTTTCCACTCCAAGTGGCACCGAGATGCCTTCCTCGAGAAGCCGAAAAAAGAGGGCCGCGAGATCGACTGGCCCCTGTTAATGTTAGACAATGGCCCCGGAAGATTCTGCGGCGTACAGATGCACGTGTGGAACCATTGGAAAGACCCCAAGGTCCCGTCAAAGGACTGGTGGTACGGCGTCGGCGGCGAGAAGTCGATCGACTGGTGGTGGGGTGAAGGCGATGAGAAGTTCTTTGTCGACGGCGAAAAGTTCCCATCAACCTTTGGCACCGGCTCAGAGGATTATGTCGGCTACGCGTGGGCGGCCGAACCGCCATTTCCGACCTTTGACAGCGCTTACGCCTGCCAACCTTACATTGAGCTGGATGCCAATGGGCATACATCAGTCTGTCGCTTCCACGTGTGCGATGACGTGCCTTTCCACAAAAGCTTCGAGGCATACATTGAGAAGTACAAGCCCAATGACTGGGGCCATGGCAACAAGTGTCTGTATGCTGTGGTCGCTTACTGGTATCAGAAGGCTGGTGGCCATGATGCATACGAGAGAGTGTCAGTGAAGGAGCGCTATCTCCAAGTGAAGGAGCATCCTGAACAATCCGCCGAGGAGGGTGGGGAAGAGTTATGAAATCATACCGGATCTTGTAGTTAAATGTGATATCTCTAAGGTAATTGACGATACGAGCTGTAGGGCAGGGTAGGCACATAAGAGTGGATTACGACGCTCTTCTCTTCCAGTTTCTGTATTATTCTTAGTGTCACACAGACTCTGGAGTTAATATTTTCAGACTTTATTATGCCCACATGTCAGTCGAATGTGAGTGGACCGCTAGGCACAGGGCGTCAAGGGTAACCGGCGTAGACCGAACGGCGAGCAGAAACTCAAATCGGGGGAAATTGAGTGGCCGCCCAGTGGCGGTATCTTACAAGTAACAGATTGAACATGAGCAAATCTTCGCTCTCGTTTCTCACGTTATCAGACCATCCGCGCAAACTTTTTCGTATCATGTCAACCACCCAAAGATATTCTCGACTCCACCAGTACGACACCAGCAAAGCTGCGTTGCAGTGATCTCGCTGTCAACACGGAACTGTTCAGATGACTTACGCGGTATAGGTAAGATGATAGCAGACACCTCACAGATGAGGGGTTTCATCAATCCTCCGTTCCATCCACACCAGGCCACCAAGCTGGGAAACCGACCCTCACTAGCATGGGTTCGCCTGCTTGCGGGGATCAAGTATCAGACAAGCTTTCCGGCGGGAGGGCAAGTGAACGCTTGAGCGACGGCGTAGCCGCGCGGATGGGGCGTTCTGAAGCTTAGCAGCCCCGCAAGAATCGACCAAATCCTACCCGGCAGGGCAAAAGGATGCGCCATACATGGGGGGTCCCTGGTTATCATCACCACGGAGTCACGGACTGACAATTTTAGTCGTAGACAGTTCCGACGGTCCAGCTCATGACAAGTGGCAATGGGGAAGGCCATTTGCGTGTGGGGGAGACGCAATTACGGCTAACAGAGGCCGGTCCAAACGGCTTCTACGGAGTACGGAATGCGAGCGTTTCAGCGGCAAAGTTAATATCATGAGTTGAACCCCAGGAATTCACATTTTCGAAACAGTCAATGTCTATCGGCATCTCTGATGAATTGATGAGAACGCATAGCCCCTCCGACATAGTCCACCTACCCTGGACTAGAAATCGGGTAAGCCTTGGTAAGTCGATAGGCGGACCATGTCGCAGGAAACCTAAGGGCCCGGTGGGTGTAGAATAGCCATTTTGGCGGCCATTGTATAAAGTAGAAGAGAATGCTGTCTCGGCCATCAGCGGATAGTTAACTCCTGTGGGATAAGTTCTGTGAGATGCAACCTTTTGTGGGATGCAACCTTTTGTGGGATGATAATGGGCGACTGGAAACCATGATTTTGACGAAGCCATTTTCCACGTCGGCCAAAGAGGCTCGGTGGCTGTACTTGAGCTGTCTGAGCGGTATTGTGATTTTGGTGGTGTTCTTCAGCCATACTCTATGGCCACACTTCGACATCCACGACTTGTCGGGAGAAAGGACCGGAACGCGTCCTGAGGATTCGTACAGTCAACATGTCGCAAGTAACGAGGAGGAGGAGGAGACGTATTATCTCGATTCCGAAAAGAACGGAACGTCAGAGTCACAGAAGCTGAAGGAATTGAGGTATGCTATTATTCTGCCTACATTTGTAAGTTCTGGTCACTAAGGATGTTGAAATTTGAAAACATGGTTGCTGAAACGATGCAGAGTGGACATATGGCACTTGCAACCGAATTCTTGCAGTCTTACATGTGCCTTTGTACAGACCATTCGGAAATCGACTTCCACGTCGTCTTGTCAGATTCGAAGGAGGTTGCAGTGTTCCAAGATGCTATCAAAAACTTAAAGTCCTGTGGGCCAACCTACAGCATTTTCCCGACGCCAGCGATGAACATCAACGGACCGAAACCGAAAATTAACATCATTAACATGTTCGATATTCTTCCGCCCGTTTTCCACTCCATGACGACTGGCAAAATCACGAGCGATGACACTTCGGCGCTCTTGAACGAACGTGGAAAGTATCAGTACCAGACAATCAAGAAGATGTCGGCAGCGCTGGAATTCGACTATGACTATGCACTGTGGCTGGACTCTGAAGCTATCGCCGTGCAGCCCTTCAGCATGCGTCAAATCTTCGATGCTTATGTCAAGGATCCCACGATTTGGAGGTCGAGAATGACGAGCGGCGACTTTATGCAAGGGCTCATTGGTGCCGCTGCCAATGTCCTAGATCGATCCATGGACTCGTTCGGTCCCACCTACTGGAACTTGGAGAGCGTGGAATGGATTTTCGAAAAGGACATGATCAAAGATTTGGTCCAATACGTGGCAGAAGTTCACAAGCAGGACTTTTGGACGGCATGGGTCACGCATGGCGGACCATTTGAGGTGAACCTCCTCAACATGCACATCCAAGCACGAAAGCTGGAGACTACCGACCCCTTATTCGCCAAGTACCGAATCATCGAGACGGAACGAGAGATGCAGAAGTATGGCATCAGTAAGTCAATCATGTCCACTTTGTTCTGTCCAGCCGCGACTCGCGACTGACTATTTCCAAAGTTGAACCAGCAAAAGCCGTTATAAACGCCTTGAAAAGAACTGGCCTTCTAGAAAGGGGGTACAAGTTGTTTGCGGTCCCGGAAATAATTCCGAACTTTTCGTCCATGCTACGCGAAAACGGACAGAGTCTTTTTAAACTCGACGATCTTGAAGTTGGCCCACCAGAAGCCATTGATCGATTCCTGTTGGAGACTCCGATAAACATCATATGCACGGGAGCTCCGCCGTTACACAGCTGGTGGGAAGAGCGGAAGAAGAGCATTTAGACAGCGAGTTTTGACCAATAATACCCCATGTTGTATCGTTCATTCCAGGCTGCAATATTCATTACACTTGTGAAGTTTACAATAATAAAAACCCGTGATCCCACGAAAGAGACTCGTCCTATTTACATGGACATATTATCGACAACAGCATCGTACCCGATGCAAAAAAAAAAAGAGAGGAAACTGCGTCTGAGACTCCTCATCCCCTAATCTAGCACCTCAAAGTAACGCGGGACACATGGCCAACAGTGCTGTTGCCAGATGCCACGGCGCCTGTCACGTACAACACCTTGCGAGGGTGGTGCAAGTCAAGAGTCACCGAAGAAGCAGCCCCGAGGAGAGGCGAGGACGCAACAACAGTCTTTCCTCCATGTACCAAGTCTACTCCAAGAACCTCCAGAGGGCCGTTCGTTGCAACGTAGGCAGTCTTGCCGTCTCTGGACAGTGCGAAGTCGTCACCAAAGGTGATGTTGGTGGCCAGAGTCTCAACGGGGCCAGTGGCCGTCCCGGTGGTGAGGGAGATGGGGACTCTGCCTAATAGGCCTTGGTCCAAGCTCACGAAATAGAGTTTGTTGCCCCGGATGCGAATTCCGTTGACAGCGACGCCGATGCTCGAACTCGATGATACCGGAGCCATCTCGGGCTCAGAAAGGACCGTCTCGACAGCTTTTGTGTTCACATTAAGTCGAAGAACGGTTCCACGGGCAGAGTCGGACATGAGCAAGTTCTGGGTGTCGTTCTTGGCTAAGCGAGCCATGCCGTTAAGCTGAAGAGCGGATGGGATGAGCGTGACGAGCGAAAGGACTGCTGGTTCGAGCACAGTCCCGTTGTGCGAGGTGCTGAAGTTGCGGAGGTCGACTTTCCACAAGCCGTTCGAGTTTTCAGTCGAGGTCAGGTTTGATCCGAGGACGTAGAAGACATCCTTCTCGCCTATTTCGGTGATTCCGAGGAGACTGTTGACGCCGTCGATAGTAACAACAGGGATGGGCGCATGCTTGGCTTCAGGCGACAGGTCGAAAAGGGTCGGCGAGGCTGTAGACGTGACCAGAAGATTTCCATTTTCCCGAACGGCAATGTTCTCGAGCGACTGTGTCCCAGGGACGGACTGCAATGTTGTGACCTCGCTTGCGTTCCGCCAATCGCAATCGGTAGTAGGAGCCGATGAAGCTGGCGAAAGAAGGAGAGCTGCCAGTCCTAGCAACTGGGTAATAACCAACAGTCGTGACATTGTTGGGTCGTTCGACTATGGTTGAAACGAGAGTAAGATATCGAAACGAGCGACATCGGAAGAAGGAAATTAGAGAGTTCCTGCGGAAGTGCTGCATTTCAAGTCCTCCTGAGCCTGCCGGAGTAGGAGATAGTACTACTAATACCGAAGCTGTCAGCGCAGAAAGAGATAGTTAATTTGCAAAGTGGGTGGCCAAGGCCCACTGTGGAATAGTGACATCAGGCTATCAGCTAGCTGCTTGTTCATTAATCACGTCAAGACGTGAAATCAAGCTCATACCCCCTTGCAGGCATGGCTCGGCCGAGTCGGTTCGGTAACGGCAATGTACGGGTAGATCTAAGATCTGGTCCTCAGTAGGGATGCGGCAGACAGGTTAGATTTCAAAGATACGTGATTGTCAAGGCGGGGCCATCTGTCCATCCTGAGCTGCCATTCGAAGCGTGGACTGAGAGTGTGTGCACAGTCTCTTGAGATAGACGACGGGCCGGACTGATACTGCATAGATGACATTCGTTAGACCACATGGCAGGCCAGGCTGTTGTTGCGTGAAATGTTTGTAATGCCTGTAGCGTGCCGCTTTGCCGATGCTTCAGCAGGTAATATTCCGGCGAAAATGGTCCTCTCTGACTTGGTGTCGTTGAAGCGGCGGGAGGTCAACAGTATTATGCGACGCATGCACTGACTAAGGATCCAGACCGAGTGCGACTTGCACGAAGGCTTGAGAGAGTCAACATCAGCTTGCTTGACAGCCTTAAATCCAGGCTCTCGGAGAAAATATATTATTTCCGTGTAAGTAAAAAGTTGTTCATTGGCTCGAGCACAGTTTTGAAGTGTTTGGCATAGTTTCGTGGCGCCATATTGTGGGACGAAGATCATTGGATCCACGTTCTAGTTGTCAGCCAGTCGCATGTTATCGCCGTAACTCCGTCGCCATCTCGTTTTCGCTGCAATTACGTCACTGGGAATGGACTCACCAACACCATTTAAATGAGCTCTTATTCAAGATCAATTTCCATTTTGAGAGTAGCAGATGCTTCATTTCCACAAGGCCACGTATAGACATTATCAATCATCAACCAAAACCAATCAAGATGGCGAAGACTTTCCAATTTCAGGACATCCAAGTCAACTCGCCAGGCTTTGGCGCCATGGGCCTGAGTTTCGGCTTGGGAAGTAATTTAAGCTTGGAGGAGGCTGAGCCTGTTCTTCTCAAGGCAATTGAGCTCGGCTGCACTTTTTGGGATACAGCAGTAAGTTTACGACTCGCAAATAGCTCCTTAAACATCCCTGCAGATAACCTTTTCATGTTGCTTCGCACTTGCACAACTGAATCCTCTGAGTCTGAGGCGCTAACCTCATTGTGACAAGGTTGTTTACCAAGCTGGTGTCAACGAGAAGCTCCTTGGTGACTTCATCCGAAAGCACAACGTTCGCGACAAGGTGTTCAGTCAGTACTTCCCCAGTATTCTCGCTTGATCGCCTATCACTGACATCCTTCAACCTGCAGTCGCTTCCAAGTGTGGATTCGACGTATTCGGCTCAGGCGGTATAACCAACTCTGCTTCCCACATCAAGGAGTACATCGAGGGCACTATTGAGAGACTTGGTTTCACTCCTGACCTCTACTACCTTCACCGCATTGACCCCAGTAAGCTTTAAGCCAGAAACGAAGACGAGAGAGATTTCTTACTAACACGTAATCAGACACACCTCTCGAGGAGTCCATCGAAGCGCTTGATGAGATTCGCAAGGCTGGCAAGACCAAGTACATTGGTCTCTCTGAGTGCTCAGCTGCTACACTTCGCAAGGCTAGCTCTAGTTAGTCTCACTTTCAGAAATGTACCAATCCTCCACTTACAACGCGCAGTTGCCAAGATTGATGCTCTCCAAGCCGAGTACTCAGCATTCGAGACCATTCACGAGACTGATGGTTTGATTGAAGCCGCCAAGGAGCTTGGAGTTGCATACGTAGCTTACAGCCCCTTGGGCCATGGATGGCTTGTAGACGACTTCCAGTACAAGAGCCCAGACGACTTTGCCCCCAACGATTTCCGTCGTGGAAGTGAGTGAAAATTGGAAAGATGAAATCCTACCGAAGAAGTACTGACAAGATTACGTGAAGGTCCCAAGTTCCAGGGCGAGAACTTTTATAAGAATAAGGCTATCGTTGATGAGATCAAGAAGCTCGCTGTTCGTAAGGGAGTTACGTTGCCTCAAATTGCCCTTGCGTGGGTTGCCGCTCAGGGCATGATTCCTATTCCTGGTACAACCAAGGCCAAGAGACTAGAAGAGAACTGGGTTTCGAGAGACATTATTTTCTCTGATGAGGAGAAGGTAGAGATGCGGAACATCATCGATGCGGCTAAGCCTCACGGAAACAGATACAACCCAACCCAGCAGGCCATGGTTGGACATTAAGCTAAAAGTTATTATGTGATAGACGAAGCTATGAAAATTTCGTTCGTGACTTGAAGTACGCTCAAGATTGCCCTTGGTTATGTGACCTTCAGGATAGCAAGAACCAGTAGACACTACCAACACTAACAACAGAAGAAAAGACGAGCATCAGGCTACTGGACCTAAATGATGTAGAAGCTTCTTTGCCGAGCATGTTTAACCCACTTTTTATCCCACATGCCAATCTCGAAAAATCCAACTCTTTGTACCACCGGACCGGACCTCGAATGCCAGCTGGAACTAAGTCCAGCCATGGACTTATAAGGCGTCTCCAAGAGAACGAGACCAATCTCGACCAAGTTTCCATTATTCAACAGACTGGTGGAGTTTCCAAGTCTCAAGCAGTACAATTTTGTCTCCGGAAGCTGAGCTGGGCTTGTATCCATGATGACGACGCCACCTGCCGACAGATCTGAGTGTCTGAGGAGTTTGAAAGGATTAAGGCTTTGATTGAACATAGAATAACACTTGGGGACTCCAGCTACGGCAACCGAATCTTTGATGAGATGTCTCTCGGATATCACAATCTCAACAGCGTAGTTTGTGAGGCCTATAACGCCCCATTCGAGCTCTCCAAACTCGAAGTTATTCTTGAGCGAGGTTCGACCAAAGAATGCGTCAAGAGGCGTATCCGGAATTGAGACGTCAAAATCCCGACTGTGCGGATTAAGATATTCCATAACACCCATTCCTATCACAGTAGGCCTCTGGGAAGAACCCCTGACATAAGGGTATCGTACACCACCATCAACTGATATCCATGACCAGGATGGAAGCCACAAAGATAGGGGCTCAGACTGTGTTTCTGGAATGGCATTGAATGTTGCGGAGTTCTTGAGGGGCGGGGGCCAGACTTTGTCTTTTGCTGGCCTCTGTGTACCAGTGTCGAAGGACGGTTTCCATGAAAGTCCTCTCTCAAGATCACAGAACCAAATTCCAGCCACATAGCTACTAAGAAATAGGTCGGATCTGCGTATGCTTCGCTCAAAGTGCACTGCCACACCGGCGATCGCGGGAAATCGATCTTCTGGTTTACTGAGAGATTTGCCAGAATAGGCTTCGACGACGCGCAGCCACTCATCTAACCACGGTTGAATTCGCTCAAGGCTATTAAATTGCATTGTTCTGTCGGTTTCCCGAGCCCAGGTAGCGCGAAAAGGCTGCGTCATGAACGAGGGTTCCGAGACAGTGAACCAGTTGTTGAGCTCAGGGTATGCTTCGGATGCGATAGAAGTTCGGCATTCCCAGAGTACTTGACTCTTGGTGAAGTAGATGATTCTTTTCGACAGCTGCCTTTCTTGGAAACACCAACCGCGGGAAAACAAAGGGCCGCTGGTATGCCCAATCTGACACGTAGGGCTGGAAGGTGACTGAAAAGTTGGTCTTCACGTCGTCGTAAGTCTTTGTGTAAGGCCGTAGGTGCATATCTGGGTTCAGGCCCCGAGGTAGGAAGCATCCGCCATTTCCATCTTTTGAGTCCGATGCAACTAGAGTGCACATGGCCATGGAGTAGATGATCTCCATCAGTGGCAACTCGCGGTCCGTGTCGGCCTTGTCGTCCTGGACGATGCACAAAGAATCGATCCAGAGCCACCCAATATTGAGCTCCCTTGCAATTTTGACAGCATGCTGGAATGTTGGAGATAACTCATCATAACTAAGACCAACAGACATGGTCTGCGCAAGATTTGCCTTTGTCGTTTGGGGTACACTTTTGGGATCTCCCCAACAGTGGCTTAACGCGGTGTAAGATGGCCCAAAACCGCCTTCGTCTCGCTTCAGATCGGCCGAGTTCACTAGGACAACATTTTCGCCTTGCTCGCCAATGTGCAACAGTCTTGTAGGCGAAGAGAATCCTTTGTCCAGAACAAGTCCTCCCACATAACCGCATCGCTGGCTGTGCTTTGCCTGGCATGTATCCAGCCAAGAGTTCAGGAGCCGAAAGACCTGGGGAGAATCCGTCTGTGCCGCCAAGGGGGAAGCTGACGTTGTGACGACGGGTGTGTAGTCTCGATGTCGCTTTTCAGCCGGTTCAAAGTTTTTCGTACAGCTATATAAATCCCAATCCGTCACGTACTTGCTCGGTTTCTTGAATTTAGCATCAGAGTTGATGTTGAAGCGAAGTTGGGTGACGCAGTTACCCCAGGAAAGCGTCAAAAATGGACCAAGCCTTTTCTCCGGAGAACTCTCACGGGTGGGGGTAGTAATGTGCTTCTCGTCAGGCCTGAGCAAGGAGTAATCCGCTGCCCTGATCGGCGAATGCCCGGGCCATGAGCTAGTCCATGTGGTCTTGAGTACAATTCCATTCTTGTCAATTGCAATTCCGGAGTCACCTTTCTGCCCGGCTTCAAGGGCATCGAATATCAAGGTACAGAAATGGCATCCCTGTCGAATTGAGAGCCGGATTCGCTCAACGGCCCTGTCACAATTGTAGAACGAGTGAGAAATTGTCGAGCCCGGTTCGAACAGCTCTCTTGGCAGTCTCAGGCATTCGATGCATGATCCCTTGTGAGGGGATTCTTCGACTCGAGCCATGGATGATAAGCTTGGCCCAGCCATGCGACTAGGCTTCCGCATGTGTCATCGTGATTGACTATGTCATGAAGATGCGAGTAATGAAGTGGAAGTGACTGCAGTCTGAAGTCAGTGAGAAAAATGGCCCCATCTTAATGTAATTAGGATAGGTCACCAAATGGTTCGCCACGTGCATTGCCTGCTGTAGCCTACGGCATGCAGCAGTCTTGCCTGGCCAGTTGTCTTTGGGGAACGACCTGAGTTCCAACTGGTCAGTGATTTCCGGAATGGCTGCACAGAAAGTTCAGCTCCTGCAAGCCATAATTAACCACGGTAAGGTCAGCTGATGACCCTTGTCCGCACAGAGACATGATAATTCGTGAATCAGGCGATTATGTAGGTAGCCCAGACAAGGAATACCTAGGTAGTCCGGGGAGCAATACAATGACCATCAGCTAATCAAACGGCGAAATTTGCGATGCTTGAAAACAGAAGGCACCTCCAAAGTGCAAAGAATATTGTGCTCTCGGCGTCTTTGAGGCTATTTGTACCCGACAGCCTGATAGAAGGCTTATGAGGATGTTGAATGCTTGGAGCTAAGAAGTGCAGTTACTTAAACCTTCATACGCACAAGGATGTTCACAGCCTACTCCGCAGCTTCATCCGAAGGGAAGACCTTTCTGAACGCCGTAAATGGTCCGAACAGACTGTCCGTGACACTGTTTTTGACTATTAGATCAGAGCAAGAATAAGATGGGAGTTCAGTATTCAGCTATGTTCGATGATGGGACGGGCAGTCCCATTCGTCTTAGGATGGCATAAAGGAGTTTTCCCATCTAGCGCCTAAAAGTACATGTAATCATTACATTGTAAACTGCTACGTAGTACTAAGCAGAATTACTGCAGACTGCAGCGGCGAGTGAATCAGACCTCCTAGTCTCAACTGCATTCGCACTTCTCACTTTCAATTTGTTATATAAACGTATGGACTCTTGAAATGAGCGCAGCAGCCGAGGCAGTGCCCAAGTAGAAAAGAAGCCGTGTTTCAGTACCCTCCAGTGCTAGCGCTGACGGTCTCACTTGAAATATCCACTGCGCCGATCAACTGCTGCAAGGCGTTAATTAGGTACAGGGCCATGCGCGCACTGAAGCGTAGGCAGTAATGCGACATCCGTTCACGTTGTCCTTTTTCATTCGAGCATTGAGCGGTAGTCGCGACATGTGGAATGGTGCTCGAGGTTTTCGATAGATCTGAGCAGTTTTGGAAAAGGGCACCGAGTGAGCGTGACAGAGTGGAGATGACTGGAACACTTGGTACTTGAACGATAATTGATGGTAACTTTTATATTACGCTGTATACATGTAAGGTAGCCGACCGTATATTTAAGCACACTGGGGTATCACGCGCCATCCACCATCGTCATTAAAATTACTCTCTCAAGCTTTCTCGCCCTTAATCACCTTGTTGCGACCAATTCCAATCATCTGGAGCATCTCCCTCCAGAAGGTGGTAGGGGGCTCGTGCACCATCGCGTGCTGCTCGTAGGCCTCGATGATGGGACGGTCCCACGTCAAGTCCACCTCGTGGGGCTTGAGCCAGTGGGTGCGCTTGAGGACCTTCCAGAAGATGAACAGGAGAGGCGCCACAAGCTGCATCGTGTAGTTGGAGAAGAAGCCTCCGACGTCGAATTCGGGGCGAAATGCGGACCATCCGTAGACGAGAATGACAATGGTCTGGAGGACGAGGGCAACGTAGGCACCGTAAGGCTGGAGGTACCCGCAGTACGGCAGCGTCTTGCGGTCGAGGCCTTGGGCCTTGCACGCGTGGTAAAAGTTGATGTATGTGATAGACATGACGAGGTAGTTGATGACACCGCCGCCCGTAATGAGGGCCAACAGCCAGTTCAGCACCTTTGCGGAGCCACTTCCGCACTGCAGGAAGGAGAGCAATGGGAAGATCATGGTGACGGCGAAGCAGTATACGGGGACACCGTTCTTGGTGGTCTTGCGGAGCAGGGCCGGGGCGCGACCATCGAGCGCCAAGCTGTACAGGGACCGGGTCGCGCAGTAGACGTATGTGTTACCGGCGGAGAAGATGGTAGTGAAGAGCAGAGCATTGACCAAGTGGGGGAGACCCTGGATCTTGAGGTTCTCCATGGCCATGACCCACGGGGACGCGGCCGCGGTGCCTCCGCTGCCGGTTCCGGTGATGTAGATGTCGACGAGAGTCTTGTTGTCGTAGGGGATCACAATGCCGCAAGTCAAGGCAGCGCCCACGAAGAAGAGGCCGAAACGCAAGTAGACGGTCTTGAAGGCGCCCTTGATGTACAGGCTCGGGTGCTTCGCCTCGGCGGCAATCATGGAGATGTATTCCGGGCCGACAATGGTGAACGTGGCAGTGGCTAGTGCACCCATGAAGCCTTCCATGCGACCAGTATTACCCTGCGTCATGTATTCTGCGAATGCGCCGGGCTCTTTCCAGTATCGGAATCCGTAAGCGTCATGGGCGGGGTTTCCTCCGACCATCGTGATGAAGGTGAAGAGGAAGAGGATGAAAATGAGCAGGACCTTGCCACCTGAGAGCCAGAATTCTGCTTCACCAAAGATGCCGACGGCAACAACATTCAGAAGACTAGAATCACACATTGACGTTTAGCATGCATACACAACGAGCACCACCGAGGCAAGAGGAGAGATAAGTGAAAAGGAAATGAGAGGGGTCACGGGCGGGCACACGACGAGCTCTAGCATGTCCGGTCGGTCTAGTCGCTTGTCCCTGGAATGGAAGGAAAAAGAGTCAATCGTTCCCACGAATTGGTTGTGACTTACCCGTATGCGATAATGATGGCGATACAGAAACCCGCTGTCGGACCGGGCTCCGTGATCTTTTCGTTCCAGAAAGAGCACACGAGATTAAGCGCGGTGATTTCGAAGGGGATAAGCAGTGCCTCGTAGATGAAGTAGTTCCAGCCGACCATGAAGCCGAGAGCATCGTCAACCCAAACACCAGCCAGGCGGATAAAGCCACCAGAGACGGGCATGTAGGTGCTCATCTCGGCAATTGAGTTATTGACGAGGGCGACGACGCAGGCGTAGAGAGTATAAGCGATGAGCAGACTTCCGGGACCGCCCTTGGCGAGGCCGCCGCCGATGGTGACGAACAGACCGGTACCGATTGTGCCTCCGATGGCAATCAGTTGAATCTGACGGTTGTTCAGGCGGCGCTGGAGACCATCAGAGTTGTGCCGCACAGACGAGCCATAGCTGTCGAGAGAGACCCTGTCGCCGGGGACAGTCTCAACCGGGCCCTTGAGTTGCTCGGAACCCGACATGGTGAAAGAGTGAGCTAGTTCAAGCGCAACGGCTTTACTTTGACTCTTCCCCGTGGAGGTGTAGTGTTGATAGACGGAGGGAGGAGACCACTGAGTGCATGTGGAGGGACGAAGAAACGGTTTGCAAGCCAAGTGGAAACCGTGGGCACAAAGAGAGACGTGCGGAGAGAAGAGAGGAGAAGGAAGAGGGAGCACGAGACGTTTCGAACGGAGGCACGCGTGGACAATCTGGATGGGGGAGAGTTTAGTTTTAAAGGTGGCAGCAGGCAGATCGATCAGCGTCTCGTCTGGTCTGGTCAATCGACCGGGGAAAAACTTTTGCGACCTGGGCGAACTTCTCTTTTCCCAAGGCAACGCGCCACATGCCACACAGTGTACCGGAGAGTGAGAAGAAGAATGCGCCGCGCCGGGCTACACACACCCAATGCAAAGCTTTTTTTTTTTCTCTTTTTCGCTTGGGATTCTGCAGCTGAACAACCCACAGCCGGCGTCGAGCCAAACCAACCCGCGGGCTCTCGGCGTAGATTGCATCAGAAATCCAGGGACAACGACCAAACGTATCCATACAGAGGGCCAGGAACGTTGCAAGTTTGTGTGGAGTTTGACTGGGTTCGTCCCTGATTCCGTACGCAGGCGTTGTGTTGCGCCCCCCATGCCCATACCACTCATGGATTGTGTCGACCCCATCCCAATCCTTCGGCGCGGCGCTGGGCTAAGGCAGAATATTTCCGCAATGTCGTCATTCCCTGTCTTAGCGTCCGCTTCTGCATGCATCTTTCCATTGGACGGGGGCTTGGGGGGAGAGAGAGTGGAGGGTAACGGACAAGTACGAAGTATGGGTGCGGCTAGGTATTCGCGTCGCTCCGTGCCAACATGGGAATTGTCGCCGTGTCGCCGTCTTCCGCACCGATATTTTGTCTGGGATTGTATCAGTTTGCCTTGACTAAGACATATAACTACTACCCTAGCGGCGGCTTATCGATATCAGAGTGACATAGATATCGGAACACAGCGTTCGCCTCGCAGGATTGAGGTTGGGGGAGGCGCAATCTCCAGCTTTATCTGCAGGGACACATTGCCATCTCAGGCAATTCTATGCGGGGTTATCAGATACGTATCCCCCATAGCACGGATTCATCCAGGATTTCATAATCCTCGCTCATCCCAATCTCACTTGTCAGCGCTGTCCGAAGGGCCACAAGGGTTCACTGTGCTGAGGGGAAAAGAATGGGAACCAGTTGGAGTAGTCCGTGCCTTTGTGGGTGAGGCGAGTTTGGCGAGGACCACTTGGTGTGTGTGTCGGACACTGAACCGTGATTGTCGGGAGGCAGCCAATGAGCATCAGACGGACTCATCCAAAGGTCATCTTGTCGCTGCTGGGCTGTACCGGTATTTATCAGTACGGTGGCCAATCTCCCTTTGTTCTTGTTTCTCGGTGAGATGCCGGTGCACAAGAATGCCTGACTCCTACAATCCCACTCGCCACAGTCACCAGTCACCAGTCACCAGTGGGATGAGACGTTTCCCTCAGGAACAAGGCACCAAGACAGAATGGCGCGAGGCTGGGGGCGAATCCTAGGAGTATCCCGTGACACCATGTCGCAGTTAGTCGCAGTAGTTTTTTGCCCAGCTCATCTCGGCCAATGTACCAGCGTGGAAAACAAATAACGAAAATTTGTCTTTATGTCATCTAAAAACGCAACAAGTAGCCAATCACTATGCGTCGCACTTTCGCAGTTTCGCACGATGGTGCAAGATGCTAAGAAACCAGCCAACGAGCGTGTCTCAAAATATTCAACCATTATCCACTTTATATGCAGCCGCCAGTCAATGCCTAACCAAGGGATGTGGACACTTTCGTTCTTCCAACGGGGGGAAATGAGGCGACCCCACAGGCCGAGTCGGTGGGCGACAAGTTAGCGGAGGAAGGGGCACTTCGTCAAAGAGCCTACCGCAAGCGGTGTGTTCCCGGTGAGAGGGTGAGAAAGTGTCACTCGCGATGATTGATGACTCGTCGTTGAAAGAAGCTCATCATTCAGGGTCGACGTCGAAGGGGTCGATCATCAAGCGCGCTGATAAGGACTTGTGGTGTTTGAGCCGCAATGTCTGGCTGATAGGATAGGGCAGGTGGTGCTGGGCGTACGCGTGCACGGCGCTGAGCGCTCTCTCATTGAGTTTTGTACTCCGTAGGGATCCCAAGAAACAGACCCAGGCAAAAGCCGCAAAGCACCATGGGCCATGGCACCCCAAGCAAACGACGGCGGGCGCAAGGGTGAAGAACTATGAGAGACGGGCTCCCATTTGCCAAGGTCTCGTCTTACCTTGAGGAGGAGTGGAGAATGGCACGACGCGCAGGACGCCGAGTCCTACGGCGTGGAGGCTACCGACGGCTTGATTGGAACGGAACCGTAGAGTGGATCAGGGTGGATCACTCCCAATACCGTACGGCCCCACCCATGCGGGACCGAAAAGACTCCACTTTGCCGTTCCTCGAATGCCTGCCGCTTGACCCGTTTCTGTGTGTCTTGGCGCGTTACTGGTCCTTTTGCAGCTTCCTCAATCCGCAGCAAGGCTTTTTCTCTCGCTCGATGACGTAGGATACGCGCTGCAGGCGACGAATAATTGTGCGCGGACTCGGGCCGTCGAAGAAAAGATCCATGCATGAGGCGCCTGTCTTGCCTGTGTCAGACGACTTATTCCCGTAAAGAGACTCGACTCATTCTCAAAGGAGCGACATTGTTCAGTAGCGAGGAGTCTGCCGGCCGGCTGGCTTCGGCTACAGATTCTGATTGCGCCGAAGCAATTGGATAAATTGTCCAATTATCTAATGCCAACCTGGCTGTCGGATTGTCCTCGCCACGATTGATTCAAGGTTTCGCAGAGTTTTCGCCTCTAGCTCCTCAAATCAGGCGATGTATTCGCCATGGCTAGCACTGTGCGAGAGAAACTCTCGGGGTAATTAAAGGATTGAGTTTTTTCTGTTTGTTGTACTCGGCGTCCAATGGTTGTATTCGCATCCTTCACCCATCATCCATGTCGCACCAGTGAACCTGTTCCAAGCACGAGTTTCTGATTAAATGTCGCAACTGCCTCTTACCCTTGGTAACAATCTCTTCGGAGGATCTCCCGGCTGGCTATGCACGTGTTAGTCGCAAAGAGGCCTGACCACCAGACCGCACCTTGACTTACTCAATTGCATCTTCGACTGTCCGATGATTTACTGTTTTTTGCATTTTTTTCACCATAGGCAAGCCTTGAGTGCCAAGTCGGGTGTTGGTTACAAGCGAATGGTCTAATTCCAAGTCCTCATTGTAGACAGACATTGTGAAATAATTATGCCTTGGCTCGCTTCACTCCTCATGAACTTTTAGGTCCCATCCTTACCCAAGCTAAGTCAATTGACAACACCGACCCTCTAGAAAGAGTTTGAGATCTACGATTTTCTTTCACGGGTTAAGCCAAAAGAGCACATGAGGCCTGTCAACAATAACCGAAGATTGAATTAGGTCGGAAAGTTCCGAAGAATCATCGAAGAGGGAGAGCGTTTTACGCCTAGGGTGTAGATAGCAGCTGCAGGAACATGCCGAAGGTTGCTATCTGGGCAGAGTATGATCTGCGACTGTGATTTCCTTTCCAAGTTGCCGCAAATGTCAAATACCCTTGCCTGGCTTCGCATCCGACAGTTGCGGGACCAGTGGAAGTCCACAAAGCTTCTTCCTGAGCCTACCAGTACCTTATCGAGTTGACAGGAACGGCATGAACGGGTATGCAAGCAGGGACTTTGAGCTGCAACCTTCCCGTAATAGCACAGAGTCAACCTTATCTACCGCAGAGCCTACGTGAGGCTGAGCCTGATTCTTGGGCAACCTTTCGTTGCGCTTCGGGCTAGATGCCCACATCGTCCTCGGTCCTGCAGGCTCCCGTGCTTGTACTGAGTAAGCAGCTGCAACTAAGCTACAGCTTGGAGACTTGCACCTCCGCGTGCTTTACTGAGTTGCCTCAAGGCTAGACAACTGGACTAGTCAGGGATCAGGTTGAGAGTGACTCTTGCTCATTCATTTGAGCCAGACCTCCATATATCGTAGTTTAGAGCTCGACTCCTCCAAGCGATCATATACACGTATCCCAATTGTTGGCTGCACTTATTTGTCATTCTCGAACATTTGATTAGTTGCAAGTCGGACGGTATTTTGAAATTGTTGATTAAAAATGTTCAAGGCGAGGAATTGTTGGCCAGACGCCAAATGCGAGAACAGAGAATCAGGTTCAGTCATAACCTGGGACCTCGAGTGATTGATGGGTGACTGAAAAGGACGCAATCTGTGTGTCTTCACATTTCGCGAACATGACTGCAATTGTTCTTTTGTGTCGCAAGGAATGTAGTTGACTTTAAGGCTGCCTGCATGAACAAACTTGCAGCTTACCATACAACTCGGGCAAAAACTAGGCGCAGCTGACCTCAACGTTGAGGCATTTCCGATATTATGCCGCACTTTGAGGTTCGGGCGATTTGCTGACAGAGCACACGACCCAATCAAATTCTGATACGTCTGCCGTATTCCCGTGCGACGTAGCGTTTGTACCTTTCCTCTTTCGCCCGCTTACTTAGGCAGCTGGCGGAAAGAACTGATTGATTGGCTATTTGCACGTGCAGCAAGCACGTCTGTTCAACGCTTGTTGTCTGAGCCTGTCACGGCTCACTCGATGTTGCACATGACCTCATTGCTCAAAACCATGCTACCACGCTCGACCGCTGGGCTTTCGTTTCACTGCAATCTACTCAACCAGTATCATGTCCAAGGCACTATTCCTGCTACAATAATTTGGTTTGTGCACATGAACCTCAACGTCGTTGCTCAACCAGCTCAGATAGTCATCATTGGCCGTAAATCCAGGGAACAGGAGATTGAAAGACAAGATGGCAGAACCCTCCACCAACCCCGATCTCCCGCCAGACTATACGGCGGATGCTAGTACTGTCCCAGAGAACTTGCCACCAGACACACTCCGCCTGGCTGGCCGGTTCGTTCATTCCGCCAACACCCGGAATGCGGATGCGCCGGGAATCTTTGAGATCAACCACCAGATAGACTTCTTACGAGAAACTGATAGACTTGTGGAGTTCAGTCGCATCGACTGCAGCATCAAGAAACGGCTCAACGAGTCGAGTCTTCCGCCGGAGGTTGTTACCAACTCACGGCATATCTTCAACTTGGAGCGCCCACCAGCTATTCTCCAGGAAACTTTCCCGTACTACATCAAGCCAACATCTCGCAGCGGCCTCGGCAGGATAGGGCTAAAATTTGTGAAAATCGGCAAAAGCGAATGCAAGGCCTGGCTGGTGGGCCGGCGGAAGGCGAGTGATAGAACCGAGTATTACGAGGCGCGAGAGCTACTGTTTGACGTTCGCCGCAACAACGAAGTTTTCGACTGGCTGGACGGTAATGGATCAAGATTAGCAGTTGAGGAATCCAGGAGCGGCATGTACAGCCTCAACATCCTAGTGTCCCTTGACCGGGCGATGCGAGATGCGCTGGCGGCCGTGTGGTGTGTCCGGCTTTGGTATTTGCGAGCGGTACTGTTCCATAAGAAACGTACATGGAAAGACAGTAAGCATCTCTCCCTTGCGGCGATTTGAATGGCGGCATTGCTTACCAGATCATCAACCAGGGAAATATATCATGCAAACCTGCACATGGGACCTGCCAAAATGAGATTTGGGGCCAGGAGTCGAACTCAGGACGCGACTCTTTAACTTTGTAACTTACAACTTACATAGATCCAAAGCCAAGACCTTGTGATACCCCATATTTGCCAGGTAGAAGCTCTTCCCACACTGCATGTCGTTGCTACTCCATATTGGATCGGATCCGAAGCTCTTGATAGCGGAGACAGACCCGCTTTTCGAGCCGGGGCTGCCGACGCCGATGCCGGGGCCACACCTTCCAGGTCCCACGTCACCGGAGTTCTTCCGGCAAAATTTGCATCGGGAAGGCGCTTGGGAAAAGCGCGCCTACCTTACCTTACCTTACCTTACGTTGTGGTCTGACATCATCGGCGCCATTCTAGAAACTGCATTCAACCCCATTCACGCAACGTTAACATTCACAAATACCTATCACCACTACCAATCATCTTTACGTTTGCAAACATCAAACCTGCAGAAACATCCGCATCCGCGTTTCCAATCACATCTGCGTCCACATCAATCGTCTGACTCATCATCTACTCACCGAACCCACCCTGCACGATCACTGATCAGCGCTGTCAAATTTCCCCACCTATTGTCGAGGCTCCTCTCAACACCACCCACCTCATCTCATTGCTCTCCACGGCAGAGTCCAGCACCCCGCGACGAACATGGACGGCCCGTACGCCCGAGAGTTGGCAACTGCCATCGCAGCCATTCAGCACGGCGCCAAACTCAGCCGGCGCGTCCTCGTCAAAGATGACAAGGGCGTCGTCACAAAAGAGGACCTCAGCCCGGTCACCGTCGCCGACTTCGCCATCCAGGCCTTACTGACGAGCACACTGCATGCCGCCTTTCCTGACGATAAGTTCGTGGGCGAGGAGTCTGCTGCCGACCTCCGCGAAAACCCCACACTCCTCGAGTCTGTATGGGCGCTGCTGCAGCAGGTCGAGAACGACAAGACCGCCGACTCGTTATGCAAGCTGCCGACGTCACCAGAGGAGATGTGCGACATGATTGACTGGTGTGGCCTTAGCGACCCTTCACCGACTGGTCGCTTCTGGGTATTTGACCCTATTGACGGAACGAAAACGTTTGTGCGGGGCGAGCTCTATGCCATCAATGTCTGCCTAATGGAGGAAGGGAAGCAGAGCGTCGGCATCGTCGGTCTTCCTCTACTCTCGGCCGACGCGAAAGCGCCCATCAACAACGACTCCATCGACCCCACCGGTACCGGCAGCATCATGTTCGCAGTCAGAGGGCACGGAACTTTCGTCCGGCCGCTTCCAGGCCCGATCGATCTCGAGCCCACAAAGATCCCCCGCCACGCCGATGTAGATACGCAATCCCTGGTGTCTGTGACATGCATCGAAGGCTCCGAGTCTGGGGCTCCGGGTATCCACCAAAAAGTCGCTGAACGTCTCGGCGTAGCGTACCCGGGCAATGACTTGCTTGGTTGGGTGCTGCGGTGGACAACTTTGGGTCTGGGCCAGGCGAATTGCACGTTCTGGGTCTATAGGCGGCGCGATCGGCTCGCAAAGATCTGGGACCACGCGGGCGCCATGCTGCTCTTTGAGGAGGTTGGCGGGAAAGTCACAGACGTTGACGGCAACCCGGTAAATCTCGTAGCGGGACGGAAAATGAAGGCAAACTACGGTTTCATCGCGGCACCGCCGTCAGTTCACGCAAAGGTCCTGGAGGCTGTAAGGGAAACGCTGAAGGAGGAAGGTCTGCATGAGCTCTTGGGTTAGAACTTAGGGCGAAGGTCCCCCGTCGGCGTTTTCGGAAATTTAAGGACAACTGATACCTGCATTCTCAACGCCCGCTTGATTTCTAGTTTTGCTACGCCCAGACATCGGGGAGACGAAATCTGTCTCCGAATGCGGAAACAAATTCCTAAGCGGTGCTGTTTCCACCTACCTCACTGCGCGTTACGCAGAGGCAAGAGTCATGCAACTTCAAGTGGTAAGGTAAGGTTTCCACCTAATGCATCAAGCTTCACATGGTCACGACTCGGCAACCTCTCAGCTTAGTCGACTATCTCATCGAGTACTCCGTGCTTCTATCCCACCGGGCCAGATTTGGTAAGGTCTTGCTGTTGTATTAAACCTATAAAGCAGACCACAACTCCAGATAACGCAGCTTCTGTCTCCTTTTGAACCACCAAATTTGCTAATCACACTCTTTTGATCATTCGCTTCTTCCACTCTTTCAATACTATTCATTCATTATCTCAATCACCATGCGTGTCCTCGCTACTCTTCCTCTTCTGGCCATGGCTGCCCTTCAAGTCGCTGCTGGCGACTTCTCCAAGACCTGCTCCGGCACGTCCTACTTCTCCACCACCGTCACTTCAAACTGCCAGGACAAATACCAGGAAGACTCTTACTCGACCGACTTGGATATGACCAAGTGCTTGGCCAATGTCGGAGGCAAGATTGTCGTAAGTTATCCCGAAAAGCTCAAGCTCTTTCGAGTCGCTGCACCATTGAATTCAAACTGACGTGGTTTCTCGCAGTGCCGTCCTTCCAGGTAAGGAACAAGTCGTGAAGTGAATCGAATAACGATAGGTACTGATGTATCGCGAAAGCCCTTCGTTCAAGTTCTGCGACTGCGGTCTTGCGGGCGACAAGAAGGTCCTGAACTGCCGCTGCACTGACTCCACTGGCACGAAGAGACCCTCCTCCCTGAACCTTGGTAAGATGATCATAGATTATTTATCCATGGCCATAGCAGGCACTGACTTATCGTGCTAGACACGTGCTTGAGCAACATTAATGGAGACCTCAAGTGCTAAGGGCTCTCACATTTGACGGGCTTAGTTCAGAACTGGGATTATCAAACTAAAGCATAGCGAGCGCACCTTAAAGTTGCTATTCAATGGAATCTTCCGTGCATTTTGATTCCACATACGGGTAGACTCAATGTGTGAAAAAGGGTAGAACGAATCTCGGGGAACAAAGTCAGGGAATCTATTTGTATCATTGGTGCTCAAAATAATAGAGAGCATGGCTCCATGCTCACAATCTCAAAGTTCGAAACGCCAAGGCATACTACCAGCGCTTCACAAACTGCTTTCTTGACAACGACTCGCGTTATCAGATTGCATCTCACCTTTCTCAACACAACTAATCTCTGACGAGTCACCTGGCCGCGCGCCCACCGCATCGCCAGACCGACCGCCCGCAATTCGAGAAAGTAGCCTGACTCGCACTACGAGATACGGTGATTTAGGACACCACCCACGCCTAATCTTATTTCGCAGCGATGACGCCGGGGCCGCCGGTGCCGTAGTCTGGAACAATCAATCAATTATCCTTTTTCTGCCTCATCAGGAAAGCACAGATTTCCTCTCGCCGCAGCGCTCTGCAATAGGGAATTACTGGGTCAAACATGAGACGAGGCGCGCCAAAGCATCGGGTTCAGTCCGAACTCTATCGAATTAGTTCGTCTCATCGCAATCTTTCCAGATGGTGTTCGGGGAAAACGCTGTTAGTTTGACGCCGAGGTGCTGGGACGGCTTCTCATCATGACGTGCCCTACCGACCTTATATAGATGGGGATTAAAGACCGACGGGATTCACACGTCAGTCTAGCCATCATCGCCGGTCACTCATTCGCTCGCTCGCTCAATAGCCACTCAAGTCTCTAACTTCGATTCACTCTTTCAAAACTCTATTTCCTCCAACATGAAGTTTTCGCTCGTTCCCGTGGCCATTGCCCTCTTCTCCACCGCCTACGCTGCTCCCAGTGCGCCTGTCGCTGAGAACGCTGAGCTGGTCGCTCGCGGCAACTGCCCCGCCGCGCAGGACTGCCAGTGCACGGCGTAAGAACCTTGACGTTCCACCAGTATGAGTCCTTTGACTGACTGTGGCATCTGGGATATAGCAAGTTTGACAAGTACGCCAACCCCATCGAGTATGGCTCTACCGTCTCGGCCCGCATCTCCGGCGCGGACCGCGGCCTAACGACCTCTGACTGGCGCGGCGCCAACGGCTACGGCAGCGCTTCCCTGTGCAGAGTTACCGTCAACCGCGTGTGCGGCGACTGCAAGGCCTGGAAGACGACGACGGATAAGTGTGGATACTACAGCTTGACCACCTTTAACTGCGTCAACGCATAAGCGGCGGAAGCTCTTATTTGGGTCAATTGCGTTCTTGATGTGTAGCATTAGCATTGTATTATCAAGCGGTTTTCATTGATCAATCACGTCTGATCCAAGGTGCTGAGGTGGATGAGCAACGCTTGTGAAGCACATGATGCATTGCCTACTTAACTACATGACACTGATATCTGAGTGTCGGAATGAGATCCTCTCTTTCTAGGTTTTTGGATGGTGTTCTTTGGACTTGCGATTGTGAGCTAATAGAATGCCAAAGAAGTCATTCTCTATGGGACGATTTGCCTCGCTTCTTATTGGAAAATTGAATCTTCCACCGAGAACGATGGTGCAATCGGCAGAGGGGAGAACGATGACGATCGGGTTGTCATTGGTAGCAGTCTATGCCTTGGCGCTGACATCTCTCGGCTATCCTGCTACCTCATTAGTGCTCTCGCAGCAGCAGCCGCGATGGAAATTGACCTGTCAGATAGTTCTCCGCCTGCTATGCTACCATTGACGTCGCATGCGACCTGTTCGCTGAGTGAATGGATAAAAGTATGGAGGCTAGGTTGACCGTCTCGAACGGATGGAACATTAAGGCATGCGCAGGGATGAGTTGATAGGGCCGCTAGTTGGGCAACAGTACGAATGCCACAGATCAGGACTAGTGCTCCCGCAGGCTCCTTGGGTAGCTTCCTGTGTTCTGTACACAATCTCTGGACATAAATGCATGCGTTAAGAAGGGCTCATCCTCCATTGATATTTGGAAGGTGTAATGATTTGGCACAATCTTTTTGCTAAGTTGTTCGCCTTGCCTATCGACATAATACCACAATGGCGCCTTCTCTTATAGATTCATATGGCTACAAGTTCCGCCAGACGGAGCTTCACATGTCAGCCGAGCAACTTGACCCGCTGAAGCACAAATTCGATGAAGTGGGGTCAGATGCTCTCACAGCTCTGGATGGCATGTTCCCTCCCCCGCCGCCTCGGGCTGGGTGGCACGCCAAGGGAAAGCAGGAACGTCCCCAGCCTGACCGCGATACTTACGCCCTGCTTCGTGACCACCGCGAGAAGGATGCGAGGCTCCTGAAGCTTTGGGACGAAGTCAACGCCGTGCCTGAGTGGGTAAACTGGGACCAGATCAAGCGGGGGCAGGACGTCTTCTACCGCTATGCGCCCGCTGCAGTCACTGGATTTGCGTTTCAAGGATTGCTCGCTACGACTGTAAGTGCGCCTTGAGAACAAGAAGACTTGGGAGCCAGAGATTCACGACGAAGATACTGATGCACTTTACAGGGAGCCTCCTACCGACCGGCGGAGACCTTGGTTCGCACTGGTGGCCATTCCGCCAAAGTTGCCAAAAACAGACTTTTTGAGACATTCCAGCTCCTTCTCCAGGTCACCAAATCCCTCGAAGATATCAAGCCAGGAGGTGAAGGCTTCGCATCAGCCGTTCGCGTCAGGCTACTTCATGCCGCTGTACGAAGCCGAATCCTCAAGCTCAACGCGCAGCGTCCCGGATACTTTAACGTCGACAAATACGGCGTCCCTATCAACGAGCTCGACTCAATGCAATCTGTGTGCGCGTTCTCGACTAACCTAGTCTGGCTGGCTTTGCCGCGCCAGGGTATTTATGTCCGCCAGCAAGAAGCTTTGGATTACCTTGCTCTATGGCGATGGGTCGGATACATCCTAGGAACTCCCCACTGGATCTTGGAAACACCCGAGCGTGCACTAGCATCTATGGAGTCACTTCTGAAAGCCTGCCTTGCCCCAAGCAAGAACTCTCGAGCTTTGGCCAACAACTTGGTCATTGCTTTGGACGGCGTTGCTCCTATCCATGAGCCAAAGGAGTTTTTCGAGGCTGGAACGCGCTTCATCAACGGTGATGAGATGTGTGATGACGTTGGGCTTGGGAAGCCCGGTCTGTACTGGGATGCCGTTATCAGAGGTATCATCTGGACTCTGATGGTGATCACTTATATGTCGCGTTCTATCCCTGCCTGGGATAGATGGCAAATCAAGGTAAGTCCGCTATCATGTAGGCTCAATGGAGTCTTGGTTATTCTCATTCACTAACGCAAGGTCTTTAGACATTTCGAGCTTTGTTCTGGGACTACATCGTAGAAAACAAGGATACCCTGAAGGGAGGGTACAAATATGAGTTCAAATATGTGCCGCACTATGATGCGAAGACTAGCGCCGAGACTGCAGATGGGCCACGGTCAACGAACGGTATTGGCCATTTGGAAGTTCTTGGCCTTGTTGGGTTTTCCGTTGCCGTGTTGCTTGCGACCGGGCTCTTGACTATAGTTACTAAGTTGGGATTCTTGTACGGGGCCAACAATCCTCTTCAGGCGATCGTTGCAGAGAGTCCTCTTAAGCCTTGATAAGAGAGTTTCAGAGTCGGTACATGTGTTCACCCAACGGAAAATTTGACTTCTGAAATGAGGATACAACGATGAGGTATTGTTCATTTAGAAATATACAGTTCCTGGTCCCAGCCCACCCTCTACTTCCGCTCTCCCACTACCCCTCACTCCCACTCCCGTATTAGACGGTTGTTCCGTGAGAGATAGAGGAATGGTAGTCACTCCTGGCAGGTGCTTCATAGTTTCATTTTTTAGGGCTTACCCGCTTCTCAGTTGTCTTAAAGTACCGTCAATTTCAGGTCCTTGGGGGAGCCACAGCCATCATGCATGCATCACCTATCTCATCAGACGCCCAGCCTTGATTATTTATATATTTCATACCCGAACCAACTGTGATCTGCTTCAAAACACCCTCGTTGACTTCTCAAATCTCCACTGGACGCGAAACATGTGTTGGATTCCTCCAACCTGAGCTAGAGCTGTAGGCTCGAACGTCGGAATGGCCAAAGCTGGCTAGAATCTGCCGCCCACCCCCACGTGGCGTTGGGGAACTGCAGTCTAGCCTGCCGCAAACCTGTCGAGG